AGTGAGAAAAGTGCTTTCCAAGAAAGATAAAGCCTCGATTTAAACCACTAAGTGAACGCTATTTTTTTTTTTTTTTTTACATTGTTTGATTTTCATTAACGAACTACCGACATCCGAACAAAGATATAATTTTTTGTTTTATAATAGACGATAAAATATTTTTTGTTTCGCTTTTTGGAATCGTTTTTTTTCGCGTAAAAGCTTTTAAATTTTTTTATGATCGAGAATTTTATTTCTTTTTTTTTTTTTTTGTTAGAGAGATCACCATTGCAAATTGAAATGAAGAGGAGTGTAAGCAAACCCGCAGAATAGTTAAATTACTCTTTTTTTTGTCCTATGGATATTTCACCCTCTGTTTAAATGTATTTCACTTACGAATAGAAGGCCTCAGCGATCTCATCTGTGCTTTAATACTTAAATAAACATCGGTGAAAATTTTAATAGTAAAAGCATAAATTAAAAATGTTTTAAATTATTTTATCGGCAGTATAAATTATCCTGACTGATGAGACTCCTCTCTCGAGGTCGGAGGTCGTAGCTCGTATGAAATAATAAAACAGCGGTAAAGTGTTGAGCAAAGAGAAAAACGCTGGAACAGTTTGATGACAGTTTAAACTTTTTTCCGTTCAGACTGATGAACCAATCACCGAGTCATTTATAATGTACACATGGTTCAATTAACGACAGTCTGTCCTCGAGAAACTTTTCTCATTCAATGCATAGCCATCCTCTTTTTATAAAACTATTTTTAATTTATTTTATTGTAAAAAACATTTAGTGGAACTACCAATGAATTTTTAAAATTAGAAAAATTTTTTAACGACCAAAGTACACTTTGTTCAGGAAAAATTTAATTACTCTCGTTAAAAAAAATTTTTTTTAGCAAGGGGTTACACGGACTTAGAAGGCTAAAAAAAACCAATTTTTTAAATAATTTGTTCTGAAAGGATTTTTCGTGTTAATTTTAACTATAAATTGCTTGTAAAGTATAAAATATTTGTCAGAATTATTCATTCTTGGATCAATTACTGAAAAATATAGTTAAGAAAATAGTGTAAAAATTATAAACTGATCTTATCAACCGTTTTTGCTCACTGACTTTAAAAAACAGTTTTGAGAAAAAGGTGTTTAAATTTTTAAAAAATTCAGCCTTATTAAAATTGTAAACGCTCCAAGACGGCTTTACAAATATAAGTATAACTTTGAAGATACTTCTCAGATCGATATTAAATTTTTTTTATATGTTCCTAAATATATTTACATTACAAAAATGAAGAAAGTCGATTTTTAAAAAATTACCAGTGCATATAACCCCTTAGAAAAATTATCTTCAAGTTTTACAAATACGCAAGCATATTCATGTCGAATAATTAACCAAATCACAAGTTAATAATAAAACAATTAAGAACTTTGGATATGAAAAAATATTAAATAAAATAAACTCGAGTGTTGAAACGATAATTGAGGGTTTATTATTATATTTATTTAAAATCCCTCTCGCAATTATGACCGATGATTATACTTCGACAATTACTGCGTAAGAATATCCACTACCCGCCACTTCTTGGGATCTTTGAGTAAAAGAAAAATTTAAGGTGAAACAATAAAATTGTAAAAAATTCAATACTAATAAAAATAAATTTAGTTCTTTGTTCTTCTGCGTGAATACAATCTCAGTCCCTTTATAATATCGGGTATGTACAAGTAACAACGTCTGATTATGCGAGCGCATGACTGAATGTAACGCGATTTAATATTAAAATATTATGACAAACGTCAACAGTTGGTACGTCGTCTCCGGCTGTAGCTTCAGGTTTTGCCGCGGCTGGCTGCGTTAGAACACGAAAATGCTGATTGGCCTACCATAACCGTGTGAATACTAAACGAGTCTCGAGACACCTTTTATATTCTTTTATCCTCGGTTTCTCGCCTTTTCACACCCACCCGCCCACCAGAAGTAAAACAAACAGTTCCCCTCCAGTTCTATTTCCGTTCTCTCAAATCTATATAACACAAAACACAATAAAATAATTCCTATTTTTTATCTCCCTTCCATTATTCCACATATGACTCCCACACATGAGTGAAACCCTTACATTACCTTGACTCGCGGATTTATTGAGGCATATAAAAATTAATCTGGAGCCAGAGCAGTTGTTATCTCACTCGATAAAAATAACAATAGAAGTGAATCATGTATAAGCAAAAATGTCATAAATATACAGAGGATAAAAATAAAAATAATAAAGCCGCGTGGTTAGGAAGAAATGATGAAGGGGGTGGAAAAGAGAAAAAGACGAGTGTAACTTATAGCTCATAGCCTGAGGTTTTAGGTAAGATAGGTTGAAAATAAATCCAAATAGTAAACAGGGTGAAAGTAGTGCCTTACCGTCCTCTTAGTTGCCGAAGTCAAGACCGGGGGTGAGAATTCTAATATATAAAAGATATGAAGCTCTGTTGGCGTGTATAGGGACTGGCAGTCGATGGAGAGTGACTCCGGATTCAAATAACCGATGCTACAGAACGAGTGGTGAAGAAGTACAAAGGGTGCGCAAGAGAAAACCGAATAAAATTTTTACTTTTTTTTCTTATTCTTATTCTCAGTTTAAGAAGGACTGCTGAGAAATCTGAACAGCTAACAACAGCTTCACGAGACTCATATTTAACCTTTTCTTGAAAAATATCTACCAAAGTCAAGGACGATAAAGCCAAGAAGACTTAACAGTCTCGATCTAAGAAACTCGATGGCTCTCGAGGCGTCTTTTGGTTTTAAGTTTTAAGAAAACCTTTTTTTTTTAAGTAACTCTCTCTCTGCTATTTGCGTTTTTTTTATTTTTGTTTTAGAGTTATGAGATTTAAATGTAATTAAATTTTTAGTGCACGCAGAGACGGATATTTTTCCCGCATTAATTTAGTTAATTAAGGAAGCGAGGAAGGGGGTTACTTTGAGTTATAAGTTTCAAGAGAAACTGTGATTCTCCTGACTAAACACTGATAACAGACTACGAATGAATTTCTTTGCATGTTATAAACATACGTAATCGTACACAAATAAGATTAGCATAGGACTTGGGAGAATGAGCGTTCCCGTTTCAAATTTTGTCGACAGAGTACGAGAAACATACACACACCTTTTTTGTATACCTTCATTTATTTTTTGGTATTTATTTATTCGCGATTGTTTGTTTCTTTTTTTTGTTTTTATGGTAATCATGGCAAAATATGGTTGTCAGTATACAAATAATTATTTTTAATTCACAGTAAGATAATTAGTAAATATTATTAAAATTTTGAGCCAACAGATAAGTCGCAGAGAGGGCGTTGTTTATAAATGAAAATATTTTTTTTTAATTGATCAATTTTTGAAGTTTCTAATCTTGAAATTTTGAAATTCTTGAAGGTAAGTTCAATGAAAAAATATAAAAATTTCTATCAGGGTATTACATGCTAAATTGGCCATTTTTTAACCCAAACATTTTTTTATTTGACTGAAAAATTCTATATAGATGTTGACATCTGAAAATTTTTTGCTAATTTTAAAAAAAAAAAAGACATTTTTTGGAAAATTCGTGACTTTTTTGAGCTAATTGTAAAAATTTGAAAATTTTTCGAAAAATGTTTCATAATGGAGTAAAAAAATGTAAATAAGTTTTTAGCGAAGTTAAAAAGGGTCGAGTTTAAAAGTAATTAATCCAGCATAAAATAACCCTATTACAGATTCCAAATTTCAAAATATTCAGAGTTTGAATATAGATACTCTGGAACTTGGAAATTAATTAAATTGAGGCACAATAATTTCCAAAGACCATAAAGATTAGGAATAGAATAATGTAATCACAATCAGATATATTTATCCAGATAAAATGACAAGGAACTGTAAAGTTCGGGAGTAAAACTCAGTTGTCTGACTCAGGCGTTAAACTCGTTTCACTCAAGTTGGGTTGCTTTACTTATACTTAGTTTTACCTAGGCAGTGATGTTGTTTGCACACCGAGATTTGTTTTATTAAGTTTTGTCAGACAATATATACGAAGAGTACGTTTTACGCGGCAAGTAGGTTTTTGTGTACGTATACCTACTTTACTTTTCTGTTACCTCTATATCTCATCACCAAGGGTATTGAAATACTTTCTGTCGACAAAACTTTAAATGAAACGGATGTTGCTCTCCGTGTGTACACATACATTACCAGTATAGTAAGAAAAAAGAAATTTCAAACAGGAAGGATGTGGATAAAACTACGGTCTATTTCAACATTACTTTACCTTTCGAGTATATTTACTTTTGAATCTTTACGGCTAAGTTATTATCTTCATCATCTTTATTAATAATTATAATTACTTAGAAATCAAGTTCCTCTTTCATTTCATTTTTATTTTAATTTTAACACTTCTGACGAGCTAAAAATATTAACATTTATACCTTCGGTATTTCCTCCAGCTTCCGAGTCTAAATTTGAAAATTGGCCTTTTAATAAGAGCTTGAATGTAGTTCCCTTTTAAGTGAAATGAAAAATTTATTTTTATTACTCGAAATTCGTGGTTAAGCGAGTTCTGTATCTTTAGGTTAATATTTGTAGCTGAAGAGGTCGTTTTTAAGCTTCAGAACTTTCAAAAATAGGTACAAGAATTTAATTTCTTTAAATATTTGAGCATATATTGTAGATGTTTCAAATTTTTACTGGATCAAAATTTTATCTATAAAATATAACATAAAAAAATTGATACGGATTTTTTTATGAGGATTTAATTACTTGTAAAAAAGTTTTTTCATCTTTATACTTCTAACAAAAATTTTTTTTAAGCTTAAATCCAGAATTTCTTCTAAACAGTCAGAGATACGATTAAATTGATAAGGACTATTTATTATTTTCAATATTAAGTCCAAAATTTTGATTACAAACTTTTGTAAACACTTACAAATTCACTTTAAAGTTTTTCAATTTTACAAATAATTTTTCAATGAAAAGAATCTAAAATAATTCCATCTAAAATTGATTACAGGCAACAACACTGTACGCAGTCTTGAAACAACACCAGTCAAGAGACTTGAATTGGGAGCGAGATAGTTTGCTCCAAAAAAGCACAAAAGAGAGACTTGAGAGACTGGGATTGACCGGGTTGGACAGAACCACGTTAGCGACGACATTGACGACGGGAACAGCTACCCCAGCGGGATCAATAGGTGACCAGAACCACCACTACCACCAGGACCCAACGATCGAGTATCGTAGCAATGGCAAGCTCAGTCCAACAACTGGGCAAAATTCAGTGACAACAGCATCACCCATGACCCAGCAAAAGCAACCGACACTATCATCGCAATCTTCTCAGCAAGCTTGCTCCGGTACGACACCAAGCTCACAGCAGACGAGTCCGCGCCAAAGCCCTCAGGCGTTGCACCGTGCTTCGTCTCCCAATCCCCATCAGGGACAACTGCCTGGTGGTGGTCCACCTGGTGGTCCACCAACACATAATTCTACTCAGATGATGCTCAGTCCGGCCAGTGGCCTACATCATCAAATGCAGCAACTACTTCAGCAACACATTCTAACGCCCACCCAGCTACAGTCCTTTGTGCAGCAGCATACTCTTTATTTGCAACAACAGCAACAGCAGCATCATCAGGTTTTTATTTTTTTTTGGTTTTTTAGATTGTTCACTTAAGTTTTAGTCACTAGATGACTGATGCGCCACTATTAATATTTTTTATCACAACTGCTTTTCAAAATTCAGTTTTTTAAATCGGCAATAATTTATTGAATTTTATTAAAATTATTTTGTTCAATTTTTAGATTAAAAAAAAATTTTCTTAACTTCAGAAAATAATATAGAAGACAAAATAATTAATTTTGAGACTAATCAAATTTTTTTGGGCAAAGAAAATCTTCGCTAAAAAAATTATACTTCGGTCAAGACTTCTAATCTTCCTCATTAATTTTTTTAGGCTGGAATACAATTTTTTTCTGCGTAAGAATTTACGCTAATTAAAAAAAATTTACTTGATTCAAGATAAAAAATTTTGAACCAAAAATATTTCTTCATATTCGAGCGCACCAAGACTGGCAAAATGTTTAACGTCACTTCAATGCTTATAAACGCGTTTCCACACACCCTCCCACGCATTCACCCACGCACTTCCACACATCCACCCACGCATCTACCCACGCATTCACAAGGTTGTGACATGAATTATTAGACCGTTGTCTATAGCAACGGTTTTGTTAATTCATTTCTAGGTTATGTAAATATGGCATTCATTTATGCTACTATCTTTTGTTAAAAAATTATTCATCTTTCATAGGTTATGTAAAGATATCATTTATTTACGCTATCTCTTGTTTCAAAACAAAAAAGATTCTGTGTGTCATTCAATCGATTGTGTTTTGTTTAGTATTTATTGGTTATGATACGTTTAGTATTTGTTAGTTAGTTGAATGAAGAAGAGGGTCTCCAACTTATAAAAGTTAGTATAATTAATATATTCACGTTGATTATATACTTTATTTTAATCTATATATATAAGAGATTTGCACCTATATATGGACTCCTCACCATATCTCTGGAACTATAAGACCTAGAGACTCGAAATTTGGTAGGAATATTCCTTTCACTGGGTAGAGGTCAGCTAAGAACGGATTTTACGAAATTCCACCCACAAGGGGGGTGCGGGGGCATTAACAACGAAAAATTCCCGTTTTTAAACTATAGCTCCTATCGACTACAAATTTGGAAGGAATCTTCCATAAGAGATGTAGAAATAATCTATAAGCAAATATTACGATATCTCTCACTCCAGAGAGGGTTGCGGGGGTGGGTACTAACAATAAAAATTTCTAATTTTCAAGCTATAGCTCCTACAGACTCTAAATTTTGTAGGAATTTTCTATAAGTGATGTAAAAATAATTTATAAACGAATTTTAGGATATCTCACCCCACAGAGGGTTGCGGGGGTGGGTATTAACAATGAAAATTTTTAATTTTCAATCTGTAGCTCCTACAGACTCCAATTGGGTAGGAATTTTCGCTAAGAGATGCAGAAATAAAACACGAACGAATTCTAAGATACCTCACAGGAGTTTGCGGGGGTGGGTGTTAACAATTAAAATTTTTATTTCCAAGCTATAGCTCCTATAAACTCTAAATTTAGTAGAGGTCTCCTGTATGTGATATAAAAATGATCTAATAATGGATTTTACAACGAATCAACTCCAATAATAATCGTGGGGGTGAGTATTAACAATAAAAAATCTTAATTTACAAAATATAGCTTCTAAAAACACTAAATTTGATAGAAATTTTTTATCTCTTATGTAGAGATCACCTCAAAATGGATTTCAATAAAGTTCACTTCCGATAGGAATTGCGGAGGTGGGTGTTAAAATCTAAATTTTCATTTCAAAAGTGTAACTTCTACAGACTCCGAATTCGGTGAGAATCTTCGTGTATAATGTCCAGTTCAGCTAAGGGATTACGGGGGCGTTGATAATTAAAATTTGCCGTTTGTAAAATATAGCTCTTATAGACCTCAAATTTGGTAAAAATCTTCTACATGTGGTGTAGAAATAATCTGAGAGTGGATTTTACGACGAATCACCCCCAATAAGAATTGTGAGGTGTTGCCAAAAAAAAATCTTAATTTCTAAAATATAGCTTCTAAAAGCTGTAAATTTGGTAGGAATCTTTTATTTGTCATGTAGAGATCTCAAAACGGATTCCAAAAAATTCTACTTCCGATAGGGATTGCGGGGGTGGGTATTAAAATCTAAAATTTTAATTTCCAAACTGTAACTGCTGCAGATTCTGAATTTGATAGGAATCTTCGTGTACGATGTCAAGTTTAGCTGAAAATAAATTTTCTCGAATTCTAACCCCAAAAGGGATTGTAAGGGCATTAGCAATGAAAATTTCTCATTTCTTATCGATAGTTTTATAGACTCGAAGTTTTGTTGGAATCTTTTATTTATAATGTAGAAATAATCTCGAATAGGATCTGACGAAGTTCCTCACCCAAATAGGAGTGCGGGAGTGATAATTGTCAAAAAATTCATATTCTTCCAATACAGTCCCTACAAATATAAAATTTGATAGAATCTCAAGAGAAACAGACGAATATCGGGATGGCCTCCAAGGTCAACGGGTTTAAATATTTCTCTTACTTAATAGTGATATTTTCTTACAACAATCGTCCTTTTGGCAGCGGCAAAAAAGTCATTGTAACGTTTCCAAAATTTAACATTATATATAGCTATTCAGTCAACGGACTAAGAATTTTACATATATTTTATCACATAACCGATGAATTGTTCTTATTACGAGATCGCGAAAATGTAACAGATTAAAAGCATTGCATTTACTAAACACATGAGATATAGAAAAGAAATTTGAGAAAAAAAAAAAGAAATAAATAAAAATGAAACATAAAATTTAATTTCTTTCTTTTTCAATTCGCCCAGCGAAGCGGGCGGAAACCGCTAGTCTTTTATAAAGCAGAAAAAGTCTCAAAAAATATGTTATTAGCTCAAGAAGTTTACAAAAATTTGAAGCCTGAAGCAGTTGTTATAAAAAATAATGTACCATACATATGATATGTAAGAAAAAACTTTGATAACTCTCTTATTGGGTTATGTTACATCAACAATTCAAGTCAATTCCTCGTTATTCCTATAAATATATAAAAAATTTCTAATCTTATTTCCAAAGCTACTAATATTCATTCAAACTTCAACTCCATAAAATTTTATAGTATTTTTTCCATCACTGAATAGTTCAAATTCGTAAAATAAAAACTAAAAAAGAATGGAAAAATAAGAAAAAAAAAATCTGATAATTCATGCTATCGTAAAAAATATTCAATTTAAAAAATAATTTTATAGGAATCGTCTTCCGAACATGTCGCTAATCAAGAAAGATTTGGTTATTTTTCATCCATAAAAAACGTAAGTAAAAAAAAATCTGACTTTCTACTGACCCGGAAAAAAGTTTAAAAATTAGCGGTACTTGAAGTTAAATAAGAAAAAAAAATAATAAATTAAATATTTGACCCTCTTTTTTACAATTGAAAAAGTATTTAATGAATACGAAGGTAGATTAATCGCGCGCTTTATTAAAAAAGTACATTCATCCTCCAGATAAAATATTAACGTCGAAAAAAAGCTGAGAGCCGATTACTAATTATTAATTAATAAAATATGAATTAAAAGGGTGTTTGTTTATTATCGACTAGCCGAGTTCGCTTAGTTTTTAAGAAGGGAACACTCAGTCTGCGTAAACACTCGGTTTCCCTTCTGTATCGTTATCATAACAATACTCTTTGCTTACTTGGAAACTTCGTCGCTCGTCGCTCGGGTACTTGTGACTCAACTTTTGTTAACGAAACTTAAAGAAATCTTCCTAATTAATAAACAAAAAATAACAAACACAATAAACAATGATGATAAAAATATAAATGTCGGATCGGAGAAACGTAAACGGGCGGAACAAAGATAATTGTTGAAAGCTATTTGTATTGATAAAATGATCGGTTAATTTCAGTCGTACTGCGATCTGCGATAGTATGCTGTAGTATATTCTATCCTACGGAATAATCCGACGAGAAGTAGAGAAAGAGAGGGTGGTCTGCATATATTTTCACTTGACCGTCCAATATTTATTCAGCGGTCTGCCCAGTCGCCACAACTAGCTCGAGTATTTAGATAGCCAGCCATTGAGCTTATTACATTCTATTGTCTGCTTCTAAATTACATATAAACTATTATCTCTTTATGAAACATCCTACCTATTTTATTTATTTTTTCCTTTCATTCAATTATTGGCTATTGTTTTCGTTGTAATAAAATTTTATTTAATTAATTATTACAATTGAATAATTATTAAAAATTTTAATTTATTAAATTTGTAACACCTCCCGACAGATAAATATTTTTGACTACTATAATTTTGAATATCATTTTTTTCAGTGTGAAATTTTAAGGAAGTACTGCGGCAAATAAAGACACCAATAGGTTATGGGTATTAGTTTCTTTCTGACGCACTAGTGGTGCCTCTCTTTACAGACTATCACTCACTTACTTCCACTTGCGTAAAATATCGAAGTCGCTAACTTGAAACATTTTTTATAAAAAAAAATGAATACCACTCGTTTATGTTATTTTTGATAAAAAAAAAAAAAAATACTTGTTATAACTTCAAATAAATATTCTCAGTTTTTCAAAAAAATTCTAAGAAAAGTATGGCTGTTATTCAATAAAGTGCTCACTCTAACTACGGTCAGGATAGGGAATACATGTTAGATGGACGATTTTTAATTGCTAATTTCGAAAATTAGCACCGCAAGGATTATTAAAAAAAATTTATTCGTATAGAGGACACTTTAGAAATACGCGTATTCAAAAATTGAAGAATATTGTAAGAAAAGTGATTTTGCACAGTACCTCCTTAAATGAAATATCTTTCAATGCAGAAAAAATAAAAACGTCTAAACACTTTTTAAAAATACTAGAAATTTGAATAGCATGCTTAAATTTTAACCAATAATGAATCGTGGCCCGTTTTTTGCGATTTTCGACCTTTGACTAACTTCAAGACTATCATGTATTTTAATTTAGAGAATAAAAAATCCGTAGAAGATAAACATGTCCGTGAATAAAATAATAATTATCGAAGCATAATGAAATTTAAATTAATGACGTGACAAGCATAGAATGTAGGGTAAAAACAAAAAAGATGGAAAAATGAGAGATTAAAAAACATAGACATAGACGTAGAAATAAAAAAATATATTAAGTACAGTATAGTGGAAGAAAAGAAGTAAAATGAAGAAGCAGGGGAAATAGGCTGGGCAATTAAGCGACGCCGTCAGCCGTTGTGTCTCGTTGTTTGTCTTCGAGGTATCCCATAAAATGCTAACCCCCTTTTTCTGTCCCCCATTATACTGCAGTAGTTGTATATAAGTATATACACATTGGTCCGCCCTTATCCGAGCGTTTACTTCTCGCTGGCCGCCCTCTTGATTTATTCATCACCGTCGGCACAAGACACAGGCGTTATTCTTTGCATCTGCTTTTCTTCTGCCTTCACTTCTTTACTCTCCCACCCCCACCCCCAGCCGTCTATCTCTATCTCTATCTTGCTCTAGTCTGATGGCACATCATCATCCAAGTGACGAATTTATTTCTTACCCTCTTGAGTTACTCTGACTCAAGACCTTTTTTATTGTCCATTATTCATTTATGAATACAAATAATAATATAAGTAATAATTTTTCTTTTTATTCACAATATTCTTTCTTTAAAACAGCACCAGCATCAACTCGCGGAGTTGGGGAGAAAGCAGCTGGAGCAGAACATGCAGCAATTGCAGGAACAATTGCAGCTTAATCTGATCCAGCAGACGCATCTCCTGCAGACCGCGGACAAGAAGAAGAATTCAGTGCCATTACAGCAGCTCGGGGTCCAACAGCACCAAATTATCCAGCAGCTGCAGATGACCCAGAGACAATATCTGTTCCAGCAGGGACTTAGTCTACAGAGTCATAATCATTCCTCTGGCAATTTATCCAATGATAATGTGCCCGCTTGGAAATCTGAGCCCAACGAAAGCAATGAGGCTCATCAAAATTCCCTTGTTCCCAAATCAGGAGCTAGTCTAAATGGTATTTATATTATATATCTATTCTATCAAGATTTATCCTTTGAGTATAACGAGCAAGTGATTACACGTGATTTTCGTCAGCCAAATATTTTTTCCCCTATTTATTAAAAAAAAAATATGATTCTGGACATTTGATCATTTATTTAACAAAAAAATCATTTTAATCCACAAAAATTTTAACATAAAAATCGACAAAAATTTTTTTTTATAAAGAAATTAATAAATTGAATGATTTATTTAAAAAAATTTTCATCTGAATAATAATTTCAGTTTTTGTTCGTACAATTTTAAAAATTTTTCATTTATTTTAGAACTTTTTAGAGTGAGTTTATAAATATTAACCAATTGATATAACACTGAGCAATTTAATGACTGAAATTTTTTTATTAAAAATCAATTGTTAAATCTTTTTAATTAAAATTTTGTATAAAGAAAGAAGATACGAAAAAATTAATAAGAATCTTTTTTAAATATTTGTGATGAAATAAAAAGTATCGAATTTAATTAACAATTTTTTTGCTGATCATAAACAAAAATAAAATTAAACAATTTAAAAGCCATAAAAATTAGGGCTTATTTTATTATGTCAGCTAATTTAAGCCTACACTTGAATATAATTAAAAAATAACAATGAAATTTTGTTTCAGGACTCATAAACTCGATAGCAAATCGACGCTCGGAACTAAACGGAACAACCCTGGTGGACGAAAAGCCACTGGATGTTTCATGTCATGACAAAGCTCACCCCCTCTACGGTCATGGAGTATGCAAATGGCCAAGCTGTGAAGTTATTTGCGATGACTATCAAGCATTCCTCAAGTCAGTATTTAAATTCCATTCAACAATACATTTCATTAATTATAAAGCTTGAATCTTTTTTCGAAAAAAGAGCCAGAGGCAAAAAAATACAAAACCTATTCTCAAAGAACGCGATAAAAAAATGAACTTAGTCAGCGTATCTCATTGACATGGTATTTTTTTCATTCTATTTCTTTGGGTATTTTTTATCTTATTTTCCTTCCTTCTCATCATCTTGCTTCGCGTCTTCTCCTTCTTTTGACAATCCCCTTGGTAATCACGGCAAGCCAGAGTAAAGTCTCCAAACAAGTCGTTGGGAAAAAAAAAAAAAGAAGAACGCTAATTACCTTTGTCTCATTAATATTCACGACATTCGACCGCATCGTTATGCCTTTGCCTCTCTCTCAATCTTTCGAGTTCTCAGTCTAATCCCAAAGGCCGTCGAAGCTTCTCGCGCCTTGACAAACCTCCTACCACGAGTTTTCTTCTTCAACCCTCTTTCGTTACCACCGCGCTGTGGGTATATCTCCACCAAAAAGAATAATCAACATCAAAGGCAAAACTAGACTCCGGAGTGTCTAATTCTGTTTCCCGTCTTATTCATATATAATTGTGATTATTATTATTATTAAGTTCTTTTACTTCCTCTTTAAATTCTTCTCTATTCTTATTCACTTACTATTTTAAGCTTCCTTTGTTGTTTTACCTACTGCTTTTTCTGTATCGAACAATTGCATTTTGAATCGCGTAATAATCAAATCAAAGTGATCTCTTTGTTGCTAAATAAAAAATTTTGGATTAAACGAGCCCGCCGAAGGCGGACGAAGCTCTATCAAGTATATAAAAGCCCGTGAAAAAATATTCTATGTCCAAATGTAGACTTATACGGTCTAATATAACTTAATTTGACCATATATAATTTTTTAATCAAAAATAGTACCAAAAATTCCGACAGGTGGCATATGATCGCTAAATCCTCTCTTTGTAAGAAAGTTAACTTGTAATTATTAAATCTTAAACTAAAATTTCTTTTTTTACTTTCCTAAGAAACTTATTTAAGATTATTGGGGACTATGCATGATAATTTATGTACATATTTTCTGGAAAACAAATAAAAATCGATAATTACATTTAAAATTTGTTTTTTACCCTCATTATAGTCTGACATAGCTATATATAACCAAATAAACTCATATCAGGCCTGATACGGAAATTGACCATATGAGCAAATTTTTTCACGGGATTCTGAGTTAAAAATTACAATTTTTAGTAAAATAAACCATAAATTAGAAAATAATAAACCGTGACCTACATTTTTCATATTATAATGCCAAACTTTAATAATTATTAAATAAAAGAAAAATATTCCAATAATTTCTCTATTAATTATAGACATCAATTATCTGATTGGTTTAATTTACATTTACATATAAAACTTTCTGTATTATAAATTATAACTAATTGTCTTTTAATATTTGATATCTCTTGACTCTATGAGCGATTTATATTTTTTTCTGGATATACTAAAAAAATAATTAAATGACTCTACAGACATATGAACACCGAGCACACGTTAGACGACAGATCGACAGCTCAAGCACGAGTTCAAATGCAAGTTGTGTCTCAATTAGAGATCCAGCTGCAGAAAGAACGCGATATACTGGGAGCCATGATGCATCACCTTCATGTAGCCAAGCAAATGTCTTCTCCGGAACCCCCGAAGTCGTCTGAATCCTCGGTAAGTTTTGTCATAAGTTATAATGTACTAATATAAAAATTTAATCAAGTTTAACTCCGGAATGGTTGGACCGATCGATAGCTCAAATAAATAATTAAAACAATTAACTGACAATGTTAATCTTTCGGTAAACTTATCTCGATAAATAAAATATGAACCTCCTGTTATTAAACTCTATAATCACAGAGTTTATATAAATTTATAATAATCTCATCTGGAATTGTAAATTCGACATTTTGGAAATTGAATTATTTATAATCGGAAAGGACAACTATAACCATAACTAATTATCATTATTACCATTAGCATTGTCAGTTGGTTCTTACTATTCAGTGGGAGAATGCAAATTATTAATTAACTTTGGGATTCATTTTGAATATTAGCTGGATAGAGTTGGCTCTAATATTAAAAAATAAATTAATCAATAATTCATTTCCGATATTATTTAAAAAAAAAAAAAGAGTAATGTAAGACGGAAGAGAAGGATAAATTTTAGCCGGATAAAAAGTGAGAGAAGAAATAAATAGTGGGTTCAGATTTACCGCTTTTGCCAATTGGCAAGTCGAAGGCGTTAATTTATACACGAAATTGTAATTAATAATTCATCGTCTAAGGGAAGTACGGCAGCACGTTTCTTCTTACTGTTGGTGGTGGTTCTGGTGCTACTTCTTATTCTTGTTCATCCCTCCTCATCTCTGCAAGGCGATTTATATCGCCTTAATTAAAACCCCTAACAAGTTACACTGTCAGAGAATACCAATATCACATTAACAATCTAAAGCTTATTCTCTTTTACTGCCTTCTATTGTACAATCGTCTTACATACTTAACCGTGTACTCCAGGCTACTTAAATATTAATAATGACGTTGATATATCACTGATTATTTTTAACGTTCAATGGGAGAATTACGTCGGGTTGAGAAATAAATTCGATTATCTGTCTTCTAAGTAAGCGAGACATTTTTTTATTTCCAACTAAAACAATTACTAAAATAATATGCATCAAATTTATACCAAACGATTCAGCATATTTCGGAGAAAATTTTAGTTATAAATTTTTCAATTATAAATTCTTTACTGTAGAATTAGAATTTGAAATAAAAATTCAATTATTCATTCATTGTTTTTGAATGAACATTTATTTATTTAATAATGAATAATTTTAAAAATTTATTTTAAATATCAAGCTAAATCTAAGTAAACATTTTCATGAGTTTTTATAAAGAAATTTCAATTTTTGGATAAGCTGTTAGAAAAATAAACTAAATATCTATACTAATAAATAAAGAGACATTTTTTAGACATGTCTAACCGAACAAAACTATTAAACCAATAGACGTCAAATTAATGTGAAATAAAATGCATCGTTTCTTAGCTAATATTTTAAGTTGTTAATATTTTATTAAGTTGAGTAATTAATGTTTTCATTAAAAATCGTTTTTTATGTGATTTTATTTAAATAAATAAAACTTAATAATTATATTATTGATTGATAGAGATATTAAAATACAAAGCTAAAAATCATTTTTATTTTTAAAGACATTTCAATAATATTGACAGCATTTATTGCCTTGCAAATAAAAAATTATAAATGTTTACAAAACTCAAGATTATAATTGAGGTTTAAAGCTGATGCAAAGTTAAAAAATTGTTTTACTAAAAAATAAACAAATTTAAACTTAAGCGAGCAATCAACAGCTAATTTATTTATAAGTCGGGATAATTTTAACTAAAAATTTATTTTTTCAACCACTTGCATGCAAAAAATATACAAGAGAAGCAATATAGTTTTGTAATAATAATAATAATAATAATAATAATAATAATAATAATAATAATAATAATAATAATAATAATAATAATAATAATAATAATAGTGCAGAACAATTTCTCCAAAAAAAAAAGAAACATTTCAATTTTTACAAATATGATATTGAAGGTAAATAAAAATAATAGAAACTGGAACCGTGACTGGAAGAAAAATTTCTGCTATTATTGTTATTATTATTATAACTGAAGAAAAAAATTGTTTGCTTTTAGACGGGTTCAAGTTTATCAAAATTAAATTTATCAACTGGTTTAATGAATCAGCCACCGCCAAATTTTGGTGTTTCGCAAGTATCCCCGGCATCAATGTCAGCACTAGTCTCAGCAGTGAGATCACCGGGAGGCGGACCGATGGCGCCATCTGCCGGGAGCACGCCAATGCCGCCGATACCCAACATGTCGAGCATAGCGGGAATCCCGTTGCCAAACATGCCCGGAAGCTTACCAACAATACCAGGCGGATTATCAGGCATGGCGGCGCCTATAAGGAGGCGAATCAGCGATAAATCTGCGCTATCTCTCGCGGGAGGTAAGGCTGCTTTTGATAGATATTTTTCATCAACAATTATCAGTTTAATTAACTTTTTACCTAAATTTTTATTGAGAACAGAGTTAACTACTAATTATTTTTATTAACTTAAATTTGAGCTAATTAATTGATTATTTACCAAATTTTTGAGATAAGTTTATAGAATAATCGACTTTTTAAAAGAAGCTATCCATATATCGAAAAATTTTTCAATATTTGCTAAAAAAAAACTATCAAAAATTGAATTAATTAATTAAAAAACTAATATGGCCGGTTTCAAAAATTTTTAAAAAGTCTTGACTTAAAATTCTCCTGCCTTCTTTTCTTATCATTGCTACTTGTTTTTCTTCGTTTCCTGTGCTGCTCCGACCCTCTACACACTAGGGCTGCCCTACATGCTCGAGCGGGCTGGCCTTGACGTCCAACAAGGTACTGTCTTGACCTTGACTATCCATTTTTTCTTTTTTGTTATTTTTTTTTATTATTATCATTGCATAACATGTCGAATCAGTATCTTTAATTGTTATTTTTTTTTTAATTAATAATAATAATATTTATTTTATTATTAATTAATGCTTCACTTAATAATGCTTTTTTTCAAAATAAATTTAATTATGTACTAGAAGACATTCTTCGATTTTTTTTCCTTCTTTCATATTTTTATAAATATTTTAAAAACTTTAAAGCAATAATGTGATTTTAGAAATTCAACGGAATAGAGAGTTCTACAAAAATGCAGACGTAAGACCACCCTTCACGTACGCATCACTGATACGCCAGGTCGGTTAATTCATTTTTTTTATTATCATTGAATTTTTTTTAATCAATTTCTTTAAAGTATAAAATTTTTATTGGTTTTTTGGATCTATTTTTTAATTATTTGATTTGATTTAAAAAATTCATAATTTATCCCCATAAAAATAAGTTAGATTAAAAATAAATAAGTAATATATTTTAAAGATTTAATTATAATTAAAATATATGAAAAATCCGTGTCTAAAAATCTAAAAAAATTTATTTTTAACTTAATAATATTTTTTATAATTAAAAATAGATTATTGATCCAAATTTTAGTAACCAAAAAATCATCCCACAAATTGTAATTAATTTGTTGATTTTTTTATTTTACTTTTTGCCTAAACAATGATTAATTTCAGTCGATAATTGAATCACCCGAGAAGCAATTAACCCTCAACGAGATCTACAACTGGTTTCAAAATACATTCTGTTACTTCCGACGAAATGCCGCCACCTGGAAGGTATACTTCAAACTAAAATTATCAATTAAATACCGTATCGTAGGATAAAATAATTATTTTTTCCAGCTACAGTTCAAAACAATATTACAAATATAAATTAAATTCCTAATAATATCATCAGCGCATTTAACATAAAAGTCAAAATATTCAATCAAATATAAGCTTGAAATAATTAATTACCCACTAAATTATCACAGGAGAGAAAAATGTAATAATAATCTCCACAATACAGGATTTTTTTTAATTTTTAATTGAATTAAATCAAAGGGGGGTTGAATATAATATTAAATATAATATCACAAAACAAGTGAGAATGATAAAGTACGTTTGAGTGAGTGAATTTATATTAAAATAGCAATAATTGAGTGTAAGCAATCGACGTTTGCCATAAAAGCTTCGCCTCGCATGGTTCTGTGTTTACAACGAGATAATTCAAGATAACAAAATTAAAAAAAAAAAAAAAAAAAAAAACGTCAATAATACTACAAAAATATACTGAAAATATGAGTTATAGAATCTCCAGGCCGACTCCAGGAGCTCCAGAGCACCGAGAGCTTACAGAAGAATTTTTTTAACAAATCAACGAGTTTTGTTCGTCGATTATAATTTGTTCAGCCCTGCGGCATGAATAATTGTTGTTTTCCTATAGAGTTTAGATACCTAGCTCTGCATTAACAGATTATACAGGAATGCAACAGAAACATATCCTATATATTCATTATTTAATATACTCTTAAGTTTTTTAAGTTTTATTATTTATTATTAATATTATTTATTTGAATAACAAATATTTTTTCATTTCGCGAATATTTTGCCTTTAAGCTACATTAATATTTATATTATTTACTTCATTTTATTTTTTAGTACTTACTCTTGTTAGTAATAGATATATTAGATATTCATCGCCATATGCATCGTTTTTTATATGCTACTATCATTTATTCATTTATTTAATTTTGTTCTTATTTAAAAATTCAATTCAATTGATTAAAAAACTTCAATTAGTTGTTTAAAAAAAAAAATTTTTTTTCATCAGTTGGATTTAAAAGTTTCTACGAGACTTTTAAATCCAACGACACTCAAGGTGACTAATTAGACTGTAATAAGATGGATGTTAAAATGATATAAATTTTGATCTTGAGTAATCAAAGCATCGGCATCACCGCCATCAATAATAAACGAAATCAAAGAAAGAAAAGAAAAAAATGATTAAAAAATCAGCCATCGAGTTCGTGATTGAGTTGGCTTAGTTCGTTTTTTGCGTTGCTTATTTAGTCTGTGTATTATTTTGTATAGAACGCAGTGCGACACAACCTGTCTCTCCACAAATGTTTCATGCGAGTCGAAAACGTGAAAGGGGCCGTATGGACTGTCGACGAAGTGGAGTTTTACAAGAGACGTCCTCAACGCGCTTGCAGCACGACTGGGTACGTTACCCCCTTCCCGCCCCGACTTGCGCGTTTTTCTATCACTTTCTTACCACTAAAGAGTTTAATCAATATATACATATACATATGTATTAATCTCTGATATATGTATATATATGAGCCTAAAATTCTCTACTATGAACCAAATTAAATTTTCTATTAATGTTCAATTTAAATCACTCAAATTTTCCTTTATTATTATTGTATAATAATTATTAGAATTTTTTAAATATTTTAAATTTTTTCACTTTTTCTCAATGTCGTATTCATGTACTATTTTTTTCTGCAAGTTTTTCTATTTTATTTTTTATTTTTTAAGCATCTATGTGTATTTTAACTCTACATTTTTTAAAACTCTTTTACTATTTATATTATATAGAATTTTAAATTTTTTATAAATTTTAAATATTTTTATTATAAATTTTTTCTCGCTTCATGTGTGTACCGCTTTTTATCTCTTTTTTACAATTTATACTTCTTAGAAAATTTACATTTTTTAGTTAAGTTATCGTAGAATTTATTATTGGAGTTTCATAAAAACAATCTAATCAATACAACGGCAAAACAGTAAGAAAAAATTTTAATTAATTAAGTTTTATTAAAATAATCTTCTTCGTAAAATTATTTTTCTTTATTAAGTCAAAAACAATTTCTTAATTCAAGAATTTTTTTCTACTTCATTCAAAATAATGTTTTTGGTTCAAAAAAATTTTTTTTTTTTAATCAAGTTGATTTTTTGCCAGTGTATTGTCTAAATTTCAAAAATTTTTGTTCAAATCTTATCAAAAAAACTGATTTATAAATCGCTGAATTTTTTTATTAAATAAAATTAAAAATTTCTAATCCTGTAAAAGCTAAAAAAAATCAAATACAAATTACAAAACTATTCAAAAGAACTTATGAAACTCTATAATATTTCATCAACACATATACATTTCAATAACTAAACATTTAATTAATATCTAAATCATAAATATCAATAGCTTGGCATTTTTACGGCTATTTTCTTCAAGCTTTTAGAACTAGTACCCGCAAAAATATTTATACTCCTTATTTGTAACGCATCTGCTTATATATCACGCTTAACATTAATTAATCACTAAATTTTTATCTTTTATTAATATTTTTATATTTAAAATCTAAACTACGAATGCTTCCATTTAAATCTTCAGCTTTTTAAAACTTTTTAAATTAAAATTTGTATATTATCAATTATTATAGAATAGTGTTTGTTACTTTACCTATTATCTGTTTATTTATCAAAACTTCTATAATTTTTGTTAATGTGTAGCTTGAGTACCAACAATAATAATAACTCTTAGTACTTAATACTTTAACAAAAAAATTTTTTAAATCTACAAACTGCTAATTTTAATGATCAGTATCTATCGTGTGTATGAAAAATAAAAAATAATCGAGCGAGTGATTAGAGCGAGTGGTGAAAATGTGACAAGTAGACAATATTACAAACTGAAATTACATAAAATTTGTGGCTTAACAAGCATGGTTATGATGGGCTTTGCAGCGACTAACCCCGAGAAGAGAGTTCGCGGATGTGCCAGATCGCAGAACTTAAGAAAAAAATATCAAAACAAATATGTGGATCTCTACTGTAATTAGAAAGTACTTTGGTGAACGGGACGCATTTATCATTCATTTCATTATTTTTTTCCACTTTAATAATTATATATTTATGAACCATTGATTTATTTAAATAACGAAAATGTATGTTGCACGTATGAAATATTTAGAAGGAAGGACAAGAGCCCGCAATTTCACCCTTTAACCCTTTAAAAAAAATTTAATAATAATAATTAACATGATAATTATTATTAATATTTTTATTGTTGTTGTTAAAAAGAAAAATAATTTTTTTTTTATTTTAAATATATATAAATATAAATATTTATGTTCTCTCTTTACTCTCTCGTATGCCCGTGTCTACAGAAAATAAGCAAAATCACCGTTGGAGGATGCAGCGACAAGAATTAATAGAGATTTGAATGTACCGTAATATGTAGTCCGGAGAAATTTTGAGCATCGAGAGGATTAGATGGTTGACTACCACATGAACTTTAATTATTTTTATTTGTTTTGATCGAAAGAATTTTTAAATATTAAAAAATTGGTCAAAAATTCACAATTTTTTTTTTCATTTTTTTTTTTTAAGAGTGAACTTGTAAATTTAAACTTTATGATATTTTTTTGTACATAATCTTTTTATTTTATAAAAAATATTTCATGAAAATATCTTTTAAAAATTAATTTTTTACACATCAAACACGAAAATTTTTTTTTGTTTCAAATAAAATTTAATTAATATTAAAAAAAAAATATTTAATGAGTTAACATTTCTGTCATTTTAATTACTTCTAGCTTTGGATAAAATTAAATTGCATAAAAAAATAAGGAACAATAATTAATCTTTTAAATTCCAATTTTTATTAAAAATTTGGCTTTAATAAATTGGGGAAAAAATTTATTTTATTACATTTTGTATCAAAACACAAATTTACAAGTTCAAAAAAAATAAATGTTCTAAAGTTCATTTGGTACAAAACCGAAAAAAAATCAACAATCAACATTAACAAAAAAAAAATGTCTTGTTCTCTTTTTGACTCTTTTTCTCTATTTCTTGGTGGTCTTGTCTGTGTATACAGAACGCCATCCGCACCAATCTATCATTGCACAAGTGTTTTGTGCGCTATGAGGACGACTTTGGGTCATTCTGGATGGTGGACGACGCCGAGTTCGTAAAGCGGCGGCATCTGTCCCGCGGCCGTCCCAGGAAATATGACCCAACCCCATCACCCACTCCACCCCACCTCTCCGCACAGTAAGCACTACCACTTTTTAGCAATTCTGCTGGTGATGACTTACGCGAAACGTTACATGAAAATTCTGATTCCACTGTCGCTCTTAAATTTTTCCCCACTGCTATTATATATCCAACCTTGAATCGGGTAATCATTGGCTCATAAAAAATCACAATACCGCGAAAAAAAAAAACTAAAACTCAAATTAAAATATTACTCAATCAGATATTTTACAAAAAAGATTAATTAATTGATTTATTATTATCATCATCAAATTGGCTCACCAGGGAATTTTTATCTATCACAATTTTCATCGAACGAATCGCTTGGTCGTTATCTCTACCTAATTCACGAAAAATACGATAATGTTGTTTATTGAATAAAAAATTTTTCAAGATTAGTATTAAAAAAAATTTCAAGTACCAATTAATTATTAAAAAAATTTTTTAATTAAATAACCAATCAAATAAATCAAAATTGAATTTTCCATCAAAAATAATGAAATTAATTATTCAATGCTAATTAAATTACTAAAATAATTACTCAAAAGAATATTTGTAAAATTAAATTTATCTCCTCCCCTAAAAATGATTTTAAACAAAATAAACGACATTAAATCGTATAACCTGATTTTCAAAGTAAAATAATAAAAAAAATAAACTGAGAAAAAATAGATTCACGCATCATGCCTGATTGCCTCGTAGATCCTCCCTACCTTAAAAAAAAATTATTAAAAAAAAAATAAGATGTTTTTAATTGAAAAAATAAAATATATATCTATGCACTAGATATATATATATTATATATTATATAAAATAAAATATTGTAGAGAGTATGAGGATGTTATAACGAGATATTTAATCCTGCTTGCTACGAGCCGCGCAAAAATTTCGAGAGAGTCATCGTTAGTTGGCCGATTAAGTTTTTAGAGCTTATTTATTAACTGGTTAGGCTTTCAATAGCTGTCCAACACCACCGTCTAATTCCTGCTGATTAATGATAATGACATGAGCTTTTTAGTCGCGGTCCTGCACGTCCCTTCTTATTATGTTTTATTGTACTAGTATAAGAATAATAATTTTTTTTTACATTTGTTTTCTGAAATAAGAGCAAAGGAGCATGTTCCTGACATCTCACATCGTGCTTAGCTTGTGTGGGCTTTAAACCGCTTTCTCGATTCGTTAAAATGGATGGATCAATTGATAATATTTATTTTTATTGAGGAATCAATTTTCTTATAAATTAAAATAATCTCATGTGTGATTGGTTCTGAGTGAACGAATAAAACGCGTCGAGACCACTGCGCATGATTATGTTTACTTATAAATGACAATAATAATAATAATTGTTATTATTATGCAATTGAGTGTGTGAATGATGAACGTTTCACGGAGCTAATTGTCTACTGGATGTGGAATAATCTTCATGCGTCGTGACAAGTATTCAGGTATCAGGTTGACTATTGTCACTTTTTATATTTAAGTCATTTTATTTTCTTTCGATAACTAGAATAGATATTTTTAAATTTTATATTTACTATGTAGTTAGAATTTTTACTCAATTTTTTATATCGAGTTTTTAAAATTTTTATATCTTAAATTTTTTAATATTTCTTATTTATTTTACTCTTTTTAATATTTTATATATTAAACTTTATGCTTGCTTTTTTATCACTTAAAAAAAACGCTAAACATTTATGAACAGCCAAATTTTTGCACGATAAATTTTTATTTTTTTAATAAGTATTTTTAGTAATAAAAATTATTTTAACTTTATTGAAATTTTTTCAGAACTCAATTCTTTTGGTACTGATTAAATTTTTCTCAAAATAATTTTTAAATAAAATGTAAAAAATTTTTATCCATACTTTTAAGTCACGGAAAAATAAAGGTAATTGAGGTAAGCTTTATTATTCAAAGGCTGTCAAAATGTCATTCATATTTTGACTTTAATTTTTATAAATTAACAAAAATTTTGTACAAGTTAGAACAATAAAAAATAAACTTTTAATCAAAAAAACAATTAATAAAATAAGACTAAAAAATTCAAAATATGAAAAGCGTTAATTAAAGATCTTTTAAAAATTTTCTACACCTACATACTTTCACACACGACCTATGGTAAGGGCGCAAATTTCGGTAAGAATTAAAACAAACATACTTTTAATGTTTTTGAATTTTTTAATTAATATAATTATGCTAGTAGTTTTTTTGTATTTAACCTTTTACTAAATTTTTCTCTTTTATCAGTATATTATATCCTACACTATATTTACTTAATCAATTTTTCTAACTGTTTTTATCTCTACACTTAAAAACTCTTTTTCACTTTTTAAAAATTCACTTTTAAAATTTTTTCTATGTGTATTTAACTAATATTTTAACTATTTTATGTGTGTGTGTGCTTTATTATATTTCGCTATTTAATATTATATATACATCATTTATATCTTACTTCCTTTTTCTCTATCAATTATATAAATATGTATATTTATAGATATACATATATATATATATATATATATATATATATATATATATATTTATATATTTATATATTCTTCTTAAACTTTTTTATATTTAATATTTATCAATTATTACTCTATCAACGTTAAGTGTTTTTATATAAAATAATAATAATTGCAGCAGTGATATTTACACAGAACGTTTTTATTTATATAAAATTTTTTCTGTCAAAATTAGGGGTGTACCATCTAAAAGTCCCACGCTAACGCATAGTCCGACAATGTACGGTGACGCTCTCAATGCCAATCTCCAGGTAAATATTTTTAATAAAACTATGAATTTTTAAAGAATTAATAACCAAAAATATAAACCTTGCTGTAAATATTTAATACACTCCTGCATAAATTAATTCTAAATTCAAAACTAACAAAGTATTTTTAAAATAAAATCTAACTCTAATCGACGTGTGTCAAAAGTACTTTAGAAGTTGAATTTATTATAAAAATACATTCTATAATTGTCGAGTTATGACTTTTTTTTATATTATTTTTAATAATCTGATTGATGGAAAATTAAAATAATTCTAAAAAAAAATTATTGATCAGTTTAATGATAAAAATAATTGGAACAAAGTAATTTGCATAATATAAATAAATGGCTATAAAAAATTCACAAGTACTACGAACTATTATACCCACATATTAATTATTCATTTAACCTACATACATTTACGTGTATTTATAAATATTGAGAAATATATGTGACCTTTAAAAATATTTCAAACATTTAACCGGTAAAGGCTGTTTAAATTTGAGAATTCATTTTAATAATGTCAACTTTAAATAACAAAAAAATGCAAAAAAAAAATTGATAAATTGTGAACTACGAAATTTTTCGATTTGATTCAAATTTAGCAATTCTTTGAAATGAGTCAATTTTTTTTTTCAGTGTAATATCTCCGATAGAATAAAATCATAAATTCATAAAAAAAAATTTGAAAATATCTTCTTCTAAAAAATTAATTTTAAATATTTTTATAAAAAAACACTGATAAAAGGATTTAGTTCTATTTAATAAGATTTAGTAACAAATCTTTCATTACCAAATATTTAGTAATAAGTACTAAATCATTTATTAAAGCCCATTTAGTTCCACCAAATAAATATTTAGTAGTATTTAACAAATGATTTATTGCTACTCAGTAACTCGTTTATTGGTATCAAAGAAATTAATTTTTTAACTAATTTTTAGTTCCACTAAATAAATATTTAGTAGTATTTAACAAATGATTTATTGCTACTCAGTAACTCGTTTATTGGTATCAAAGAAATTAATTTTTTAACTAATTTTAGCGTATAACCTAACTTTTAAACTTAAAATAAATAAAAATAATTAGAATAAATAATGCTAAGTAAAAATATAAGGTATTATAAAAAAAAAAAAAAAAAATCTCATTAAATTATATTTTTTTGTTTGAGACATTTATAAAATTTAAAATTAAACAAGTTTTTAAAATATCAATAATAGACAAATTGAAAAATGTAAACTAAACTCCTCTGAGAAAAGACATAAATAGAAGACATTTATTGGGAGTATGTGTTTTTAAAGATTTAATAAATCTCCCAAAATTGAGCTGAATAAAATAATCTGAGTCAGTGAATAGATTATGTATCACATAAACATTGGAATTAAAGCATAGCCATCTACCGAGAATATTTGCCAAAGAAATATTCAGTACCTGTTACTAAATATTATTTGGTGGAAATAAATATTTATTTCCATATAATAAGGCTTTGTTCATATAAAGAAATCATTTATTAAACTGTAACAAATAATATCGATGGGTACAAAATATTTGTTTCTCCAAAATAAATGAATAAAAATCCTTCTATCAGTGAAGAATTTATTATTGATATTAAATTTTATAAATAATTAAAAATAAAAATAAAGTGATTAGTTGATGTAAAACTTTAAACATAATAAATAGTTGATTATAAAAAAACCAACAATGAACAGATTTTCTAACTAATAATCTAATGCAATTTGAGTATTTCCAGGCTGCGCTGGGCGAGTCGAATATGGGATTTCTAAACAACTCGATGTGTACATCAACAGCGACAAGTCCGGACAAGGAGCACGTGATGCCACACAACGATCTAATGTAAATAAATCAAATCCACCTTAATTCAGCCCTCAGAAATGAACGCTCTGAAATTTATAAATAATATATATTGTACGTTAATTAGATTCGTAAATTACTTCAGGTCATCGCTTGACGAGTCGGGGATGCACATAAAGCAAGAGGGCCAGAGTCCCGAGGGCAGTAAGCTGTCAAGATTAATAAAGCGGGAGCTGCTCGACGGACCTAACGATCACGAGCACGATCATGACGACGAGGGTGTCGACGATCGCGAGTATCCCGAAAGCCACGGACACGACTCAGGGCAAGACGAAGATATGGCCGAGGACCTGTCGATGGCGCCCGACATTATGACTTCCGATGATCAAATTGAAGCGTAGTACGACTCTTTTACTACACAAACACATCAACCAAATTAATTAATTAATCAATTTATTAATTAAATCATTAACTGAAATTATATAACTCGAGTAAAAAATTAAACCCAATTTTTGAATAACAGTTACAATAATTAATTATTATTAATATTAATGATAATAATAATCAATAATAATAATAAATATTTAATGATAAATTATAAATAATGATTGGTAACCTTCGATTCTGGTCTTTTGGGCATAAATTAAATAATAATAATTATTTGTCCGTATGAATAATTTTAGAATAATTGTATTTAAATCTTAGAAAAAAAATATAAATCGTAAAAAATAAAAAAAAAAAAAAAAACAAAGTCACTCAGCATATCTAAATCGCAATTTTTTCATAAGACGATAATAAGACTTTTGAATGTGATGATTGAGCAGAGAGCGTATGAAATTTGAGAATTGAAATTGAATATATAGAAAAAAAAAATTAATTATTTTAAAAATATTATTAAATTATACTTGATGGGATTGGTTAGATTTTATTTTATTTATTATTCTCAATTTAAAAATTGATTTGTTTTTTATAAATATAAAATATGAAGGTAATAATAATTAAAAAAAAAATATAAATAATAATAAAGTCAATCGAAGCGATCCATATCTTAATTCAACAGACAACGATTTGTATTATTATTTTTATTTGAAATGTTGTAAACAATTTAGTTATTTGTATAGTTAAAAAAAAAAAAATATATATATATATATAAATAGTCTACTCTATAAATATATAAATATATAAATAAATATAAAAAAAATCTATATATGTAGGGTTTATTAATTAAAATTAATAATAATGAAAATAAGCAGTCAGGTCTTTTTTTTTACGAGACACTCGACAATTTTAGTATTAATTTATTATATGAATTAGAAAAAATAAAAAACGCTGTGGAAGTGGCTCTCAAGTCGCTCTTTATATATATAAATATTTAAAGATTAATGGTTCTGTATTTAAATTTTGCGGAATTAAAAATTTAATGAGCTAAACTTCCGTTACGTGGACGATAAACACGTTGTAGATAAAACAATAAATAAACAAAAGAGAATGCTGGAAAATAATTGATTTAATTGTAAGATGTAGAGGTAGAGATAAATTTTAAATTAATATTAATAATAATAATTACAATAATGTCATTAAATTCACTCGATACCAGTAATAAGTAATAATATATGCATAAGTCTAGTAAGAATTGATACCAAGAATGACGGACTGCTAGCAAAACAGAAGTCAGATTTTTTTTTTTTTTTCAATTATTCATTCTGAGAAAATTCATTGTTGATTTAATTACAGACGTTTTTACTCTTTGATTATTAAAAAAAAAATATTAATTTACAAGAAAATTTTTATTTTGGAACAACTTTTTAGACACCGACTGACTTGATGATTACAGTGTTTCTAATGTGATGTATGCAATGTAGATTATTAAATAATATAGTTACGAGATTATTCATTAAATTATTGTTTATTATTATTATTATAATTATTTTCAATTTTTATTATCATTAAGAGTACTTGAAGGTCCAATAACACTTTTGTATTGTTTAATTAAAAAATAATACAAAAGAAAATTCAATTTTTTTTTAATTTGAGGTTAAGGATCTTGAAATATTTTTAAATTTTGTAAATAAAATTTTTTTCATATTTTTTATATGGATAAAAAATTGAATTTTTGTTAGTGTAAAAAAAATTTTAATTATACAGGACATTGAAGAAATATTGTTAATTTATGAGTAAATTTTCTTTGCCGTCATGTAAATAAAGAGTTGAAATGTTTAATTAATTGGTAATTAAAAATAAGTGATATAAAGATTTTTAACCTCAAAAAAATGTAAATTAAAATGGAGGCCTGAGGTACCCAATCAAAGCTCACGATAGAGGGCGCATTTTATCTTGATAAATTACATTAATAAAAATGATAATTATAATAACAATAATAATAATTCTGATGAAGATGATGGTAATTATTAATTGATAAATTAATAAGGATAATGATAAGTAGTTTCGTATTCATTCGTACTGGGAATTTAATCGATATGTAGAAAAATTAATATTAATATTAATTAATCGGTGATTAATATGACAATGATAGTGTGGATATTATATGTGAGAGAAAGAAGAGAGTGTGTGAATTAATGTGATCGATAGCGATAACGCAGAATAATTATTAATATAATAATTAATGACTACATAATAGTAAAGAAAGAAAGATGAATAATCGTAATATCAGTACTATTAAATTAAAATTGTAATAATAAATTATTAAAATCATAACATTCGGCTTGAAAAAATGATAAAGAGATTGATCAGTTATATATCTATGATAAAAAAAATTAATTTTTGAAATTTTTTTTTATTTAAAAATATTTATTATTAATTAATTACCGATAATTTAATGGATATTTAATAAAAATGTACAGTTTTTTAATTAACTATAAAGTAAAAATAAACAAATTAAATAAAGCTGAAATTTTTTTATAATTATTTAATTAATTATTGAATAATTAATTTTGTTAAATAAATTGTTTAAAATATCTAAAAAAAAATGTTAAATAAAATAAAAATTGTCAACAAACATAGAAACTACAATTATTGTCTTTTTAATTTATTTATTATTATTACTTATAAGATAAAAAAATTTCAAAAAATTATATCATAGCTTGTACCTGATAAATCTTCTTTTGGCAGTAATTAATAAATTTATTTATTTTTTATTATACTTCACTTCTTTGCAAGATTTAAAAATTCTAATACTATTTATGGTAGAGTGAATTTTTTTCTACCTATTATCAAGACCTAACGATTAAATGTCACTCTACCCCGCATTCCTAGTTTGGAATTTATAATAATTAAAAAATTATTGAAAATTTGAAACAAAAAATATTAGATGCGACAACGAAACTGGATTTTTAATAAATAAAATTAATGAACGCTTAATCAGAATGAATATTTGTGGATTTTTAAGAAGATAGCAAGCTTTGATACTGAATTATTAATTGTGAATTAATAATCACTTGCACCAAAGCGTTATTAAGTATAAATATACTCTATACTTTATTAACAGAAAACTCAAAATTTTTGTCAAAAAATTCTATTCAGAAAAATTAAATCTTTTTAATTTTTAAAATTGTTTTTGCTGCTACTTTCATTAAAAATTCGCGGAATTATTTTCGGCTGAAAAAATATTTGTGTAAAAAATTAAAATTATTTTTTAAGCTTTAGAAAATATATTTATAATTATTAACTTACTCTAAGTCTACTCGTATATTGTGTATTATATAAAATGTATATAAAAAAACTAATAATTAATAATAATAACTAAAAATAAAAATATCCAGCTTTAGGAATTAATCCATAATTAGTAAACAATTGCTCGTGTCTTAAACCTTGCATTTAATTTTGAAATGATATATAATAAAATTTCGCAAAAAAATTGAGAGCATTTTTGTTAGTCTGTGATGTAAGCGTCCTTTTTAAAAAGTGTAATTGGCTCGTGAATTTTTTACTAAAAATTATTTAAATTAAAAATACTAATTAGAAAAAAATTTTTTTTTCAATGTGTACACTAAAGGAATCATATCATAAAAATGCGCGTCAAAATATAAATAGTGCCAAAGTGATAAGATTTTTTTGAATAATTAAATAATCTGAGTTTTAACGGTAACGAAAAATTTTAAACTGTAAATTAATAATCGAATAATTACTTAGATTTATGATAGTTGTAATTATGTATTGATTATAAATATAATAATAATTATATTAAATATATTAAAGTATAATAATAAATTATGTAGAATTCCTCGATCCTGCTAACGCGCATGACTGATTAAAAGTGGAGCCGCGGTATAATTCTCTTGGTTACCTCAAGTTTAATCGATTTAATAAATTATATTCTTGAATATATCCTTTTGCAGATAATAACAAAGTAGCAACAGATTAATTAATTAAATACCGAAAAACAGAATAAATTTATATTTGTAATAATTGACCGAAAATAATAAAAATAAATAGGATTCATTATTTTTCAATGGAAAACTTTTAAATAATTTATTCAAGAGAAGAATATTGAAATAGCAATAGTTATCCAAGTTGTAACTCAAGTAATTATTTTTAAATAAATAATTAAAATTTATAAAACAATAGACTACGGTCGATATTATCACTTGGGTCTGATTTTAAATTAATTTTTTATTATAACAGTATTATAGACATAGTTATATTTAATAAATATAAAAAGTTAATATTAATGATTAATTTTAAGAAATAAGAATTGTAAAAATTGAATTTAAATAAAAATAAATAAAAATTATTATTGGGTTTGTTATTTATTAGAAAATTTTTAAGTTTTCAATGAAAATTAAATTCTTTAAAAGTTTTCTTCTGATTTTTTACGCTTATATTACTTTTTTTTTACAAAATAAAATTAAAAAATAATTTTAAATGCCTTTAATTTTATTACTGACTCATGTGTCTATTTTTGGATTTTTTAATATATTTGCTTGTCATAAAAATATATATATAGAATGAAAAAAAGTATAATTTAGATTAATGATCGAGATATGACTACTACTTTATACAAGTGTTAAAAAAAAATAATAAACCAAGAAATTAGTGATTAATAAATAAATTTCACCCCATTTTAACGTGAGGGATGAAAATAAAAATAGTAACTATAAAATAACACTTAGTGAGCTGTATACATGAATATATTGAAGGTCGATTTGCCTAGCTAACCACATATTCAACTATACATTTAAACTTGCATTTGAATACATGTTTGTATAATTGTATAGAGTTAACGTTTTTTCTACATACCATAGCATCGATCATCTCATTCGGCCGCAGCCCTCTGAGGGTAGCGCACCTGTTATATGTACAACTCCAGTATTTTATTTTACTCCGACACTAAGCAGTTAAATTTTTTATTTAAACAGATAAATAAATATATTTATTTACTATTAGTATGCAATGGATTATAGACGTAAATTATTTCTAAACGTAAGTACTAATATTTTTTTTACAAATTATTAATTTCAAAAAAATCAGATAAATATTTTTTTTTATGTAAATTCACTTTTTATAAAAATGATCTATTTTAAATTCGATAAAATTTTTGGCAAAAAAATTTTAATTCAAAAATGATGAGAAAAAATTTTGAAAATGAATAAATTGCACGCCTTATAAGCGAAGCGTTGAGGTTGTGCTCTACTCTCGCCATTTCAAAAAAAGCAGTTTTCTCGAAACTGAAATTGATTTTTTGTTATTTATATCGCACTTACAGATTAATATGAGTACACTTATATCAAGTCAAAAAATTTGTCAGACACATAAAATATATTTCAATAACAATTTTTTTGTTTAACATAGTAAATAATAACATTAAACATAATCTTTTCTGGACGTCCGTGTATGGATGGGTGTATGTGGCAGGGAAATTGGTCGAAAAAATGATCGCACCGGAATAATTTTTTTTTTTTTATTATCTAAAGTAACACGAAGGACTTTCTCAATTAATATGAGCGTTCAATTCACTGTCGTTAAATTATTATTTATAAAAAACTAATATATGACTGTGGATTTTATTGTATATCTATCCATACATTTTATTATAGTATTTTTTTCCTCATCTTAGAGTTATGGCGCCACTAAACCATAGCAGAGTTTTCTGTTTTTTATTATTTCGCTTTTTATAATTTATTTTAATCAATTTTATTGTGAAAAATGAGATTATGAGGCATGCACTTTTGGATTTTCCAAACTTTTTTCTTTATTTTCAGGATGGATGTGAGCGCATTAGTACCAGCAGGTCTACATCGAGAATTAGATATTTGTGCAGTAACAGCAAATTACAATAAGTTATCCGAAAATTTACGAAAACTGACACCGATCGCAATCCAATGCGCTATTTTTTGTGGAGGATCAAGATGCAAATACGAGAATCCAAAAGCTTGGCCGCCTGTACACATGGCTATCCGAGATATTTTCTCACATTGGTAGTGTCATTATTTTTCTCTATTTAAAATTAATATTAAATTAAAATCAAACACTAAAAAATTTAATTAGCAAATACTTGTCTGCATACATCACTAAGTAAATGTATATTTATAGATGTATATATAATTCAGATGTTGTTGTTATTATTGTATAGGGTTACCGACGACGTATTAGCGATGGCACGTCCAAGTACGGCGCAGCTATTAAAAAAACACGTGATATCACAATTTCAAGAATGGAGCATAAAAACTATTATAAATTTACAAACACCCGGTGAGCATGGAAGTTGCGGCGGTCCTCTCGAGGAAAGTGGTTTCACTTATGATCCATCGGAATTTATGAAAAATTCAAGTAAGGATACATTTTTGTCATTTTCAAATGCATAAAATAGTTTTTTTTATTTTTTTTATTGATAAACTTTGTAATGAAAAGGACGAGAGTTGAATTTAAAAGTCGAGGGTTGGATAAAAGGGTAAATCGTTATCAAGTTTTTTGTACATTGTGCCTAGACTTCACTGAGAGATAATACTTTAAATAAATTTATGGGTAGCATGCAATGCACTGAACAATTTGTTTTTTTTTTTATCTACATCTAGAGGAACAAATTCATGACGAATTTTTAAACTAAATGTAATTAATAAATTGTAGTGTAAAAAATAAAATTTAGTTACAATTCAATCAAGATCTAAAAATATGTGTCAATTAAATGGAAGCGTTTAGATGGATTTTTAATCAAAAGTTATACCGTCTTAATTTTTTGTAAATATGTCGCTTATTGGCATTGTATTTTATTTTTTATAAAACACGGTCATTAAAAATTTTAATAATAGGCGAAAGTGATTAAGGTCGAAAATTTCTCAACAAATCTTCAAGTTAAAAATCATAGCAAAATTGGGAATTGAAACGGATCAAAGCTCTCATAATGAATTTTACAATTTTTATATATCTAGTAAGAATTTTACTAAACTTTTGATGTGCTCGATAAAATCGTGAATCAAAGATGCGGCTTAAATTAATTAATTTTTCTCAATAAATCAATCTTAAACTTATCAGATTATTTTTTTTGGTCCCTAGCAGGTTTAGACATTTTTTTTTTATTTAAAAAATTACTCTAAAATTCGTCGATCTTTCTTTAAAGGTCCCTAGTACATTTAAAGAAAATATTTTTGTCACAATTTTCAGAAATAATTAATACTGAGTTCCATTTGTAAGGTCTCAAATTACGAATTTTAACAATTGTATAACACTACTAAAATATATTTTCCAAAAAATTCTTTTAAAATTGATCAAGTCAGTTAACAGCCCCAAGAATTTGGCAAACTCCGATGAATTAACTGCATCAATTGTCTCAAAATTGTTTCTCAAATAATTGTACAAAAATAATTTTTAAAAATTCAATTAAATCATGTTACAGTTTATTACTACAACTTCGCTTGGAAAGATTACGATCAAGCAACAGTTGAAAAATTACTGGACATGGTCAAAGTTGTAGCGTTTGCAGTGCAAGAGGGCCGTGTCGCTATTCATTGTCATGCAGGTGAATAAAAATTTCCCTTTCATGATTTTAGAGTAATATATTTTTATATTTCTCTTTAATATTAATATTTATTATTATAATGAGAAAATTAAATCATACAGCTTTCATGTAAATAAATGACTAAACATCTATAGTAAATCCGAGATCGGAGTACAAGTCACGACAAGACCGAATCAAAATCGTGACATGCAACGGTGACTATTAAATACCGATTCCAATCTGTCCCACCGTAAACATATAATAAGCAAAGTTATTTAAATAAATAATTTAGCGATAAATATCACGCCGAAAACTGGATGAAGTTTTTTATTATGGATTAATCAATTAGTATACTTGCTATAAATAGTACCCATAACTAGAGTCTTATCGAGCTTTAAATCACCTCCTACGTGTTTGTGTCATTGAAGGCTGCAATTATTATATAAATAGTGAAACAACGATACAAAGTAAAGCTTGTGACATCTACAATGTAAACAAGGCGTCTCTATATATTATTACTATATACTACTAGAATATCAGCAGATCAATTATTTAGGCCTGTCACTTATCTTTGTTGTTTTATTACTATTAATTTTACTGGGAAAATATCATTACCATAAAAGCTTTCTTAAGTTGATATTAAAAAACTGACAAAAGTATAAAGAAATTTATTATGTTAAATGTTTTGTTTGAATTGTTTGAAACTTCTATAGAAATTATTTAAAAAAAAAAATGACTTTGCACGGCAATTTCGGCTATCTTGGCTGCCGGAAGTTAGACACTTGGTCAGGGTCAGTGAGTTAGATTACCTAGATAAAGAGTAGAAATGTTTTATTGCATTAAACTGTCTGTATGGATCTCCAGTTTTAAAATTTGGTCAAGGTTTCTTAAGGCCGTTTATATCGGCAAGAATTTTTCACGGATTATCTTTTATATTGAACTGAATAGATTAATTTATTATTCAAGAAAAAGTTTAAAAAAGAAAAAAATTAATTAAGTTAATTTTTCGATTTTTTTTTTTAGTTAAAAAATTGCAAAGTCCTTCATCCAAATAATTAATAAAATTTTATAAAATTAAATTTTTTTTTGGTAAATATAATTAAATTAAATCAATTAAATTATTATTGGAATAATAAAATTATGATTAAGAATTTTTTTAATATTAAATTTTCTTCATAAAAAAATTTATAGATCTCAATGATAAATCTTGAATGATAAAGTCTAATAATAAAAGTGATAAATGAATTACAGCATGACAGAATTATCTATTAATTTTTATACGTGATCCGAGTCAATAAATAGAATCAGTAATATTGCATTAAATAATAAAGTCATAAATTAGAGATTGATGTTATCAACACTAAATTGTAATATCAAAAATCTAAATATATCGTGTTGATATTTAAATAAATCAATAAACCTTATTTACGTCCTTGAATGAAATTAAAAAATATTGATAGAAAATAGAGCGGAATATTATAAATATTAACTAAAATCGACGTTTCTAACCAGCAATTTAAACTTTACGATTTATTGATTTACGTTAACCACCAACCACCCAGGGCTCGGAAGGACTGGTGTGCTGATTGCATGCTACCTGATATACAGCCTGAGAGTGCGAGCCAACGATGCGATACGATTTGTACGAAAAAAGCGGCCAGGTGCGATACAAACACGGGGGCAAATAAAATGCATCCAAGATTTTGAGCACTATATACTTCCACGGATGATAATATTCCCCATCAAGCCGGCAATCGGAGGACTTATCCGCAGAAAAAATAATTTAGAGTCATTTTTAATGAAGCAATGGAATGTACTTCATGGATACGAGCAACGCACATTTAAATATATTCCCAAAATAGTCTTCGTTTTGTGTGAAAGAATTCTTCAGCTGTGCAATTGCCAGGACGACAATTCTCCAGCAGAAATTCAGTTTTTTATAAACGACTCGCCATTTACCAATAAATTTATTGTCAGCGGATTAGAGCTGTTGCGTCAAGGGAAAAATAATATCAGGCATTCATTTTCCTGGGCTGAATGCCTGTCTCAAGCGTCCTTCGATTACTCTAGTAAGTATGACTAATTCTTTGTTGAATTATTTATTTATTTATTTATTTATTTATTTATCAACCTACGCCTATCGCCAATATGCATAAAAAAAAAATATAAAATTAATTAGAATTTAATTAAAGAAAAACGAATTATTGATGGATATTTTATAAAAAATAATTTGTTTTTCAGATAATTCAAAAAAAGAGGCTAGTATTTCTTCGCGAGACACATGTGAAGACATTAAACGCCTGGATGATGTTTTTTGTACGTCACCAGACTCTCCGTCATGTTCAACTAGTTTTCCAGGTGAAAATTTTCATCATTAAATTTTAATTTTATTGATTGTTTAGTTTTGACTAATAATTTTGGATTTAACTAAAGCTTTAGACGATAATTATGTGGACGATGTGCTAGCTGATGGGATCCACGGGCAAGATTTATATGACAATGATTGTTACAAGGAAATTCAGTCGCAATTGCTGCTAAAAACGGCCGCGCAAAAAGAAGAGTTTGAGTATGTCGGGATTGATGAAGTTGTCAACGCGTTGCTTTGTGATAATTCCAAGTTGACCGATGAGGAGAAAAAAATTTTTTTACAGTATCAGGTAAGATCTAATTTTTTGAAAAAATTCTGATTATTGACTGTAAGTTACTTTATCTTGATTTAAAAAATATCTAATGCAATTATACTAAGAAATTTTGATTAATTTTGTGCTAATTTATTTTAATGTAATTTCTTGAGGAAAAATTTTAGTTAAAAAAATTCATTAAAAATCGAATAATTATTAAAGTTAATTAATTAAATTTTTTTAGCTTTAAAAAAATTTTTTTTTTTTTTAATTATTTACCAATAATTGATGAAAATAATTAAAAAAAATATATAAAATACATTTTTTAAAGACAAATTAAATTTAAATTATTGATTCTAAAAAACTGTTTTTAAATGCAGATAGACCTGAATAACAAAAATTCATCATGGCAACGCCTGGAGTTGGAAACAAATTTACGTGTCCTAGGAAATTTATTGTACGAATGGTTAGAAACGTTGAAAAGACCAATTTTAGATACGGAAGCGTTGAGCCAGATAGTGATACGAGGTTCAAGGCCGCGAGAATGCTTGCTGAAGTTTGAGCCTTGTAATCGATATCTGCTGGAGTATCTACTACGTTTCGTGTCACGTCTCCGTCCTTTGTCTACGGATAAACAAACCCTAATAATAAAGCGAATCATCGCGTCACTTACACATCAAACTGTTTGGATTAGGAAAACTTTGATGCCTTCAGGTTGACTGTTAAATTACAATTAATTGAATACTGATCGTGCAAGAATTTAATGTCGAACAATTTAGCTAAAGTCATTACGATTATTTTTTTTCAGATAAAAATTTTCAAAAACTACGCGGCGGGACTGCTGGTAAGCTGACGGACTTTCTCGTAAGGCTTTTAAATTTGATCGAAGAAATAAACATTCAAGACTACAGTCAACGTTCTTTGTCATCGTCCAGGTGGTCTATTACCAGTAGCCGCTTGCAAATTATTAAAAACATGGATTGCGAATGAATATCAGTTCAAATTATGGTCGACTATTAAACTCTTTCAGTCATATTGATTTTTTATACTTAAAAAAATACTTTAATGTTTTGTTTGAATTTAAAAATTAAAAATTATTAATGAAAATTAAAATATAATTTTGTAAATATAAAAAATATTTTTTAAAACATAAAAAATATAAAATAATAAAATTTTTAACGATACCATTGCTGATGCAGTGCTGCAACTCGTCCTCGAACTTCAAGCTTCTGGTTCTTTGTTTTGATGCATCTTGATGAATCTGAACAAAAATATATGTATTAATATATAAAAATTGTAACATTCTTAATTTTTCTGAATTTATCTACAATATACTTTTGGTCAAAAGTAATTTTATTTATTTAAAAAAAATTAACCAAGTGTTATTAACTTACCAAATAATTTTTTTAATTCTTGAAAATTTTTTTATAACTGATACTCGCGAACTTACACAAAATTCACAATTAACTACTGACTGACAACTGGAATTGAACTAAAACTTTTAATTAATAAACGACTAGGTATATTTCACGCACTAAAAACTTTTTTTTTAATTATTATTATTATCACTTTACTTTTCATATTTAAATTTTATAAATAATGTCGAACTAATGAACTTTTTCTCGCGCGTTTTCCTTTAACGTATCGCTTTTTATTTTTGCTCATTTCTAAGAATTATAAATAATAATTAAATTATTTTTTAACAAACTAACAATTTCATCATTCTTTTCATATAAGTCAAAAGTAAATTTAATCATACGTGAAATTAATTTTAAAAGAAATTTATGATAAAATAATCGATATAAAAATATAAAATTGCAAATTAAAAATATTGAAAATTTCCATTGATATAATAAGTCTATTTTCTTAAATTAATACTTAAAAAAAATTTACTGAATTTATATTCTACAGAAATTTTTGAAATATTAATAAATATAAGCAAACAAGATGGCAGTGTAGTGTAAGTTAGTCGATATGTTACTAAAAGTCGGTAAGAAAAATTTACTGCGCCGTATTTTCCGTTGCCTAGAGCCACTCTGCGCATGCGCCATCTTAAAACTTGCTCCAGTAAACTATATTGGTAGCTTTTTTTTATAACAAAAATTATTTTATTTAATAAAATAAAATTCTAATCAAGAAATATATAATTAATCAATAATTTTATTTTATTTAGTAGAAAAAAAATATTCATATGTAACTAAAACTTGCCGGAATTTATGAGATAAAATCTAAAAATTATAACTTAAAATTTTTTTTATTTAAATAGCGAATTCTTATTATTTTATCAATAATTATTTTTATCTACTTTATTACGGGATAAATAATTAATAAAAACACTAGTACTAATATAAGTACTTCGTGTTTTATAAATATTTATCAAATTTCCAACAAAAATTCCGCGGCGCATAAAAATGGCGGGCGCACCTACGTTTCGCAACGTTGTCATAATTATAAAAAATATACTCTTAATTAATAAAAATAATTCATTATTTCTTACCCAAATTACCAATTATCTACTTGCTAATCTATAATTACTGAAAAACAGTTCCTATCTGCTAAAATTAATTAATATTTAATTCATTTAATACGAGCTCGAAAACATACAGCGTACGCTTCGGGAGGTTTAGTTCATTTGACGCCTGGCGTCTTCTTTCCAACGGCTCTTGCCTACAAACTGCGCCGAGCTCTCCCGACTCTTACCGAAGTCACCCGATTGTTTCCGGAATCTTCCGAGACTCAAACTTTATAAAAATAATAATTTTTAAATTATTCAAATAAATAATTAAAATTTTTTACAAACTAAAAAAAAAATTAATTTCATTAAAAATTTTATTATTAAAAAAAAATGACTAAATATAAATATAAATATTTAAGTAAAAAAAAAGAAACTTCGTGAGTTTCCGTAAGGTGAAAAAAAAAAAAACATGGCCGATCATTTACCAGACCAGCATGTCGTCCACGTTAAATTCTAATTTCTGTTCCTCATTACTTATAGATGATAAACTTATTGATAATAAATACACGACAACAATCGACAATGGATTTAATATTTATTATACATATTAACTGGATTGGATACATGCTGTGTACCGTACAATAAGTACTTGCAAGTAAGTAAGTATAGATAATAAACTAAATTGTAGATTTAAGATGTGGGAAAAAAAATTAAACGATTGCTCTACTATGTCCAGGTTCAGTTTAGGCTGAGCCTGATCGAGCAACGTTGAATGTTGGATACCAACACGTTCCGAGGAATTGCACAAATCAGCTGATGACGTAACAAACGACGAACGTACACACATCGGCACATAAATACATATATTGATAAATACACATGTATATATGTATACTTTCATTCTCATTGTGTCGTAGGCAAGTGAGTTAATGTTTAATACTATATACAGAGTAATTACTTTTATTGAAAATTGAGATTGAGAGACATTAAATAATAAGTGGGAGAAAATATAATGGCGATTTTATTTATTCGGTCATCGTATTTTTTATTCTTCACTATGTTTCAATAATAATTACATATTATATATTCATACACAAATATATGTGTCAGTATACATGTATCGGTTAAATTTCAACACTTCCGCCTGCTGATTTATTATTTATTACAATTTATAAAATATAATTCATTAATTAATATTTTTATTTGTATCACTCGTATTATTATTGTTATTATTTATATTAAAAATAATAATGATATATAATAATTAATTAGTGACTTATTATTATGAAACTAGCCAACTGAAGGAACAAAAAAAGGAAACATTGACACGTTTTTAGTGAATCACAAGAGCACATTTTTGAGTCGGTGCTATATAATAGCTGTACTGTTAAAAATTTATCAGTTAATTTAATTACATATTCGTATTATTTTATCGTCAGGTCAAGAGCGAGGTTAGGAAACTTGAAAAAATAATTTAAACCAAACTACAAAAGGACAAAAAGGTTAAAAATGAGTGTCGATGCGTATGGACCCAGTAGCCAAACTTTGACCTTTCTGGACACTGAGGAAGCCGATTTAATTGGAGCAGATACTCAAGGAAGTGAATTTGACTTCACAGACTTTACTTTGCCATCTCCGAGCCAGACTCAGGCTTCGCAACATGATTCCGCTCAGAGTCAGCCCAACCAATCTGTCCAGGTACTAGCAGCAAATTTTATTTATTTCTTTTAATTTCTTAACATATTTTTGTGTTACTTTTTATTTTAATTTTAATTAGCTCGGTCTAATTAATTCTCGCACATGCGAGATTATTTTTGTCCACGTCAACAAAGTTTATTTATTGACTTGCAATATTTTACTTTAACTTACTATTCGTTATTAATTAATAATAATACTAATAAAAATAATATAATTTATTTTCTAATAATGATTATGATAAAGATTTAATTTCATATTTAAATAATTAGCAATTATAATTGAGAGGAAATGAATCACGTGATTTGCCCTCAATAACTTATTTATCTTATTCGTTTAATTTTTAAAGAAAAATTTTATTTAATTTTATCTTATGACTAATTTATTTATTTAATTAATTATTTACTAGCACCTTGCAGTCACTATGTGACTGCCGTGACTTGTAAATTATAAATAAAATTTTGGTTTATTAAATAATGAATTTTGTTAAATTGCACTGTACATTGTGTTAACTATTGATATTTATAAAGATATAAGCTCATCCTGATGTTACACTCATCAAGAGCTTTCATTTGAGTACCCACATGGATTTTTGATATATTTTTCATATATACATATATATAACATATATTTTAAAGATATAAGCTCATCCCGATGATACACTCATCAAGAGCTTTCATTTGAGTACCCACATGCATTTTTGATATATTTTTCATATATACATATATATATATATATATATATATATAAGGTATTGATGAGTGTAATGTCGGGATGAGCTTATATATTTAAAAATGTCAAGAGTTCACGAGATACAAGGTCATTTCTTAACTATATATCTAGAGATAGAGCATTTTCGAATGCAACCTAAATACTTATCATCATAAATTGACTGTTGGTGAGAATGATATGAAACCATGAAAAGGCACAACTCCAGGTCAAGACTTTTCCAATGATACCAAATTTAACCATAAAAACCCATTTCATCATATAAATACACTTTCTCAAAAAATTTTGGTTATTCTCTTAATAATATAGATTTATTTAACCAATTTCAGATTAATGGAACTAACGGAAGCTCGGCATTGGACTTGAAAATATCTGGTGCTGCTCAAAACCTCGCAGAACTACAGTTCGAGGAAGAAGAAGAGGAGGCTTATTACAACCGCGATTTGCCGGATCATGCGTGTAAATACTGCGGTATTCACGAAGCTTCGTGTGTTGTTATGTGCAATGTTTGCAGAAAGTGGTTCTGCAATGGACGAGGCAACACATCGGGGTCACATATTATTAATCATCTTGTTCGTGCTAAGCATAAGGAAGTTACACTGCACAGGTATTAATAATTTAATTAAAAAAAATTTTTAAATCCTTTGTCGATTTTTCTAATGTAATTATTAATTTAACTGAAATTAAAATTATTCATACAGAGATGGACCATTGGGTGAAACAGTACTAGAGTGCTACTCTTGTGCCGTAAGGAATGTCTTTGTTCTCGGTTTTATCCCAGCAAAAGCCGACTCTGTCGTTGTCTTACTTTGCCGACAACCATGTGCTGCTCAAAGTTCATTAAAAGACATGAATTGGTAAGTCTAATTAAGAAATTTTAAGCTTAGAATTACGTGAGTTTTTTTTAAATTTTTTTTATATCAAAATAACAATCAAAACATTTGAAATTTTAAAAGACTATTTTATTGCAATTTAAATTATTAAAAAAAAAAAAGAACCTGGGTGGTACATGATGTTTCAGCTCTTCTATGGTTCTGAAATTAAAAAAAAAAGACGGATTTTCAATTATTAAAAATAAACTTATCGCAGGAACTAGAATTAAAAAGAAAAAAAATTTTTTTTAACAAGTGGGACGTAGTAGAATTTTTTTTTTAATCAAAAATTATTACTAACAATTAAACTTCCTCTAATTTAGGGATCAAGAGCAATGGAAGCCGCTGATAGAAGACCGTAGTTTCTTATCATGGTTAGTAAAAATCCCCTCCGAGCAAGAGCAACTCCGAGCGCGCCAAATATCCGCTCAACAGATAAACAAACTCGAAGAGTTATGGCGCGACAACGTAGACGCGACTTTCCAAGACCTTGAAAAACCCGGCGTCGATGAGGAACCCCAACAAGTTTTACTACGGTACGAAGACGGCTATCAGTACCAGAACATCTTCGGACCACTAGTCAAGCTCGAAGCGGACTACGACAAGCGGCTCAAAGAATCTCAAACCCAAGAAAACATCGAAGTCCGCTGGGACGTGGGCTTGAACAAGAAAACCATCGCTTATTTCATGCTAGCAAAAACCGACGGAGACATGAAATTGATGCACGGAGACGAGCTGAGACTCAGATACCTCGGCGAGCTTCACAAACCTTGGTCCGGAATCGGACATGTAATAAAAATTCCGGACAATTACGGCGAGGAGGTCGGAATCGAGCTGAAAAACAATTCAGGAGCTCCAACAGAGTGCGTGAGTAACTTTGTCGTCGACTTCATCTGGAAGAGCACCAGCTTCGACCGAATGCAATTAGCCTTGAGGAAGTTCGCCGTCGACGACACTTCCGTCTCTGCTTACATCTACCACCGTCTCTTGGGCCACGAAGTCGAAGAAGTTCTGTTCCGTTGCCACCTCCCAAAACACTTCAGCGCTCCGAACCTTCCTGATTTAAACCGTTCCCAAGTATACGCCGTTAAGCACGCGGTCCAGCGCCCCCTGTCTCTTATTCAAGGACCTCCTGGAACGGGCAAGACGGTCACCAGCGCCACAATAGTCTACCAATTAGTGAAGCAAAACGGTGGCCCTGTTTTAGTCTGCGCGCCTTCTAACACTGCCGTGGACCAACTTACAGAAAAAATCCACAAATCTAACTTAAAAGTCGTGCGCCTTTGCGCCAAGTCTAGAGAAGCTATCGACTCTCCGGTGAGCTTCTTGGCGCTGCACAACCAGATCAAGAACATGGAGACCAACACGGAGTTGCAAAAGCTCCAACAATTAAAAGACGAAACCGGAGAATTGTCATCAGCAGACGAGAAGCGGTACAGATTATTAAAAAAAGCCTCAGAAAAAGAACTTCTGGAAGCAGCTGATGTAATTTGCTGTACCTGTGTTGGAGCTGGTGATCCACGGTTGCATCGTTTGAAGTTCCACTCGATATTAATCGACGAAAGCATGCAAGCAACAGAGCCCGAGTGCATGGTCCCAGTTGTTCTTGGAGCCAAGCAGTTGATCTTAGTTGGTGATCATTGCCAACTGGGTCCTGTGGTGATGTGCAAGAAAGCAGCTCGCGCTGGCTTGTCCCAATCTCTCTTTGAACGATTAGTCGTTTTAGGAATTAGACCCTTCAGACTAGAAGTACAGTACCGGATGCATCCAGACTTGTCAAGGTTTCCTTCAAACTTTTTCTACGAAGGCTCGTTACAAAACGGGGTTTGCGCTGACGAACGTAAGCTCGTAAAAATAGACTTCCCCTGGCCGGTTCCGGAGAAGCCGATGTTTTTCTACGTGACTCAAGGCCAGGAAGAAATTGCTGGTAGTGGGACCTCGTACTTGAACCGCACGGAAGCTTCTAATGTTGAGAAAATAACAACCAGGTTCTTGCGCTGCGGAGTCAAGCCTGAGCAAATTGGTGTGATTACGCCTTACGAGGGTCAGCGAGCTTATTTGGTTCAGTATATGCAGTACCAGGGTTCCTTGCACGCTAAGTTGTACCAGGAGATTGAAGTCGCGAGCGTTGATGCTTTTCAGGGCAGGGAGAAGGATATTATTATCATGTCTTGTGTGAGGTCTAATGAGCATCAGGGAATTGGATTCTTGAACGATCCAAGGCGGCTTAATGTTGCTCTTACTAGAGCTAAGTATGGGATTATTATTGTGGGGAATCCAAAAGTTCTGTCCAAGCAGCCGCTCTGGAACCACTTGCTGAATTTTTATAAGGAACAGAAGGTTCTGGTTGAGGGACCTTTGAATAATTTGAAGGAGTCGATGATTCAGTTTGCTAAACCAAAGAAACTTGTTAACTCTGCGAATCCTGGATCGCATTTCATGTCCACCTCGATGTACGACGCGAGAGAAGCTCTTATTCCAGGGTCGGTTTATGACCGCACCGGACAAGTTAATGGGCAGTCGCATAATCCGTATTATCAACGGAACATCCCGTTGGATATGTTCAGCAGGACTCATGATACTATTAGTTATATTAGTCCTGAGCGGGCTCAAGCTGCGATTAATAATGTCCCGGTTCCGGTGGGGATGTTCATGAACATGGCGCATGTTCCTCCCAGGTTAGTTAGTTAGATATATATTTATTTGTCCTTAGAGCCGAAGCAATACATGTTTTATATAAGTATATATATAAGTATACAGTAGGGCGGCACAAAAAAAACCGACTATTTTTTTTTTTTAGTCTCGAGAGAAAAAATGTTAGTTTAAAAAAAAATTTTTAAGACGTCGCTCCAAATTTTTTTAAATTTCAAAAATTGTCAAAAATCGAATTTTTTTTTTTAATTTTTTTTCTCGTTACGTCATAGTTTATAGACCAAAAAAAAAAGGTTTTCCTGAAAGTTTCAGTTCATAATGTAAATTTTAAAAGGTCGCTCATAATTTTTTTTTAATTTATTTGTGACTATTTAGTTGGATTAGTATTTTTTGACTCTGAAATTTAAAAAAAGTTATGAGCGACCTTTTAAAAAATTTTTAAGGGGACGCTCCAAATTTTTTTAAATTTCAAAAATTGTCAAAAATCGAATTTTTTTTTTTAATTTTTTTTCTCGTTACGTCATAGTTTATAGACCAAAAAAAAAAAGGTTTTCCTGAAAGTTTCAGTTCATAATGTAAATTTTAAAAGGTCGCTCATAATTTTTTTTTTAATTTATTTGTGACTATTTAGTTGGATTAGTATTTTTTGACTCTGAAATTTAAAAAAAGTTATGAGCGACCTTTTTCAAAATTTAAATTTTGAATTGAAACTCTCAGGGACTTATTTTTTTTTTGTCTATAATATTATGAAGCAACGAGAAAAAAAAAAAAAAATTTCGAATTTTGAAATTTAAAAAAATTTGGAGCGTCCCCTTAAAAATTTTTTTTTTTGAGCTGTTCTTTGGAGAGCGCTCTTAAAACATCAAAAACTGAAATTTTTTTATTCGAGACTCATTTTTTTCTTTGTAATCTAAGTAGCAGCTTTTTCGACATGTTAGTAAACGCAGCACAACAATAATAAAAAATCGGGAATATAAGTGTAGTGACTAATTTTACTCGCAATTGTTAATTAAATATTTCATTGTTAATTTTAGGTTCTACAATCAGCACCAGCAGGCCTTGCAGGCTAGACAGAATGTCCAAAGGAACAGGAGAGGGGTCAAGAAGATGCCCGTTGGACCCAGGATGGGCAAGTTCAGTCAGAGTGACATTAACACCCAGCCGTATAATAGCCAAGGAGGCGCTTTGCCGCTTACGCAAGGCACTACTCAAGGGATGTCTCAGCCCGGGTTTAGTTTGTCCCAGCCGGGATTATCTCAAGCAGAGTTGTCTCAGGACTCGTTCGCGGTTGGCGATTTTCAGTCTCAGATGGACGGACTGCTCAGTCAGGACTCGACTTATCAAGGAGATAGAAGTGGGTTCTATCAAGGACAGTCTCAGCCCAGTGGACAATTCTCACAGCCGTACTGAACGGCGGTAAATATGGGGTGGGAATGTACGCTACGCCATTTTGTCGCGGGAGCGACTTTCTGCAAAAGGCTCATTTCATAATGATGATGATGATGATGATGATGATGATGATAAAGATTGATGATGATGATTGTGGGTTGATGGCGATGATACATTCTTGAACAGGGACGATTAATAACGCTGAGATAACGGATTTATGAAGCTCTGGATTGATTATTTAATATTGTTAATAACGGAGTTTTTATTGATTAAAGGATACTGATATGATGGTTTTATGATGATTGAGAGCTGTCACCCTCAGCGGTTTTATTAACAAATAAAATATATTAACAGATATATTTATCAAAGGAGGATTGATGGAGAGAATTTCATCGATTATCGGGGGATAAGGTCAATAATTGAGAGATTGAGATTGAGGTTTTTATTAAAGTGGTCGTGTGCTATCAACGAGAGTTAGACTTTTATGTTATTAATTATTTCTTATTACTATAATTTTGGTTTATTTCTTTTTTTTTTTTTTTCTATAAAAATTTCGAAAATTTATTATACGTAAAAAACAAAATAACACTGGATGGTGAAAAAAAATTTCAGACAGCGAAAAATTTTTATTAGTTGAATTAATAATAAAAAAAAATTTTTTAAAAATTGCACTTATAATTTTTCTGATTTTTTACATGTGCAATTTTTTCTTTTAATTATTTTTCAATAATTTTATTAATAAAAAAAATTCTGAAAATTATCAGCTGTCTGCTAATTTTATTTTCATAAATCTAGATTATATTAGCTACTATCAGAAATATTCTTTCACCACAAATATCACTGAGTATAATCTGAGATGATATCCAGTGTAATCTTGTTCTTTCCGTGTAGTTTTACATTTTTTATTTTTAATTAATTAGTTTTTTTTTTTTTTAGTTACTAGAATTAATAATATAAAAGAGATGGAAACGGCTTTGATAATTAATAATAAATAAAAATAATGCACCGACCTGAAATCCTTCGATTAATCGTTAAAAAAAACATCAATTACATTTCATTATTTATAATTATTATTATTATTAATTGATTAAATTTATTATTATTACTGCTATAATTATTGGAACTATGTTTAATTTTTCTATTTGTTAAATTGATTAATGTAATTCGAAAATACGACGAAGAAACACAACGCGCTTCCTTTTAAAATTATTTTTTTTTTTTTTTTGTTAAAATTATAAAAAAGAAATGACAATACAATTTTATTTTGGTTATTTTGAACTTCGTCGGTAAAAAAAAAATGAATACTATATTTTGATGTAATATTATTACTATTATTATTTTTGGTTTAATTCGTTCTTCTTTATAATTAAATGAAATATAAATGTATAGAGTATAAAAGAGAAAAATATATATATTGAATATATATCTATATTTTTTCCGACCAACAGCACACCTCTAAATGAAAATTGTTGAAAATGAAATTAAAAATATAAAAGGAAAAATTAAATCACTGTAAAATTAAATCGTACCAATAAATGTGATGAAAAAAAAAAAAAAATTGAATTTATTTATTTATTTCTAGATAATAATTACAGTATTTATTATAAATTTATTTATATATTTACAAAAATATAAAATCTTCAATCATTTTGTAACATCAGCCAATTATACATATTTAATTCTATTTGTTTAGTTTCTATGCTTAATTGACGGAAAAATTCTTCAATATTTTGCGTCACGTTATTTATAACTTCTGGCTGGTAATACGAGTTATTTAATTGTTGAACATATTTATCAGTACATTCAACAGTTAAAGGAAAGTTTGTACATATCTCACTATTAGTATCAATTTCTTCGTAACAACTATTTGTTTCATATTGATCAACTTCTTTTTCTTCTTGAACTTTAATATATTCCACCATTTTGTTCGATACGCCTTTTGGTTCTTTATTTCTTACAAAAGTAATTATATTCTTCTTCAAAGTTAAAAATTCAGAAAGATTCAAAGTACCATCAAAAAATTTTAAAGATTCATTGGATTTTACTACGTCCAATGCAGAAATATATGAATCAAAAAATCCATCTTCAATTTCAGAATTACTAAACAAGAAAAGCTGCAATTTTCTTTTCAAATTTTCATATAAGCTTACAAGTTCGCCATTTTCTGAAGTTATAACCTCACAAATTTCCTTTTTTTTGGAATGCATCAACAAATAAATTTTCATCATTATACTCAAAAAATTTTTCAAATGCCGCCAATAATCTTTAAAAATAATACATCTCGCCGTACTTTCTCCATTCATACATTTCTTCTCTAACTGCTCCAAAAAATCCACTTCATATTCTAAACATTTAATAACAGTTTCATTATTCAAACTAATTTTATTTTCAAGTTTCGAAGAAAAAATAACTCTATTTACATTAACTAACTTCATAAAATTCACATCATCATCATCATCATCAAACTCAAATAAATTAAAATCAACAGAATGTTCTGATTTTTGAACATCATAAATTGAAAAAATTTTCTTCTTTTTACGAACATCATATTTAATATAACTTATAAAATTATCACCAAGTTTATTTGGTTCACTCAAAGAAGAACTGTTCAATTCCTTCAACCTCCTCACGTGTTCTAACCCAAAGTTTACAACTGTTTCTTCTTCATAATACTTTTTTTTAAAAATCTCTGGCTTATTATTTTTATACACAAAATCTATTAAATCTTTAACAGTAATTGGTTCAATTTTTTCTGATAATTTTGGCGTAGTTTTATTTAAGTAATTATTTTTTAAATTATCATTACAATTTTCTAAATTTTTTAAACAAGTTTTGGAAGCTTCAATTTTTTCTTCTTTAACATCATTTTTACACTCAAAATTATTTCTTCCGTAGCTCATAAATAATTCAAACCTTTCAATATTTCCCGCCCAAACATCCTCAAGCAAATAATCCCTCGGAAGTTTATAAATTTTTGTACTTGGAACCGACAGGGAAGAAAACAAATCTTTAAAATTGTCCAACTCTCCAACAGATAGCAAGCTAATAGCAATTCCATAAGCTCCGTATCTTCCAGCACGACCAATTCTGTGCAGATAAGTAGCGCTGTCACAAGGGACATCAAAATTAACAACCAAATTAACGTTTTCAGCATCAATTCCCCTAGCAGTCAAGTCAGTGGAGCACAAAATCCTACACTTAAAGTTCTTCAAGCTCTCCATTGTGCTCAAGCGTTTCTTCATGTCCTGATTACCGGTAATGTAAGTTGACTGGAAGCCCTTGCCGGTTACTTGATTGCAAACCGACTGGGCTCTGGACTGGTAATTAAAAAAGACCAAACTCTGCTTGAACTTGAAGTTTCTTAAAATTTTTAACAATTCCTTGACTTTTATCTCCACTCGCTTCATCGGGTTGGGATGATCAGGAACTATCACGACAAATTGACGCAACCCGAGAAGAATAGGACTTCTGTCATCGGGTAAGCACACCAAAGGCGTTCGCATGTACTTTGTTGTAAATAAAGTTATGTTTTCTGGATAGGTTGCGCTTGATAGTATTACCTGTTTGATGAGATTAAAGTTATTTTAAAAAAATTCCATTTTATACTTTTTAAAATTTCTACGTGTCAATTTTTTATAATACTAAAGTTAGCCGACGTTTTTAATTTTTTGATTTTTTTTTTAATAATTAAATTAAATTAAAAAAATATTTTTCAAAAATTGCACTTGCAGTTGTTCAAGTTTTTTACAAATGAAATTTTTTTTTTTATTTTTTTGTAATGATTTTTCCAATAAAAAAAAAAAAAAAAAATTCTAAAAATTTTTAGATGTCGGCTAACTTAATTTTCATCAATTTTTTTTGCCTAACTTTTTTTAGTATAAAATTCTTAAAATAATTAAATGAATGCTAAATAAATTCTCATACCTGTTTGTTTGTTGGCAATTTAGAAAAAATGTAGTTTACATCTTTTCGAAAACTGTCATCCATTAATTTATCAGCTTCATCTAGTACAAACAATCTGACGTTTTCAATTTTAACAAGTTTTTGGTCGATCAAATGCTTCAACCGGCCGGGCGTGCTAACGATGATATGACAGCTGACTATTTTTGTTTTATCGGACTGCATTGGTGTTCCTCCGACAAAATAGTCGACCTTCAAGCCTGGCATTTCGGAGCCGATTGAAGAAAACACGTTTGATATTTGAACGGCTATTTCTCTCGTGGGAGCTAAAATCAAAACTTGATGAGGTGAATTATCGAGATTTATCATTTCCAATGCTATTATTCCGAAAACAGCTGTTTTTCCGGTTCCAGATTTTGCCTGGATTAGCAAATCAAAACCACATCTTCCCAAGGGAATTGCTTTTAGTTGAATTGGAGATGGCTTTTCAAAATCACAAGCGGTTAAACCGTTTAATATACGTTGGGATAAACCCATTTCATAAAAAGTTATTTTTTCTTTTATGGATATATCTGTGGTACGAGGCTGAGCGGTAAGTTCATGAGCACGAGTTAGATACATTTTGTGTTTTTTTAATTATTTATTTGACTTTATGTTGAATAATTTATGATCTAGGTGACAAGTATTCAAATGAATATTTTTGTTGACTTAACTAGGTTATGTCGCACGTGTTTTTATTTATTTGTGTAAATATTTCGCTACATGGAGATCGATCCATCAAAAATGAAAAAAAATAAATTAGCCGACATCTGAAAATTTTTAGAATTTTTTTTTTTATTGAAAAAATTATCACAAAAAATTAAAAAAAAATTTCATTTGTAAAAAATTTGAAAAACTGTAAGTGCAATTTTTTAAAAATATTTTTTTCTTCTAATTTAATTATTGAGAAAGTCAAAAAATTAAAAACGTCGGCTAACTTTAGGATTATACAAATTTGTTCCGAAAAATTATTAAAAAAAAAGTTTTTTTTTATTTCTACGTCAATTTTTTTTCTTAGTTTTTTTTTTTTGCCATAATTTATTTGTCAAAAATGTAATTAAAATTATCAAAAATCTGCTAAATTTATTTTAATGCCAACATATGAAAATTTATATAAATTATTTTTTTAAAATTTTATATAAATTTTAATTTTTATATAAATTATTTTTTTAAAAATTTATAAAAATAATTTAATTAATATAAAAAAAATCGAAAATTGTTAAACGTCGGCTAATTTAAGTATGAGCCATTAAAATTAATTTGTTTAGAATTAAATTATGACATTATTGATAATTTCACAAAATTATTATACTTTTACTTTTTATTCAATAAATATTATTAATAAATAAATTAATTTTAACAAACTGGAAACTGGAGTAAAAAATAATAATTTTTCTCAATTTATTAAATTTGTTTTTTTATTACAAAAATTTGTTTTATAATTAGAAAAAAGTTACAATAATTTAAGTTTACATTGCCGCAAAAAATATTTTATTTTATTTGATAATTTTTATTACTAATTTTACTTTACTTTAAATTTGATTTATAGATAAGTGCAAATTAAATTAATGGAATGTTTATTTACTTAAATTGATATTTTTAGTTTCGAAAAATTAAATTAAATTTTTATTGTCAATTGAAAAGGCAGCGTTACAAGTCTATTCAATTTACCCCGGTTCAATTTTCCAACAGTGTTTCAAGTACACTAAAATAAATTACAAGGTCTCAAAAATTAATCGAATTGAACCAGAGTAATTACAAATGTTCCGATAGGCCTGTAACACTGTCAATTGAAAAATTAATTTGGCACTTTTATTTAAATTTGATACTCGAAGATTGTGCAAAATATTTATATGTATTTATTTGGACGTGGAATTATTTATTTTATCAAATTACTTAACTTGTGCGCTGTATCATTTAATAAATCAAAGTTGTTTCAATCTGTAGAAATATTTTTTTTTTTTTTTTCAATCTTTCGCTCTCAGGATCAAAAAATTATATTTTCGAACAAAAATTCATTCAATCGCTTTAATAAAAAATTAAAAAATAATTTCTACAGATCAAAGTGAAACTGTACACCAGCTTCTTTAATACAACATTTCTCTTCCTCAATAAACAAAAGTTAATTCCAAAAAATCAATCTCAAATATTAAATCTTTAAAAAAAAATTCATAAAAATTACTAACAACTTTTTTTTCTTATTTATTACTGATATTTTAAATATTTTTTTAAATCTTTTTAATTTTATTATTTTTTTTTTTTTATTTTTCATTACATACATCGACAAATACAAAATAATTAAATTGAGGAAGAGATATTTGATCATACGACTCGAGAAAATAACATACATTTTTTTTTTTATTTATATATTTTAATATTTTTTTTAATTAAAATTATTTTTAATGAGATCATCTTGTCCTTAGCTTCGACATTTTCCTCACGATTTATTTATCTTTCAAATTCCTCATAAATCTCATTTCTATATTTATTTATTTTTTTTTTATTTTTCATTTTTAACTTTAACTCTAATTGTTGCAAAAAGAACATCAATTATAAGGCACACATTTTTTTATCTCGGATGTTATGAGATCACAGTGCTTATGAAAAAAAAATGCTGCGAAAAAATTCATATAAAAAGTAATTCAATAATTATTTTAATTTTGAAAATTTAATTATTTATTTTCAACAAATAAATCAGTCAATCAATCAATACAAATAAATACAAAATTTACTTCAAAGCCAATTAAACTTTCACGGAAAAAACAAGATGACACTGGATATCATCCCAGATTATACCCAGTGATATCTATGATGAAAAAATATTTCAGATAGTAGCTAAAAAAATCCAGATGAAGCTAAAATTAGCCGACAGCGAAAAAATTTTTATTTTTTTTTTATTAATTGAATTAGCAATAAAAAAATATTTAAAAAAAAATTGCACTTATAGTTTTCCTAAATTTTTACATGTGCAATTTTTTTTATTTATTTTTTTGCAATAATTTTATTAATAAAAAAAATTCTGAAAATTGTCAGCTGTCTGCTAATTTTATTTTCATAAAAATTTTTTTTCACTCAGTATAATCTGGGATTATATCCAGTGTCATCTTGTTCTTTTCGTGTACAAATTTTTATTTTCTTGAAAATAAAAAAATGTATTGATTGGAAAATAGCAATTAAATTTTCAAAAAAAAATTGACAACATCAGCAATTTTTAAATAAGATATATAATTAATAATTTAAATAAATTATACTGATGTTACCCTAAATTGCACCATGATTGAAATTCCCCCCTCCTAAATTGAAAAATCCAACTCTACGCAAACGAATAAATCCTTTTCTTTCTTTTCCTACAATCAATCAATTAATTTAAATTTACATACTAAGAAAATATAAACAGACTTCTATACCTCATTAGCAGTAACCTATTAACCGATTAAATCAAAAAAATTAAATAAAATAAATAAAGATTATAAATTAACACGCGCACTAGATTCAATCGAAATCTCTTTTCCCTAAATAATTAAATAATTATCACAGAATCAATAGTCACGCGTGGACTCGATATAAGCACAGCCTAAAATTTTTGAGCTTACATTCACGATACTAACTACTTAAATTAATCGATAATTATTTATTTATATGAGCGACGAGTGTTAATTAGTTAATTAATTGATAAATGAATGTAAGACTAAGCATTTAAATGCTTTTGATATTTATCCACCGTTGAGGTAATTGTTAACTAGAAGTCTCTTAATTCCTTTACTTGATAAGGTTTGAAGACATGTGGCGTTTTATTTCAATTTATTTTTTTAGCTATTAAGAGTTGGTAGAGTCGGTGGTTTGTTCTTGTGGTTTTAATTTCTTGAAAACACTCTCCAGTGAATGTGTCTTCTCTAGTGTTTCACAAGTCAGTTTGAATACTTGCTTGATGTGCTCGAAGGTATCAAAATCATATACTGATCTTGCGGTATTTGTTAGGTCAAATGGTTCTGTTGATAATAATAGAAAAATTTATTTTTGATGTAATACTACTCAAGATTATTATTATTATTATTATTATTAATCTTTTACTATTGGACTTTTTTCTTCTAAAGACAAATTTTTAATACTTTTAGATTTTCAGGTAATTGGCTCTCAATTTTTCAATTTATTTTTTCGTAATGTTTTATCTGTATTTCCCTCCATACATATATAATTCAGACACAATTCATAGCGAAATTTGTGTCATTAAGGGAACCCGGTGGTCTAACAGCCTAAAATTTAAACTATTTTGAAAAATTTAATTCTATATGAAGGTAATGATTAATGCTTTCAAATTTTTTTTTAACACTTATTCTTTTAACTACGTGTCATTCTGTCAAATATTTTTTTTTTTTTTTTTTTATTGGCACGTAATTGAAAGTATTTTTTGAAAACTAGTTTCACATTCGTACTTTTAACTTCAGCGCCATTTTTCTAATTTAAAAAAAATTTTTTTTTTGTTTTGATTTTCATTTTTGTGTAGTTGATAAGTAATAGAATAAGTGTAAAAAAAATTTGAAAGCATTAGTCATTACCTTTATATAAAAATAAAATTTTTAAAATAGCTTAAATTTTAGGCCGCTCGACCACCGGGTTCCTTTAAAGACAAATTTGACCGAAAAAATAAATAATCCCGGTTTGGACTGTCCAAATTATTTTTTCTGTCAAATTTTTCTTTAATGACAAATTTAGATATGAATTATGGCTGAATTGTATATGCCTGTAGGGAAATACAGGCGAAACATTACGAAAAAATAAATTGAAAAATTGTTTTTATTAGACTGGAGAGTCAATTACCTGAAAATCTAAAATTATTAATAATAATTTTAGAAATATTACTAAGATCGGTGATTTTACTTATTAAAGAGGATTTATTACTTTTTTAAGCCAACTTATCCGATCCACACTCAAAATATTTTTTCGGTTACTGAAAAAAGTTTCACTGAGTAAAAAATAACATCTTTATATTATAATGCCAATAAAAATTGTCTTAAAAACCAAAATTTTTAATTATTATATATTCATCCGAGGATGGTATGAGTGCTCATACCGACAATATTGTGGTGAAAATAATTAATAAATAAAGTAGATCGGGTAAGTTGGCTTAAAAAAATAATAAATTCTCTTTAATAAATAATAATAATAATAAATAATTAAAATACCTTCAACACAAAGCCATTTCCATTGGTGAGGATCATTTTTTAACGAATGAGAAAAACGACACTCTTCAATAGGTATTTGCTTTGCCAAACGTACCGATACCGCGTATCGAATAAAGCTGAAATAACAAATTACTTTTAATAAAAACACCCACCATTGAATTATTAGATAATTAAGACTCTAATTATAATTATAATAAGAAAAACTTGAAAAAATATTTACTCGAAATTGACGTAGTATTTGAAAAACTCATAGAACAGTTCACCGAGTGGCTGATGATTCAATTCTCCCAACAATTTTGACGGAATGTGCATTTCTTCATTGATGTCGATGGTATGAATGTCGGAATCATCTCGAAATTTATCGCCATACAGTGTTTGCAAGCACGGCAAAACAGCCGGGGTGACACCACATTGCAAGAAATGGATCACCATTAATACTAATGAGTAACTACTGATCGTCATGTTTTTGGCGTCGTTGATGTCTTGTGCTTGGGCCCATAGTTTTACGACTAGTACCAAAGGCCGTACTCGCCAATCGACTGTTTAATTTATTAATAATTATTTATTTTGTTTTATTATTATTGATTAATAATAATGGAAATATTAATTTTAAACTTACTACGGGAGTAACAATGAAGCATATGTGTATTCCGAACACCCACGGCATTGTTACAGTTCAAGTCGACTTCTAAATGCTGTATTCCGTCTCGAAATTTTAGAATTGGCACTTTTGCGTGAATTAATTCTAAATTTTGAATGAAATCTGTAAAATAATTATTAATATTAATATTTTTGCTCGTGTTTTTGTTCTTATCAATATTATTAAGAGAATATGCAAAATTTTGTGGCCAGTATATTTGTATGATAAAATGGGTTTTTATGGTTAAATTTGGTATTGTTGGAAAAGTCTAGACCTGGAGTTGAGCCCTTTCATGGTTTCATATCATTCTCACCAATAGTCAATTTATTATGATAAATATTGAGGCTACATTTAAAAATGCTCTATCTCTAGATACATAATTAAGAAATGACCCTGTATCTCGTGAACTATTGACATTTTTAAAGATATAAGCTCATCCCGATGTTACACTCATCAATACCTTTCATTTAAGTACCCACATCAATTTTTCATATATTTATATATATTATATATATGTATATATGAAAAATATATCAAAAATGCATGTGGGTACTCAAATGAAAGCTCTTGATGAGTGTAACATCAGGATGAGCTTATATCTTTAAAAACGTCAATAGTTAAAAAAATACAGTGCAATTTAACAAAAATCGTTAATTATAAAATTTATATGATTAATTTGTTTTGAGAAAGTTGCAATAAAGTCAATAGAAATAAAAATTAAATTTTAAATGATTTACATAAATAAGTTTTTCTTTCTACAATTTAAATAATTAATATATTTGAATTGTTAAGCAGTGAATTTAAAAACAAACTATGCATCAAATTTTTTCTTTCAATAACTAGCCAATTAAGGGTAATAAAAAGTAAAATTGTAACAAATAAATTACCACAGTAACTCAGACAAGCTTTAACTTCCTCTAAGTGTGCGAGCGCTCGTTCTCGCAGTATAATCTCGGTATTTTGTACGACTAAACAAATGTCAACGTCACTCGTACAGGCCCCAAATCCATTCATTGTTGATCCGACCAAAAAGAGACTGTACCTTGGATATATTGTCTGTAATAATTATTGATTAGTTTTTGATATTTTAATGAAATATAAAAAATAAAGAAATAATAAAAAATTACTTTGATATAAATTAGCAAGTATTTCCACAGCATCAGTTTTCTGACATACATTTCTTCAGACTGCTGATGGGAAGAAAATTTATCCCAAACATTCTGTGACAATTTGTCCCACTTGGAGTTACGTAAAAGTTCACTGGGTGATGCCTTCGATGCAATTGAATTTGACCTAGCTAAATAACGATCTGGAGCCAAAAATGATCTGGGGAATATACTCGCAAATTGCATTGCCAAATCCGGTTGTTTCCCGACTTGATGGTATTTGTGTAACGCACTTGTTCGACCTATTGAAGGAGTAAAAAATAATTTATACAAATTATGCATCCACTCGTGTAAAAATCATTTAAGACCCGTAATAAGTAAAATACTTATGGGAACGAATTTTTTTTTTAAGTAGATCAGTAAAGTTTTCATTTTTTCTATTAATCAGAGGAAATGTATAATAATTGAGAAAAACAGTATTTTTATCATGCACTATACTGTTAAACTACTTTACTTTCTTCCTTAATTTTCTTAACATAAAAGAATATTTAGAAAAACACTATCTTAGTTTGAAAAAAATTTTTGTCTGAAAAAATTTTTTCTCCTTAAGATAATTATTTTATATTTTGAAAACAACTTGAATTCTCCTAAAAATTTCTTTAATTCAATTAGTTTTCATTATTTCCTGTATATGGGTGATTCTCTGTAAGGACGTCTTAAACCTGTACAAAATTGTCCGACCAAATTATTTTTGATTTTATTAGAAAAAAAATTAACAAGGGCTACAAAACTATCAGCTTAATCATAATAAATAAACAGCCGATTTAATTTTTGCTTAAAATAAAAATTTTATAATCTAGTCAAAAAAAAATTTGTTCCTATAAATATTTTACTTATTACAGGCATCAAATGTATATTAATATAGCTTTTATATGAATCTCATATTTGTAACGAAGAAAATTTAAACATGATTTAAATAAAAAAAAATTTTTTTTAAACGTTTATCGCTGACACGAATAACTTGTTTTTGTTATTTATTCTTGGACTTACCACCTGTGTGATTACGTTTCTTTCCCTGATAATTTAGCTGGTGTAGTTGCGTTGCAGACGGACTTATCGTAGGACTTGTACTGAGACAATAATTCATATGTTGATTAGGATAATATTGATTTGTATTGTTAATAAATCCCTGAGATGTGAACGTTATATTTGATGATGGGCTTGGACGTGTTTGTTGAAATTTTCTGTTTTTATCAACAAATAAAAAATATATTAGTAATTTTTTCTTTTCTTTATTAAATCTTATCATTTTGTTTATTACTTTTTTTTTTGTTATTTTACCGACAATTAAAAATTAATAAAAATAAATATTTAATTTTTGTTTAAAAATTTAAAAATACATTGACTTTATTTAATCAGTTTTTACTTCATGAATTTATTAAATTTTTGGGAGTATTTTTTATTATTATTATAAAATTTTTACGCAATATCAAATAAAAAAAATTTGGCTCAATAAATAGAGATTAAAAAAAATATATATATATTTGAGCTGATTATTTTTCCTTTAGAAGAAAAGCTTGATAATTTTTTTAACATTAAACGTTAAAAATAATTTATTCTTCAAACAAATTAAATTAAATTAAAGAGCAAAAAAAAAAAACATACTTGATATCAGGTTCGGCAGAAGATGCAATAGACTCGCGATCATCAGAGCTCTCATTTTGGCTATCATGTTTACTAGGCGTTGGAGATCGTGAACTGAAGCCACTATCACTTCCGTAATTATTGACTTCCTTAATCTGTGATTGATCCCGCTGCATATTTCTTTTGTTTGATCGGTTGTAATTTTGTTTCTTCCCTCCATTGTTATTGTTATTATTATTATCATTATTATTATGATTATTGTTAATATTATTATTATAATTATTGCTGTTATTATTATTATTTTGACAATTACTACTATCACTATTGCTAACTTTTTTAGCGTTCGTTGGCACTGAATATCCGTTTTTATTATTATGACTTTTATTATTACTACTATTATTATTATTATTATTATTATTATTATTATTATTGTTATGATTATTATTATTATTTGTTTTTTTATTCTGATGCCAATTCTTCGCAGGTAAATTTGTATTATTTCCTCCTGGAGGAGATCCTCCTGGTCTTCTAGGTGATAAACTTTCAACAATCATTCTGCGATTGTGTCCCAGTGAGTAAATTGAATTCTATTAAACAAAATAAAAAAATAATTTTAATTCCAAATTAAAAATAATAACAAATATTAGGATCACGGGTATCTGGAAAACACAGTTAAATCAATTTAAACAATCATTGAATTGCAACGTTTCGTTTTTATTCTTAAGATTTTATCAAGTTCTGGAAAAATAGACCCGGAAAAAATTTTAAAGTTATTAAAAATTCATATTATTTCATTAAAATTATTATAAAATAAAAATTATAATATCCACTCCCAAAATTTTCCTGAAAAACAAGCACCCTCAGAATAGATCGTTCCATTTTTTGTTACAAAGAAAATTATTATTATTTTTATTAGTAGATTTCATTGAAATTTAACTATTTCATTGGTCCTCATGACGGAATTTTTAAAAAATTTCGACTCAATTTATCAAACTGATTCAGAAAATACATATGGTTCAAAAGTTTTTATATGTATGTATTTATATATCGACGTTTTAATTAGCAAATTGTCTAACTCCATTTTAGAGAATCTTCCATTTGTACGAAAAAAACAATTAGTTCAAAATTTCTTATCACTATAAAAAACCATTTAATATCATTAATATCTAATACAGGTATAGTATTTTGGTTTAAATCATTCAAATAATTTATAGTGTGACTATTGTTACATCAAAATGTTAAAAAATCACCCTCGAAAAAAATAAGGAGTTAAACAAATTGCTAATTAGACCATCGATATATATATATATATATATATATATATATATATATATATATATATATATATTTATATGTATATGGGATATGAGACTTGTCAGGAAGATAGTGTTGGACTCAACATACTTATTCTACAGATAGATACCAAAGTCAAGTTCAAAGATGAACTTAATTGGTCAAGTAATTTATAAATGCCAGGATTTCAAAATTTTCAAAATCATGAAAATTCATATTTCTTCGCATTCTTAATTAAATAAGTTTTGAATGAGATAATTTATTCAATTACATCTGAAAGCTCTTTAAATTTGCTTCAATTTGAGTGCCATATCATAAGTGGTCTCAAAATTATGTCCTTATTATGAAATTTGCTGTTGCATTAGTTTTTTTTTATACAATCCTAGTAGTTTTTTTTTCTATTCATTATGAAATCTACTTCCATTTCGTCTACCGAATGGCCTTGTATTTATTTTACAATAATTTCAATGAAATAATATAAATTTTTCATAACTTTAAAATTTTTTTCGGGATTCTTTGTTACAATATAATAATTAAATCTAAGCCTGATAAAGTCTTAAGAATAAAGACGAAACATTGCAATTCAATGATTGTTTAAATTGCTTTAACAGTGTTTTCCAAATACCCGTGATCCTGATATTTGTTATTTATTAATCTGAAATTGAACGGTATTAAAATGAACAATAATAACTCTTAAAAATTACCTGCATCAATTCACGTTGTCTAGTTGGATTGCCGTTAAAATGAAATAATTGACCTCTTCCATGACTATCCTGCTGGAAACTCTGATGCACTAGGTGTCGATTATTGTGATGATGAAGAGGGTGATGATGATGGTGATGATAGTTATTACTATTATTATTATGATTACTGTTGTAGTAATTACTATTACTTGAACTGGTGGAGTAAGGATAAGGAGGGATAGAGATCTGAGGACAGTGTCTGTTAGGTTGGTCGACAATCTGCATCATTAAATGTGACGGATACATTGTTTGATACATTATTAATAAAAAATTAAATTATCAACAATAAAACCAACACTTATTAACTATCCCTATTTAATTTAACGTCGCTCAACGACCGATCCATTAACTCACGATAAAGATAAAAATATCATATTTCTCTTCGATAATTCATATATTATACTCATTAATAAATTAATTCATTTAATATTAATACTTATTAATTAATTAATAAACCGGGTGGCTTTTATAAATTATTTATCAGCCAGCTCTTCACGTATCACGACCACAAGAGAACTGATGATATAAATACACTTATTATTTATTTATACGCACGACAAACACAAAAAAATAATAATAATATTTAAGTATCCAATACAAATGATAATATTTTTCTTTCTTTTTTTTTTTTTCTTTAATTAATTTGTTGTTTTAATATTATTTTTGTTATTTTTTTAATTGTTTTTTAAGGTTCAAGGACAATCAAGGAATTTCTTGGTGCGTGCAGGAGTTTTTTTTTTTTTTATAAAAATATTTATCGTTGGTATAATTCCTTGTTGTCCTGTCAACAGAAAAAATTAAACTTTATATTAAGACAAAATATTAAAAGTTAATTAATTTATGCTAATAAATTGAGGTTATGTTTTTAGACCTAACAAATGTTCACTAGAAAAAAATTGAAGAAAATAATTGCTGATATGAATGAACTTATTAATTAAAATTATTTATTTTAATATTATGTAATAAATGAATAAATAAATAAATAAATAAATAAATAAATAAATAATTTAATGAGCAAAGTAAAATATAAAACTTACGACTTAAAACCGCCGAGCAGAGTTGACGTTAAAAAAAAATTCAATTTTTTATATAATGTACACTATAGATATAAATAAATTAATTTTATAAATAATAATTAATTGGAGGTAAATATATGTATATAATTCGTAAAAAAAAAAAATTCATTAGTTAATCAAAAGTTAAAATAACACCCGACGCCTTTTTCAATTCAAATAAATTACTTTCAGAGAAAAGTTACCGAATAAATGGAAAAAAGTACAAATATATGTATATAATATATGTAATACAATACTAAGCTGATAATAATAATTATGTTGTCGTGTGTCGTGTGGTGTAATGCAAATACAAAATATATATACTTATTATCGAAAAAATAATTTTCAGAGAAAATTGCTGGCGGATTTTTTTATCTATAGTATTATATATTTATTATTTATCACTTTTTAGATTTTATGGCTCCTATTCTATTACGCTAATACAACTAGAAAAATCGTTAATATTCAAATTCTGTCACAATAACATTTTTCGCTTCTCTTTCTCTGATTTTTATTTTTTTTTTTTTACTATTATAATCTGCGCATGTCAGATTTTTGTTAAGGACCAGTCGCAGGGCCAAAAAATCCTAAATGTCAAAAAAAAATTTATAATAATTTTATAATTTGTAATAAATTTTTTTGACATGTGTCATAAAAATAATGAAAGTTTTTTAATAATAATAGTAACTAATTTATATTTTCATATTTTATTCAATAAAAAATAAAATTAAAAATTGTACATTACCACCAGATGGAAAAATTTACACCTGCGCTGCCTACACATGATAACATTGGATATTTGTTTGATGAGAACAGATTGTCATTTTCAAATTTGCAATTCTCTTAATAGTCCTTTGTAATAATATTATTAATACTTAGAAATAAACATAAATATGGCCTTTACTTTATGGACGTTATTCGAAGCAACTCTCTTATGTTTAAATGCCGTCTGTGTCTTACATGAAGAAAGATTTTTGAATAAAAGTAAGTTCTGTTACTAAATTCAAAAATAGTTAACCTCAAATATGACACGTCAAATGTATTTTTGTAATATTTATTAATTATTACTAAGCCTTTTTTTTTTTTCACAATAATATCGGATTTCATTTTTTATATATTTCTTCATTTCTTTTCATTATTTTCAAAATTTTTATTTTATTTAATAAATTTACTAGTCCACAATATTTTCATACTTGAAGTAAAAAATGTCATAATTTATGACATTAAAGTTAGCAGTTGCTTGATTATTTTTTAATAAATAAATTTGCTCCAAAAAATTATTTCTAAAAAATTACATTTTTTATTTTTTTAATTTTCTTGTTGTCAATTTTTTTTTCTCATTTTCTTTGACAAAATTTATTTGTTAAAAAAATTCTTAAAATTATAAAATATCTGCTAAATTATTTTTCATTAATTTATGACACTGAAATTCTCAAGAACTTGACAATTTTTCTCACTTTTGTATAAAATAAACTAGATCTAAAAAAATATTTTTAAAATAATTGCATTTACAATTTTTTAGAACTTTTGAAAATGGAATTTTTTAAATAAATTTTTTCTACTATAATTTATCTGTCAAAAAAATTATTAAATGTCTCTCAATTTCAATAACATAATTTAATTGTTTTAAAAATCTAGAAAATTGTCAGATGTCTATTTTGGTAACATTAAATTACAAGCTGGATAATTTAAAAAATTATTATTACATAATTTAAGCAACTGTTTATCAGTAATCTGGTTCAATCTAAAGAACAATGGAATTTTTAAATAATCAGAAGTTTAAAACAGAGTAACAATATTTATTTTATTGAAAAAACAAGACAATTTTCAAACTGAATAGTAATAATAATTCAATCTAATTATAATTATAATAAAAACAATTTTTCAGTTGGTTGGGGAGCCCAACAAGACATCAGAGGCTTCGGAGAACCACCAACAATTAAATCTCAAATGCTCAATCTTATCAGATCCATCAGAACTGTTGCAAGAAGTAAGATAATTTTTATTTTCTTCTTAAATCATCTTTAAAATTAAACTATATAATATTTTTTTTCTTATTTTCAGTACCATTAATATTTCTCAACATAATAGTGATGATCTTTAAATTAGTAGTTGGATGAATGGCTACACGAAAAGCAGCTTGTACATAAATTTATTAAAACAATCATCAATAAAAATAAAAATTAATTTTTTATATCAAAGTCTGATGAAATAAATAAATTATAAAAAAAGACAGAATAAATGAAAAAAAAAAAAAACGGTAAAAGTTTTATAATTAACAAACTCCGTAATTTTTTCCAATACTTTCTCCACAAATTTAAACTTTAAAATTTTATTTGCTCGTTCATTTTTTACAAGCAAAATAATATCCTGTATCCTGTATTGCGTATTGTTGTACAGAGTAAAATTTAACTGGAAGAAGATTAACAAAAGAGCTGATTAATTGTATCGTAAGCTTTCATTATATTTTTAATTATTTTATTCAATTAGCTGATAATATTTCTCAAGATATTTTTTTTTACTAGATTAATTTACCGCAAGTAGTTACAAAACGAAAAGTAGTTTAAAAAATGTTCTTAATTAGCAATTAAGATCGTTTTAAAAAATTTAATAATGATATTAAATAATTTATTTAACTACTTTAATTATTTCTCATTATTAAAATTATAATCATTATTATTACAGCAGTTTTATCACAAATTATACACGTATAATGCAATATAATTCTTTTCATCAACTATCTCACGTTTTCATGCTACGAATACTTTCCCCAATAAATTTGCATCTTTATCTTACATTATAAATATTGTTATTATTAAATTCTGATGCTAAATTTAAAAATTATAAATTGGTAATAATAAAAGATTATTTTAATAATTTTGCATCAATATAAAACCATCTGATCACCCTTATTATCTTTTAGCTTGATACTTTTACGGTTTTATAAAAGTCATTAATTCCCGCTAGAATTTTTATGAGAAATATTTACAATAAAATTATCTATTGATTTATGATTGAAGGTATGAATTTTTTTTCACTATAATTTTAAAAATAAATATAATTTTCTTTTCATTCTCACCAATAGTCAATTTATGATGATAAGTATTTAGGCTGCATTCGAAAATGCTCTATCTCTAGATACATAATTAAGAAATGATTTTGTATCTTGTGAACTATTGACATTTTTAAAGATATAACCTCATCCCGACATTACACTCATCAAGACCTTTCATTTGAGTACCCACATCAATTTTTCATATATTTATATATATAATATATATATGTATATATGAAAAATATATCAAAATGCATATAGGTACTCAAATGAAAGGTCTCGATGAGTGTAACATCGGGATGAGCTTATATCTTTAAAAACGTCAATATCTAAAAAAGTACAGTGCAATTTAACAAATATCGTGTGAACTATAGACATTTTTAAAGATATAAGCTCATCCCGACATTACACTCATCAAGACCTTTCATTTGAGTACCCACATCAATTTTTCATATATTTGTATATATTATATATATGTATATATGAAAAATATATCAAAAATGCATGTGGGTACTCAAATGAAAGCTCTTGATGAGTGTAACATCGGGATGAGCTCATATCTTTAAAAACGTCAATAGTTAAAAAAGTACATTGCAATTGAACAAAAGTCATTATTTAAATAAAGCAAAATATTTATTTATAGTTCACAAGTCACAGCAGTTACATAGTGACTGCAAGGTTGCTAGTATAAAAAGATTATTCATATATTCACAATTAAATCGGATTACCACTCCATTTATTCATCAAGCGAACATATCTTAAAAAATAATTAATAGCCTTAATTAACTTTTATCAAAACAACACTCGAGCATACAATAACAAAATTGATTGTTAAGCTAAAAAATAAAATTTTACTATACTTGATTTATTAAAAAAAAATTAATAAAAAAATCTTGAGCTATTCTTATTAACAATAGCGCATTTAATTACCTATTATATCTTGAAAAGAAAACAAAACGGAATACACCATTTCATTCACGTAAAATTATGCAACTCACCATTACAAATTGCTCAATAAGATTCATTCGAGTACATACATATCATTACCCGTACAATTAATATTAAACTGCGTATTTTTGTACACATAAATCTAATCTCATCCCTCATGCGTGTATATAAATTTATAATACACAGCAATAGATGATCTGTGTGAGGAATATTGCGGAATTGGCTGATCAGCATAAAAAAGTAAAGTTAAATCAAAAGTGTGCAGTATATTACTCTAACGTAAGAACAAGCTTCAGTCGTGATTGGCATCGAACATCTGAGAGACTTTTTAAAAAAAGAAGTTAAAAGGATAGGAGTCGTGTACTAGCACTTACAACCGCTACGTAACAGTTACGCACGTTCTAGTTCTCGTTAATTGCTCTTTCATTTAGGTAATAAACGCAAGACGTTCTACTAACTGGAAAAAATTATAGAGGACATGTCCGTAATTCTTGTATTAATTAGAAATTATAACTCGGTTATAAAAACTTTTTTTTTTTTTGCTAAATCTGCTGTAATTTGTTAAATTATTCTGCCGTTACAAATTATAAATTACAACTTTGTCATTTTTCAGGTAACATATAGCTTCACTAGAAATTTCTAACCTGGAAATTTATAAGAATAAAATTTTACTTAAGTAACAAACATTAAAAACTATTTAGACAAAAATTATCGATAAAATAATTTAAAAAAAAAATATTTATTTTAATGGAATTTTTTTGATGATTTATATCTGTGAAAAAATACAAAAATTCAAATTAGCTGTTTGCTAACTTCACACGCATAAATACTATTCCGCCATTTTTTTAATATTTTTGCCAGAGACACGCTCATATTTATGCTAGAAATATGTCAAAATCTCTTTTTAATAATAATCGTAAGTATTTTAGTGTTATTTATAAATATAAGTTATAATTATTAAAATTATTGTTATGTTAAATAATGTTAAAATTAAGAGACATCTGATAATTTTTAGAATTTTTTAAATAAATAAATTATAGCAAGAAAAATTATGAAAATTAAGTTAGCTGACATTTGAAAATTTTAAGAATTTTTTTTCATCGAAAAAATTATTATAATAAAATTTTTTAAAAATGTCATTTGTAAAGAACTTGAAAAACTGTAAATGCAATTTTTAAAAAATTTGTTTTTTGTTCTAATTTAATTATTGAAAAAAAATTAAAAAACTAAAAATGTCGGCTAACTTTAGTATTATTTAAAAATTTCATCATTAGAAGCTCCAAAAAATTATAAATGCAATTTTTTAAAAATAATTTTTCACACCAAGTTTATTTTTAAATAAAAACAAAAAACTTGTCAAGTGTCTGCTAATTTCACTGTCATGATATTAAATTTAGCTGAGAACTATGAAAATTAAGTTAATTGACATCTAAAAATTAAAAAAAAATTTTTTATTGAAAAAATTGTAACAAAAAAAAAAATAAAAACACAATTTCATTCGTAAAAAACTTTAATAACTAAAAGTGCAATTTTAAAAAAATATTTTTTAGTTCTAATTTAATAAATGAAAAAATTGAGAACTGTCAATTTTTTTAACTTACAACAAATCAAATAAAAATGCTTCTAAAAATTTTAGTTGACATTAAATTTAGCTGTCACTTTACAATTTTTAAAATTTTCTTTAATAAATAAATTATTACAAAAATGGACTTGTAGAAATTTAATAAAATAAAAATTGCAATTTTTTTAAAATAATTTTTTTGTTAAAGAAAATTAAAAAATTGTCAGGTGACAGCTAAATTTAATTTCAAAAATTTTTCCTCATAATTTATTTCAAATTTTCATATTTGGAATTTTTTAATTAAATTTGTTTTATAATAATCTCATTGCCATACAATAATAAAGTTTCTAATGTCTGTCAACTTCAGTGTCATTAATTGTAACCATTTTTTTTAATTATTGTTTTAGAAGCTTTGAATGAATCATTAAATTGCAATATATGTATAATTACAAACATGACACTTAAAAGTTATTCTATTAATTTGCCAAGTGTAAGTCCTGTCGATAGCCTTTAATTAGTATCAAACATTTAATTGAAAAACTAATTACTAACATCAATTATTATTTATGGACATGAGCCGAGATACATTAATTATGATAGGAATGAAGGGTATTAAAAACCATAATCTACATTCTATTGGATATTTTATTTATAAGTAAGTCTTCTGCCGAAGATATTAAAAGTTACCTCGTCATCATTAACTTTCGAATATCTTTAACCGGATTTCACAATTTATAATGTCCTTTCTTCCTTGTTGGGTAAAATCTCGTCTACTATACATATCTTGATTTTATCGGTTCAATCATTTATTTATATCTCTCATCATGAATAAAATTGTAATTATAATTATCATTATCATTGTTTCAAGATGGAGCATTTATAAATGAGTATCATCGTGAAGAGGTGAAAATAGCTGGCCAAAAGAGTGATCTAGTCCTTAAAGCCGCTGGCTTTTTATCTTGGAGTGAAAGGTGAAAGGCATGCAGTTTTAACAAACAAGAAAAAACAATTCTAATAAACAAATAAAAATACACTTAAGCTAAAAATTTGTAAAGGTAATTCAACAAAAAATCAGAGAGCATAATAACGGTGGCGAGATTTTTTTTTATTTTTTTGTTTTCTACAAAAAAGCCTTTATACAAGTACAAAATGCATGGTTAATACAGTAAAAAAGGTGTATGTATGTGTAATTCGTTTTTTTTTTGTCAGATCTTTAGGCAATTGCACTCAAGTATTTAATTAAACTAAAAAAAGCAAATGAAGAATAATGCCCGATTCGACGTTTGCTTTTTTTTCTCTCAAATAAAACCCGCTCTCGAGAATCACGATCTCATTAACAAGATCGAGAGTACCCGATGTACTTCCGGTGTTACATAACGCGCTAAATAACATTTTTTAAATATTATTTCCCACGCAGTGAAATCTGTCTTCGTTTATGTGGGAAGTCCTGATCTATTTCTCCTTTGAGTTCAATTGCTTTTTTCAACAAATAATCATTATTATTATTATTATTATTAATTATTTAAATAATAATAAAAATAATGACGATAGAGTGTAAGTGTATGTGTAAATATATTTACAATGTACGAATTTTTATAAAAAAAAAATTTATAAAATTTCGTACTAATCACGATCATCCTCCTCTTAGACTTCTACTCTAGCTCATAATTTATTATTATTAATAATAAATTTATTTTTTGTCCCGGTGATATTTTTTATTTAAATAACGCACTTTTATTCGACGGTACTCTTCAGAATTTATCAAAAAACAAAAGCGTAAAATTTTTTTTTTAATATTAAATCATACTAACAGTAACAGACACCCAACAATTTATTTTAAATTAAACGAAATGTTTATTAAAAAAAAAAAAGTCCGAATATTTAATATTTAATATTTAATAAAAAATTAGAATATCTGTTACGTAGAGTGTCAAGTAAAAAAAAAAAAACAAATCCGAGTTTAGATTTTAATTAATCCAGTGAAAGATGTAAAAAATGATAACAGAAGTAAATATTTAATGAAACTACGATTTTTCATTAAATATTTAATGAATAATACTTAAAAAATGGAGAACGCCCGCGTCCATGGCTGGATTTATCGGATTTATCAATAATTAATATATTTGATTTAGAAAGGAGCGCCGTAGCTGCCGCTGGGCCTGCTAGGAGCTCCGTAGCTTCCTGATGGTCCGCTGGGGTAGCCGCCAAATCCACCGGAGGATCCTTGGCTGACTTGGTTGAATTGGGCTACCTGGATGGCTTGTCTGATGCCCTCGAGATCAATTCCGACAACGCGGCTGCTGTAGCCAGGTACTCCGTAGCTGGAGCTAGGGGCACCGTAACTGGAGCTTGGAGCGCCGTAACTGGAGCTTGGGGCACCGTAGCTGGAGCTTGGAGCGTAGCCAGAGCCTCCGAATCCGCCTGACTGAGAGGCCTGGGCTTCTTCTTTCAAGAGGATTTGTCTGATCTGCTCGAGGAGCGCGCCATCAACGTTGGCACCTTCGTTGGATTGGGAGCCGATGGACACTTGTTGGTATCCGCCGCTTCCACCGCCAGAGTAGCCGCCACCACCGGAGTAACCGCCACCGCCGCCGGAGTAGCCGCCACCACCGGAGTAGCCACCGCCACCACCACTTGAGTATCCACCGCCACTTGAGTATCCACCACTACCACCACTTGGTCTGTTGTAATTGTATCCAGATAATGGAGCTTCTGAGCAGGCTAGGCCTACTAGTCCAATTAACACGCACTGTAAGTATTTAAAATATGCATTTTTTATTGAACATCTTCTTGGAGATATTAAAAAGAAATATATACACAGAAAAAAAGGTTCACTTGAGTAAAGAAAATAATTTTCCTAATTATTTTCTTGGGGAAAAAAATTTTTTTTGATAATAAATTTCACTTATTTCAACAAAATTAATTTTCTTGCTTTAAAAAATTTTCTTGATCCAAGAAAATTTATTTTATGAACAATACTAAAAATTGTCTTTTAATTTTTTAATCTAAAAAAAAAAAATCATTTTAGAATTTAAAAAATTTTAAGAACTTAAATTGTATATTAATTTGTTTTTTTTTTTTTTTACCATTATTGATTATTTTATAGAAAATTAAGCCAGGAATAAGTAAAAAAAAAACAGTCTTGGAAATTCAATAAAAAATTTAGCACGCTTCTTTTAAATTATCGAAAAATTAATTAAAAATTTAACAACTTTTAAAATTTTTTATTAAAGACTTTCTTAAATTTTTGAAAAGTCGCGCTGCTTCCCTTGAGTATCTAAAAATCTTGATCAAATATAAAAATTTATTGTATCAAGTATTTATGATAATTTGAATTAAGAAAAAATTACTTCTACCAAGATAAAATTTCAAGAAAAAATTTTTACTTCGGCCAGTCAAGAAATTTTTTTTTCTGTGTAAAATTATACTTATTTTTATCGATTAATTGATTTATGATAAAATATTTGACAAATTAAATTAATATTTATGATAATTCAAATAAGTAAAATTTGCTTATAATTTTGAAATTAAAAAAATTTTATGTTATTTTGTTTATTTAAAATAATATAAAAATAAAATTTTTTTATTGTAAATATTAAAGAAAATATGAATTATTAAACTGTATTTTTATTTGCTGAAAAAAAAATTTCAACAAATAAAAATAATAATTTTTACTCCACTAAATTTTAATAAAATTTCAATTTTACACATTAAAATTACTAAAAATTAATATAATAAATAACACTTAAAAAATTAGTCTAAATAAAAAAATGAGCCGAAAAACTTAGAAACTTTGTTAAAAATCCACAAAAACTAATTTTCCAAGTGTTGATTGTTTTTAAAGAAGACGATACTTATGAAGATGATATAAATACTTACAGCAAAAAGAGGATTCATGTTGACTGCTACGCCGATTCGGCTGTGTGTGACTTGGAAGAAGGTTCACCTGTGTCCTTTATACCCGTGAGGTCGAGAGGGATACGTGGATATTTGTGGGGGTTTTTAGTAGAAGAAGAGACGGGGGCAGAGTGAGAGTAATTCCAAAGTTGGATTCTCTTTCTCTGTTATATACCTACCATTTCCAATTCCAAGTGAGTTACACATCACCCAGTAGATTATTCACTCTGTTATAAAGACTCTCTTTACTCCTTACTCTTACTCGTATCATACCTACGTACATTTACTCACAGAATGCTCTTCTTCTTCTTCTTCTTTTTCTTCCTCTCAAATTTTACTTTATATCTGGGGCTGAGGTAACTTTAGCCGCGATTTTAATAAAAGTAAAGGGGCCTATTGCGACAGAATCCTCAACAGCATCTATACAACTACAATCTTATAAGCTAAGAAGAGCACTTGATATCCCTAGATGTCCTAGACCTACACTGATAGAAGCATTTGTTTATAGTTAAAAATATTTGTTAATATTCAATAAATCATTTATTAGAGACCATTTTTTAGTATTAAACAAATATTTATTAGTATTTAAAATAAATTATTTTTAACTATAAACAAATCCTTCTATCAGTGTACACGATTCTTCATTTTTATTTATTTATTTATTTATTAGAAAAAACGCCAATCGGCAATGTACATAAATTATTTAGTACTTAGGACGTTTTTTAATTAACTTCTTTTTTTTTTTTTTTACCAGCTTCTTGGTCTCATTCAAGCTCATTTACTTATTTTCATAATTTATACCAAACAAACTACTGTACCGAGATTTAAGTAGCTAGCTTTTGCGAATATAACACTAGACAAACGTGATGACTTTGTTGCAATGCTTAGCTCAACTCTTTATACGTATTATGTAAAGTTATTGCTACCAACTGGCCTCAATTTTACAACTTACGTGTTTTCTAAACATTTAAGAGATGTCTCGGCATAAATATTTTTAAATTCTATAATAAAATTACCATTTTTATTAAATCACATTTTTTGTAATAAAAAAAGGAAAAAAAAAAATATCCACTTTAATATTTATTTCCTGATCAAAAACTAAGTGGATGTTTTTAAACAATTTAATTATTTTACGGTCTAACATCCACCGTATTTTTGGGTCACGGACGGCAAATTGGAGCAATACGAAATAAGATATTCCTTTCATTATTGAACGGCTTCTTTGAGGTGTCCCTGGTGATAATACGCCGTGTAGTGAGTCGAGAAATAAGCAATAATAAGGATTTTTTTTATTCCGGCCATTACTAACGACCAATTATTACCTCTGTAATTTAAGGATGAAAATAAGTAAACATGATGCCAAATAAAATGAGAAAAAGTATGAAAGAAAAGGTTTAATAAAAAAGAGAAACTTGTCTCTTCATGGACATTGCATTGATTGTTATGAATTGAGATTATTTTATCTGAATTATAAGACAAAGAGTCAATAAATTTACTCCAACCGTTTAATAACAGGCAATATAATAGACGCGAGTTTATGCCTAGTTCATAACCATTTTTGTTTTATCAATTAGTCAGTTACTCAAAGATTTATTTACTACAGAAGATTATTAATTACCATATCATTTTATTTATTCTCTTTTACAGTCAGATGTTAAGTAATCAGTTATTTTAGCCTACAAGCTTTTACGATCAATAATAATTAGATTGAATTCTTTTTTTTTTCTTTTCATAATTTTATTATCCAAAAAATTAAACTCTACATAATTTCTTTTTAGTAGATTTCATAAAAATCTAACTATTGTATTAGTCCTCATGACGCAACTTTTGAAAAATTTTGCTATATTCTGACTTTACTCGTAGAGCTGAGTCAGAAAATACATATGGTTCAAAAGTTTATATATGTATGTGTGTATAAATATGATATAACGCGGGACTTGTCAGCACGATAGCGTTTACAATTCTTTAGGGATTTCAATGAAACTCAACATACTTATTCTATGAACGATTACGAAGGTCAAGTTCAAATTTGAGCCATATCGGTTAATTAGTTTAGAAATTACAGCATTTAAAAATTTTGAAAATTCCGCATTTTTACCGCTTTTCCTTCAAATAACTTTTGAACGCGTCGAGATATTTGAATTCTGTAAAATGCATCTAAAAGCTCAGAAAATAAGCTTTAATTTACATATTTACATATATTTCTGGACCAAAAAATCTCTATTCTGGGTCCGTTTGAATGAAATTTTACTCTTGCAGTCGTTTTGTTTGTTTTGATGGTTGTAATTTAATATTAAATAGAAACATTTTCAATAAGTTGATATTAGAATTCTACTTACTGAATTCACACTATTGTTGTACTAAAACCAGCAAATGTTTATTTTGAACAAAATTAGTTTTAAATAAATTATTTAATTTTTCTTTAATTAATGAGTTATGTTACATATTATTATTAATTTTATTTTATAAAAAACAATTTTCTTTTTAATTAAGAAATCTACTTCCATTTCGGCTGCCGAATGGCCTTTTTTTTTACAATGAGAAAAATAAAAATTATTGTCCGTAGGATTTCTTAATTTTTTTATAAAAAATTAATATCTTTCTTAATTATAGTATTTAATTTAATTAAAAATTATTTCGGTCAATTCTTCAAACAAGAAAATATATATATTATTTTTTTTTTCAAATAAAGAAAAAAAAAACAGTCTTTTGCTATTTTCAGTATCATCTTCTTTAATATTCTTCACAGCAAACGTGTTTTTTTATCCAAACTGAAGATAATCGGCCTTTTACTGTTTAAATTATCATCATAAAATGCTATAAACTTCCAACATTCCATTTAAATTATCTCAACCATTTCTGTAACAAACCTAGCTTATATTTTAACCATTCAATTTATTTCTTCTTTAGGTTTAAGAAGACCTTAACTGCTATAACTATACTTCTTAAAACCCCAATCAATCATTCAAAAACTACCACTTACTACCAAAAAGAAAAAAAATTACCAGTAATACTTGAACCATCTCACATCAATAATCTAATTAATCATAAAATTTTTCCACGTCTACTCTAATTTAAGCGAAAGCGTCATCCTTAAAATTTACATTAGAAACCTAATCTTGTAACTAGTAAGAAGTGAAACTAAACAAAATGCTAATACCTTTTTATCTCTCTATTTTAATTTTTAAAATAATCAATTTCCTTTCTCGCGAAAAACAAAATTCCTTTCAATAAATCACCAGTGAATCGTTAAATTGTTTCAACCTATCTACGGACTTCTCCGTCGGCAACTATTTAATTGTAAAAAAAAAAAAAAAATCAAGATGCGTCTTGATGTTAGAGCAGGAAGAAATAGCAAAGTTGTATCATCTCTCATATACCGCTTCCGTACATTACAGCTCGAGTATCTACAAGGGGAAGTACCGTCGCCATCAGCATTTATTACCATCGCCATTACTATCACCATCCGGCATACAGACGTAATCATTTTAAGAAAAAGGACTAAGAAAGAGTAGCACAACGTTATATTAGCATCATCAGTAGCGGCTAAGAGGCCCAAGAGAAGACTAGCGGCAAAAGTAACTGGTATGTTGCATGCAATAATTTAAAACAACTCAAGTAATAGTAAGTAAGTAAGTAAGTAAGTAAGTATTCAGTGATAGGTAATAGCAATAAAAAAAAATAAAAAATAAAATAAGATGGATTAAAGTTGCCCTGGCAACAGCATTAGTGCTGAGAGCATCGTTTTCTTATTGGCAATGTGTCCAGTGATGGTGACCACCAATTGAGAGGGAAAACGCTTTCTTCGTTGTGGAATTCGATTATCCGCACGTGAACTCCCGGCCTACTTAGTAAAATACTTCCCTTCTCTTAATCTTCCTTTTATTTAATAAATAATAAATAATAAATGATAAATAAGAAATAAAACGAAAGGAGAAAGAGTAATAATTATAAATTTTATCAATGAACAAAAACGGCAACTCAGTTTTTAAATTATTTATTAACGTGACAATGCCATTATTTCTTCTCAAGTTTATTACAGTAAGCTTATTGTTAAAGAGTTGACACCGGCTTAAACATTACACGATGCTTAAGCTGTAAAAGAGGATGAGAAGCATGATATATAATTGAAATAAATAATACCACGCTTTGTTGAGGTTTAAACTTTGTTTAACAGGCACTTGAGGTTAGGTGAAGATGATTTTGATTTTTTAAGCATCTTTAGCAATGGAAAGTTTGAGCTTGATGTCAATCATCGTTTAAACAGTCTTTTTTTATCGATTATTACACGCGATTTATTTGTATGGGTTTGACATTCAAAAATGCTATTACTACTTTAATTATGTAGCTCGCGGGTTAATTTAACTGTTTGTTTGTTTCTTCGAAGAAGGAACAGTTGAGACTTTTGTTTGATGGTAACAAGGATAATCACGGGGTTGAGGTGTTGATTTGGATTTTAAAGATGAATTAATCGAGATCCTTCACGGTCGGGACTTTGATTCGATATATTCGACGGGTATAAAATTATATTATACCTGGAGGACAAAAGAAGAAAGGGGAGAGTTATAGAAGCCTTGGGGCTTGTAACTTTCGCTTGAGCGACCGCGTTCGGGGTCTTCTTCAGTCCTGATGCCTGATTCTTCATATCCTTATTTTTTTTACTTTTTTACGACCGTTATTCTGTCAAGTTATCAGAGCTCTCCTTTCTCCAGTTTATTTGTTATTTTTTTAATAATAATTATAATGTATTTTATTTACGTAGATATTTTTTTTTTTTATTAATTTTTAGATAAGATTGATGATGAACATTTAAATTTATTCTAAAAATTAAATTTTTTACACAGAAAAAAAAGTTCACTTGAGCCAAGAAAATAGTTTTCTTCCTAATTATTTTCTTGAGCAAAAAAATTTTTTTTGACAAGAAATTTCACTTATTCCAACAAAATTAATTTTCTTGCTTTAAGAAAAATGTATCTTGATCCAAGAAAATTTATTTAAGTCAAGAAAATCTTGTTTTGAGAAAATTCAGCCTCGAGTTCCAAAAAATTTAGTTCTTGATAGAAGTAAATTTTCTTGTCTTGAGAAAATTTCTCTCTTGCTCCAAAAAATTAAATATAAAAATAGAAATAAATTTTCATTAATATTTTTATTAATTAACACGTCAAATGGGAAGATCAAATAATATTTCATCATTTTTTTTCATTCAATATGTATAATTGCACGCTAAAATAATATAAAATGGGCATCAAATATTCAAGAGAAAAATTTTCTCAAGGTGAGAAAATTTTTTTCTCAGCTAAAGTAGGTTGCGCTGCTTCCCTAAAGTATCTAAAAATCTTTATCAAGTATAAAAATTTATTGTATCAAGTATTTATGATAATTTGAATTAAGAAAAAATTACTTCCACCGAGAATAGAATTTAAAGAAAAATTTTTACTTTGGTCTTTCTTCAGGCACTCGAAAATTTTCTTGAGCCAAGAATTCTGTTCTCCAGTCAAGAAATTTTTCTTTCTGTGTAATTAACCGTAATGATGTCTTTTATAAAAAGTGTTTTGTCAAGTACAAAGTAGTTTTCAATTTTTTTTAAAATTATTGCATTAATTAAAAAGTAATGTACTTGAAAATTTAAGCAATGCTCACGAATTTTTATCAATCGAGATCTGTTTTAATTTTATTTAATTACTTACAAGGTCTTATTTTTCTCACGGCTAAAGTCGAGGACAAAAAAAATGTGAAGAAAAATTTTTTAACAAAAATTAAATTTTCCCCAAAAAATGTCTTCAGAATTAAAATTAAAAATAATTTTATAAAATTAAAATTCCAACGTAAATGCAATTAAAATAAAATGAATCCAAATGTAAAAGAGACTTAAAAAGCAAAAGTCGCGTAACAATTACAAAATAATAATTGCAGCGTTTAATTAAAAAAAGAAATTTTATTATGAAAAAAGATCCAGCTGATAAATAATGACTCATAGCTCATGACACATTTTTTTATATTACTTTATTATATTATATAGAATAAAAAAAAATATTTGTTATGTAGAAAGCACATTATTAAACTATTAAATGTAACAATTGTTACAAAAGTGACGTAAAAGCAGAAGCTTAAAATAAAAATATTAATGTTAAATCTTCAGACCGAAGAACCTACAACATAATTACGGTATTACGTGCGGTATACATGTAGATATAAAAAGTATAACAATAACAACTTGTGGATCTGAATCTTAAAATCTATATAACATCTTATTTTTATTCCCATGTAAAATAATTATCACACCGTGGTATGTGAAACTGGAGAAACGCTTCCGGTTAAAAACCATTGAATTTGCACCGTCAAAAGTTAAGACTACAATGCCATTATGAATATTTAATAAAACAATACAGAGAACAATGAAAATGTAATCCAGAGATAAGTTATGAATCTTAAAAATTTTATATTGAATCAATTCCGCTAAAAAGTATCTTCATTCATAATTCACTTCTTCTTTTTCTTCTTACTATCATTATTGCATGCCATTTTTTTAAAATAAATTTCATTATTTAAAGCTTTGATACGTCAGTAGAATTCACTTTCATCGCAGATTCACTGTACTGAGAATCGACCTTTGCAGAGGTCGAGCGCCCGAGTTTCACCGTCTAAATGTCCATAAGATTCACAAGAGAAGAGAGAAAGGATTTTTTTTATGCATTTATTTATTAAAAATGTCTTTTTTTTTAACCATCATAACCATAATATTATCCTCTCTCATTTCTTAACACCGCTCGCAATAATAAAAAAAAAATTATCATAAATGAGAAAAATTTTACTGATCTGCAAAGCCAATAAATTTTATCTCCACAAAATATCTTAGACAAATTTGAATTATTTGATTGCTCTATAAATTTATTAATTACCCCCACGAAAAAAAAATATATTTAAAATATATTTTAAATATATTAAAAATCCATAAAAAATATGCATAGTAAATATATTTTTAATAACTAACTTTTGGCCGATTTTTATACATATTTGATATATTTTAAATATATTTTAGATATATTCAAAATATATCTATTAAATTTATTATTAATGTTAATATTTAAAATTAATGTTAATATTAATATTCTATTAAATATGAAATGACTATGCTAGCTATAAGTCATCTTGTTATAAATCAAAAATTTTTTTTTCTTATATACTATCTGTTGTATTATTAACCCTGTAAATGGCCCCTAGGGTGTTGGGTTTGTTTATTTAAATAAAATAAAATAAAATAAAATATCTTAAAATACATAAAAAATACATAGCTAAAAATATATTTTGAATATATCTAAAATATATTTGAAATATATAAAATATATATAAAAATCGGCCAAAAGTTAGTTATTAAAAATATATTTACTATACATAATTTATATATATTTATAGATTTTTAATATATTTAAAATATATTTTTTATGTATTTCTACCTATATTTTTTTTTCGTTGGGGTAAAGGAAATAGTTATTGACAAATAAATAAATAAATAAATAATAATTATTATTTTTATTATCAAATAATGATGACCTGGTACGCTCTCACGCGTTTTTCTTTATTCTCTCTTTCATTTCTTGTCGTACTTAACTTCCGCTACACTAGTGAAAGGAGTAAGTGTTACATGCATGCTCATTGCTCACTCTTCTTCATGATCCAACTTGTACCCATAAACACACACATATTACATCCATTATATTATATACATATATTTATGTGTAAATATAAATGGACGTATAATACGCAAGTACATATACATACATATAATACGTAAAGATAAATATTATTCTCAACACCTGCTTACCAACTGTTCAGTCATTAAAATATTTTAATTTTTTCCATAACCAATTTAAGTCACTTGATATATAATTATAATAATAATAATAATAATAATAGTAATATTTTAATATATCAGTTTATGAATATATTTATCATTCTTTCCTCTCTAATATGAAAGACCAATAAAGCAAAAGGCTTTAAGTAAAGATGGATTAAAAATAAAATAAATTGACATTGTAAGTAGGCTTGATAGGTAATCAGGGAAATTATTTAAGTTATTAATCATTTCGCTTAAATATACAGTTTACTAATCTAAACGACCTTGATTAACGTGTTTTTAAAACCAGACGAAAATATAGTTATGCAATTTATTGAATTCCAGAGTTATATTTTAAAATTTAAATAAAAAGTAACGTCTACTAATGTCCATACCTTCTACTTCTGATTTATTATTATTATTATTATTATTGTAATGTAAAAAATAATAAATAATGATTTTAATAAAAAATTAGCGATGCTGTAAAAAGTAACTATCAATCATTTATGATATTATGTTAACATAGTTTTTTAAATGTATATATTTAAATTTAATAACTGGGCTCAATCGTGATTAGTGATTTTATTAGAGTGTCAGTAGGTATGGGCTTTAAAAAAAATAATTTGACATTTAGAAAATTCACTTTTGTTTAATTAAAAGTCATTACACGTTATTTTTTCTTTTGTAATTCTAATCGAAAGACATTTCTAAACTTACATCATTGCGTCGAGCACTTAGAGTTACTTTAACTTACGTATTTCAAGTTTGTTCAATTATATTATTTATTCGATGTGTGTAAGTGAGATTGGATCAATGAAATTGTTTTGGTTGCTTTCAAGAAATTTTTCAGAAATTTATTATTATTATTATTATTATTATTATTATTATTATTATTATTATTATTATTATTATTATTAGATATTTCATTTTTTTTTTTTTATTATAATCCGCAATTAAGTTATCATTTATCATGATTTACTATCGAGCTTCTGATGACTGTGACAATTTACTTTTTTTATTACTATTATTTATCTTACATATTTATCTGATCACTGATCAAAAATCATTACAATTCTTGCCAAGTTAAAAGTTACAACACTGAATATAAAAACTATCGATTATTCTTTATCAATTTAAAAGATTTTTTTACTGCTAATTTTTTTTATCGATATTTTAATTTTTAGCAGTTGCTATTTATTCTTTATTTTTATTTCAATTCTCATAAAATTGATAAAAAATTTTATTCTTGATAAATATTAAAAGTTTTTTCTGATTTATTGTGCCGATAATTAGTTAAGAATTTTTTTTAGAAATTTGATATTTTTAATTACAATTAAATTAAGAAATTATTTTTTAATTTTTTAGTTAAAAAAATCGATGAGTTTTCTCATAACTGCATGACGTTTAACGGCATTACTTTTACACCCGTTGACATTAGGAAGTCCTGGTTCGTTCTTGTAGCACTTTTTGACCCATCCGTCCCAGTGCTTGAACCCCTCGGTACTCTGAATTTTTCTAGCGCATACAATGTCATCGGTTATATCATCGTCGGCAAAGTTTTCGCATTTTGCATTACACTCGCCGCCTTTTCTTCCTATCTTGCACCATTTTAAGCTATTTATTTGAAAAACGCCGTATGAATAGCTTGACATTGTACCGGGTCCTTTTACTAAACTTGTGTTCAATCCGCTTTCACTTTTCATTAAACATACCTACCAGGATAATTATATATTTTATTTAATTAATTTTGTTAAAAATGATTTAAATTTTTATTTTCAATTCTATTAATTAAAATTATTAATTTTTTAATTATAAATAATTATTTTTATTTATAAATATTATATTCATTCATTTTTGACTCGGTTAAAAAATAAATAAATAAACAGTACATTTTTTTCTGTCATTAAATTAAAAAAATTTTTTTTTTTTAATTTTTATATTGAATATTTAACATTTTTAAATTTTAATATAAAAATTTTTTAAATGTAATGACAAAAAATTTTTTTACTGTATTTAAAACTTAAAAAAAAATCTTTAACTATTAATAAATTATTACACTAACTGTTTAAAAAAAATAAAGAAAATTAAGCGTAAGAAATTTTTAATAGTCGGTAGTATTAAATACAAAAAAAAAGTTTAATTGAACTGCAATAATTACTTCAATTAATATTTGCAAGAATGCGGAAGTATTTTTCTAATACAATAATTTTCTACTTCTCTCAATAGAATAATTGCGGCACTTGTTTAAACGGCAATAAATGTATTTATAATACTACAATGGACCAAGTAATTGTTATAAATTATTATAGTGTTGCTTTGTCATTTCAACTAATACTTAAAATTACACTATTAATTTAAATAGTTTAAAAAATTTATTTTTAATGTTTCCAAGTAAAAATAAATAATTATTACACAACAAATATAAAAAAATTCCAATAACGCATTGTCATAAATTATTAACAGTTATTGGCAAATATAATTTAAAAAAAAAATAACTTTCTTTCAGAAATTTATTTTTGGATTTAAAGATAAGAAATAATAAATTAAAAAAAATGTTTACCCAATTACTCAGAAAAGTAGCAGATACTCCAGAATTTTTGAGCTCTCGTGCAGCGTCACATTCAGTCAGAATTTTTCCATCTATTCTGACTTCCGTGAGAACAAAAAATATCAACAAGCTATAAATAAATTTACTTGAATATGAAATCATTTTCAAAAAAATTGAATTTTTCTTTTATATTATATTTAAACTTTAATTGAACTGATCGCGGAAAAGTGGACGATCGATACAATACAAAGTGATTAAAAGCAAAGTGTAAATAATACAAATGCTAATGCCAACGATTAAAGGTGAATACTTAAAGTTTATAATTGACGTAGTGTCTCATTAACGACTGCGCCGTTTGTCGTATCGCCAATCAACTGGTATCACTTTATCCTTGAGTTCGGATACGTAATAAAGCTATTATCTTTTAACTATTCATATAATTTATATCTTCAAATAATAATCTCAGACAAACGCCTCTTGTTGCTATCAACAATGCTTAACAATAACAACAGATAAAATTTAAACTAACAAATTTAAATCTAAATACTTCATCTCTTGCTAAGTCGTGATTAATATATTGTCTAATTACAACAAATAACTTTTACTTAAGAAGCTTTTCTAATATTTCTCCTTTTTATTTATATCTTAATTAAATAAACAGCTACTTTTATTACTTACACACTGTTAAATATATTTAAATGTAAACATTGACTATAAATTGGATACTGATGAATAATTAATAATCGGTACTACATAAATAAAAAATTTTTTTTACAATTTTATTTAACATCTTCAAAGTACTTGGCAATTTTTTAATGTATTTCTTCACATTTTATTTTTTTAAATTATTTAAATAAACCCAGTCGGTAAAAAAAATAAAAAAATTATAACAGTCGATCATAATTATTAATATATTTATTTTATTAATCATCTTAACTTGATCTATACAATTGAATACATATAAACTCACTTGAGTAATTCACTCATTATTTTCACATTCTATTACAATAAAATATCTTTGCATCCGACATACTCTATCTTAAAAAAGTCTAAAAAATGCATATTATTTACACATCTACGTAAATATAATTATTTCAATATCCTAAACTAACTTTTAATAAAATCACAGCTTATTTATTAAACAATAAATATCTTCTCAAAATTAATCCACTGAATAATTAAAAAAAATAATTATTTGTATATCAGGAATGTGGACAAGATAGGATCATCATAACAAATTATATTATTAATAATGTAATAATAGGCAGAAAAAATAATGTAATTTGTTATTATGATCCTATCTTTCCACATTCCTGATATACAAATAATTGATAATTATGGATGATATTAACAAAATTAAAAAAATATTTTAATCAAAAAAAATTTTTTTTAAATTCATTTGAAAATAAAAAAACTATTAATGATTTAAAAATATTTTATTAGCTCTAATTTATTTTAAAACTAATTATCAATTTCCCGGTTTAACAATGCGATTCCTTTTCTTTGCAAAGGTCAAATAATCAGACCCATTGCAAATAATCTTCATAAGCGTATCTTTGCTAGCCAAAGTTTCATACCTAGATCCCTTGCACATCGTTTTTTGGGTACTAGACAATTTTTCATCGCACGTAACCTTGTGGTACACGTGAACTAAATTAGCGTCTGGAGCGCGAAAGACAGTAATGTATGACTTGACAGATTTTTCATAAAAATCAACGTCCTCTTTGCCCCAGCCCTCGATCGACAAATTAAACCCGCCGATCTTCAGATAGTCCCTCTTATACAGAGAGACTATTCCGAAGCCAAAGAGCCTCCAGTATCCCATGGGTTCGCTCAAATTGGCTAGATCTCCAAACTGATTTTTTTTCTTCTCACGATTTGATTTATCAAAATAATAAACGTAATTAGGGTCGTACTGGCTGAAGACAATCGGGAAGTAAATTTTTTTATTAATAACCGTGTTCAATCTGACCCGTTGGAGCGCTTCGTGAGTAAACGCGATGTCCACGTCGATAAAAAATACCAAGTCGTTGTTGTTTAAATGTTTTATCGCTAGATCTAGCGCTTTAGCGCGTGAAAATAAATTATCCTTATCTAATAAAATTTTAATCTTTGCATTTTTGTATTTTAATTTAATACTATCTACCAAATTGAATGTACTGTCGACCGAATCCTCGAGCTTGTGCGGGTACAGTACAATTAATAGTTCAGTCTTGGCGTTTGTCGACAAACAAACTTGCTCGTAATTTTTTATGAACCTCTTGAAGGTTTTAAATCTTCCGGACAGAGGCACCACTAGGTGAACAGTCTTGTCTTCGACCGGGTCTTCCTCTGGCTTGCTCGGGGGGAAATTGAACAGAAAGGTCGAGTAGAAATTAGGGAAATTTCTGTGTCGGGTCTGATCTCCGTCCTCTTGGTCCTCGATTACTTCCCTCGCTTCGATTCCTAGGATAAAATAATCATCGGAATTAAAATAATCGACTGCAATTTGTACTGAGGCATAGTAAATATAATAAATGTAATAAATCATTTGATAATTCGAATATAATAGATAGTAGTTAGGAGATTTAAAAGTAGTGTTTGTTGTAGTTGTGATGAATAATGCGGAGGAATAAATAGAAAAAAAACTAACCGGTAAAGTGCTGGTGAACGTAAACATGTCTTCTAACGGGAAGTGTAACCTTTCGCCCTCGATACTTTCGATAGACCAGCAGAAGGTCGAGAATAGTGTCAGCCCCGTAGGCATCCACACGTCTGTATCCGTATAACATGGACCGTTCTTCTACTACTCGACCGCGCTGTCGTGAGCATGAGTTGATTGAAGCCATAACTTCCCGCGTTATGTCCTCCAAGCCCTCTTTTACGTCGCTGTGGATTCTCCGACGCGGATTCGAGTCGCTTAAACTGTACTCTGACCGTGAGATAAAGTCCCATGGGATTACCTCTGATGGTGATTTTGGCGAGAAACTCTTTAGGCCAGCTGGAATTCCTGCACAGAAAGAAAAATTTATTGACTGGAGAACAACATTCTTGGATCAAGAAAATTTTCGGGTGCCTGAAGGAAGACCGAAGTTGTGTTGACTGAAGTAAAAGTTTTTCTTTTAATTCTATTCTTGGTGGAAGTAATTTTTTCTTAATTCAAATTATCATAAATACTTGATACAATAAATTTTTATACTTGATAAAGATTTTTAGATACTTTAGGGAAGCAGCGCAACCTACTTTAGCTGAGAAAAAAATTTTCTCACCTTGAGAAAATTTTTCTCTTGAATATTTGATGCCCATTTTATATTATTTTAGCGTGCAATTATACATATTGAATGAAAAAAAAAGATGAAATATTATTTGATCTTCCCATTTGACGTGTTAATTAATAAAAATATTAATGAAAATTTATTTCTATCTTTATATTTAATTTTTTGGAGCAAGAGAGAAATTTTCTCAAGACAAGAAAATTTACTTCTATCAAGAACTAAATTTTTTGGAGCTCGAGGCTGAATTTTCTCAAAACAACAAGATTTTCTTGACTTAAATAAATTTTCTTGGATCAAGATACGTATTTCTTAAAGCAAGAGAATTAATTTTGTTGGAATAAGTGAAATTTCTTGTAAGAAAAATTTTCTTTTTTTTGCTCATGAAAATAATTAGGAAGAAAACTATTTTTTTGGCTCAAGTGAACCTTTTTTTCTGTGTGGAATTATTTTATTTAATTATTTTCTGATCAGTAAAATTTATAATTTTTTTAAACTATACAAACTTTTTATCAATTTGATTTTTATTTTAAAAAGTTAAGAAAGTTTTTAATAAAAAATTTTGAAAGTTGTGAAATTTTAAATGAATTTTTTTGATAATTTAAAAGAAGCGTGCTAAATTTTTTATTGAATTTCTAAAACTGTTTAATATTAAACAAAATTAAAATATTAAAAAAACAAATTAATATACAATTTAAGTTATTAAAATTTTTTTAATTCTAAAATGAATTTTTTTTTCGATTAAAAAATTAAACGACAATTTTTAGTATTCTTCATAAAATTAAATTATCATTATTATCTCTTAAAAATAGTCTGAAGATATAAAAATTTTGAATAATTTGATTTTAATTATTTAATCACAATTTATGGAGTGCAAAAATAATTTAAAGATAAATTTTCTATTAAAGTATCGATTACATGGATAGATGGGTTAAATATTATAGAGATGATATAAAATATATGACAAATGAATGCATTTGGGCTCGTCTTCAGGCAGAGTGTATAATACGGACGTATGTATGATAGGACAAATTGCCCGTGACTATTGCATGAGAATGAGGTAATGAAAAATTTGATTAGTCTCTGGCTGACGGACTGAGGCGAATAGAACTGTGTCGTGAGCAATTTGCACAATCAATTGTTCAAAGTGGATTCATTAATACAAATCAGTCAATTCCGACCCGCAAATATTTTTTCTTTCTCACTTTCATTATATTGTTAGTATTATTTTCGTCTGCCACAAAATCTCTCCATCCAACATTAAATATTTATTATACTAACCAAGCATCAGCGTATCTCCAAAATAATTTTCTCTATCCGAGTTTGGAAACAATTCAACATTTTCCGCAATCGGCTTTCTGATAAATTCTCTAACATTTTCTCTAAGCAATTCAGCCATAGAATAAATATCACGGTGCAATTTAATCTTCTCGTGCTGCAAGTCTTGAATTTTCAGAGCCTAAAAATAAAATTAATAATGATTAATAATTATTAAATTATTAGATATTAATTATGATAGTCAACGGTTAATCAAATTAAATTTTTTTACCCGCATGTAATTATGCAGCCGGTACATGTACGGAGGACTTTTGATTGGATGAAGCGTAATAGCTTGGTGTACTTCACGTTTCTTTAGGTTCCCAGTGAATGATTGATCTCCGCTACTATTGTGATAAAGTATCGACTGCATCTGTAATTAATTATTAATTATATTAATTATTATAATCCGTATTTAATTGTAGGATCAGGAAGTAATTATTATATTAATTTATAAGTTACGATCAAGTTATAACGGAATATTCATTTTTAGTTCTAAAAAACTGTTTTATACTACTAAAAAATTTTTTTTATTGTTAGATTAAATTATTTTAAAATTTACTCATGATTTTTGAAGCAAAAACATTTTTTTAAATTGCAATAGAAAAATTATCAATAAAAAAAATTTTTTTCATATAATTTAAAGCAAATTTTTTTCAATAAAAAATAAATTATTTAAAATTTAAACTATTACAACAAAATGATAGATAATAAGAAAAATGAATAAAAATATAAGCTATTTCTATTTCTATTTAAATTTAATGATTAACATCCTCATTTAAAAATTTCTCGTGTTATGTTATCTCATACGAACATGAAACATGACACTACTTATTACCTGTTAAGTTTAAATTTAATTATCTCTGGTTATTTAATTATATATTAAAGACCAATGACAATGACAAATGCTAAACGCGGTGCATATAATTGCTTTCAATTGACTCAAAACAATCATTGCGTCATTAATACAACTAAATCAATGAAAATGAAAAATTACTTTCAAACAAATCTGATGAGGATGTAACTCATCTTTTAATTGAAACTTATCGTTAATATTTGTCTAATAATACTATTATTATTATTATTATACTCATATAAATTAAATTGTTTACATATTTGCTATTTGCTAATATAATATTATTGTTAATCCACAATATATTAATGCATTTTTCTCGTTTCGATTTCTCAAATAATTACTTATAATTATAAATTACAACTATGACTAATTAATGACAAATATTTGATTTACAAACGATTAATTGGTCAACGTCGAGTTAAGTAATTTTTATCGCAGATTTTAAAATAATTTTTATTAAATTAACGTCAGTTACATTATGAATAACCGTATGCAGATGACGTGAATCGAAATAGACAAGATGAGGTGAGGGTAAAAGCCGTAAAACCGGTTGCATACACGAAATAGTATCCACACATAACATATAATAATAATTATAATATATAAATAGTATAGCGGATATTTTGTGAGACTTGTAGTTTAAAATTCATCTTAATTATTTGAATACCGGAGTATAATAAGCATTCGAATGTCAATGACTTGCCGGTATTAGTCATTTCGACGTCTACACAATACTCGTCTATTAACCGCATCTATTAACTCATCTTTGCATGTACATAATTTATTTATATTTTTTTTTTCCCGTAATACAAGAAAGAAAGATGCTTAAGGTTTTATAATACTTAATCATTTAAATATTTAATATTTTTTATTTACAATAAATTTAGTACTTTTTTATGAGTGTAAATGTTTTTAAAAAATGTCAGTTTAGTTGACTTTATATTTTTTTTTTAATGTGATGATGCAATTAAATATTTGAAGTTTTTTGATTTTTTTAAACAAATTTTAGTTAATTATTAACTAAGCAAAAATTTATTTTCAATTATTATTTATTTTATTTATAGAAAAAAAAAATACTGAGAGAATTTTTTTATAAATTACAATAGACACTAATTTTTGTAATTGGTTAGTTTCACGGTCTCCGATTTTGTAGTAGTAAAAAATTGTCTTGTCTTCGACGAATTGGTAACAAAAAAAAATTTTAGAACTTATAATTTTTATTTTTATAAAATCAAATAAAAATTTTCGTGAAATAATAATTTAAATATGTAATTTTCAATGATAAATTTTTATCAACTAATAGCGTAATAAAATTTGTTCTTCGTAATAAAAATTTATCAAAATGCACGACCTTATCATTTTTTTGAGTCTTCAATTGCTTACAGGTAGTTTAACAAATATTATTTGTTTTTCGTGGAAGAAATATAATAATTTAATTTTCATTTGTGTAAATAAATCCAAGGTTGTTTAAAAAACTCGTAAGATTTATTATAGAGTTTTTTTTTAAACAAAAAATATATTTGCCTAATATGGTACGCAATCAAACAAAATTATAAGCTTCTATTAGATGATAGATAAAGTAGAGCTTTCATTTGAGTACCCACATGCATTTTTGATTTATTTTTCATATATTCATATATATAATATATATTTTAAAGATATAAGCTCATCCCGATGTTACACTCATCAAGAGCTTTCATTTGAGTACCCACATGCATTTTTGATATATTTTTCATATATACATATATATAATATATATAAATATATGAAAAATTGATGTGGGTACTCAAATGAAAGGTCTTGATGAGTGTAATGTCGAGATGAGCTTATATCTTTAAAAATGTCAAGAGTTCACGAGATACAAGGTCATTTCTTAACTATATATCTAGAGATAGAGCATTTTCAAATGCAGCCTAAATACTTATCATCATAAATTGACTATTGGTGAGAATGATATGAAACCATGAAAAGGCACAACTCGAGGTCAAAACTTTTTCAACGATATCAAATTTAACTATAAAAACCCATTTTATCATATAAATACACTGGCGTCAAAATTTCACTTATTTTCTTAATGATAAAGATAGATTGAAAAAAAAAAAATAAAAAAATTTTTAAAAAGATAAAATTACCTCATAACTCCAAGTGCAGGGAATCCCCGCGTATTTCTTAACACAGCGTCCCAGCTCGACATCCTCATGCGTGGTATAAAGATTCCCAAGACAGTCCTTAACATGAGGAACAATTTTCTTCATCGTCTCTTTAGACATAATGACCCCGGGACCCCCCATGCAGAAGTTCTCGTCATAGTTGAGCGCCAGCTGTCCGATTTCTTCCGAATTTCCTCTCCCGGCCTGGCCAATGTACATCGGCTTGCCCGAGTCCACGGACATGAGTAATTTCTTCAGTCTGTCTGTCCTTATGTAGACGTCATCATCTGCCCTGATGAACCACTCAAACTTGCTTCCGTAATTCTCCCACATATATTTAAGCATCAAAAAAGATTTCTTCTGAGGCGGGTAGCTGTCGTCTACCTTCGGGAGTGCCACCAACGGCAAGTCCGGGCAATTATCGGGGACTTTCGACTCTTCCGAGGAGAAGAATATGATCTTCCCGGGTACTTCTCTGCCCCAAGTCTCCCAAACAGCCTTGGCTCTTGTCTTTAAATATTTCTGGGCTGTCATTACTCCGACAATTACAAGACCATTTTTATCTTCAGTCATATTTTCAAAATTATTTCCAAATGCCTCTTTATCATTTTCATTAATATTACTATTTAAATTATTATTATTAATTAGCAAAGAATGCTTGATAATTTTATTATTACTATCATACTGCGTTTGATGTAAATTCTGGTAATTAAACATAAACAGCCCAATAATTATGCCTGAAATAAGGCCGTAAATGGCACTTTTTAATCTGCGATGTCTAATCATCACTGGATTATCCGTCACCTCGGCAATTTACTATTACAATAATTACCATAACAATAACAATAACAATTACCCGCCATCTCTTCACCACAATTATCCCTACTACTAAAAAAAAAATAACAACAACAACTTTTACTATTACTATTTACACTTAATAATTTTATCGTCACCAATAAAACATAAAACATTATTTTTTATCTATAATTAAACCTTTGTTTAGCCAACTTTTATTATCATACATTACATCCATTTATTTCTTATCTTCTTCTTAAATTAAAATTTCTGTCAATTTTAAAAATTACCAGACTATTAAATACTAATCATTAGAAATTATTTCCACTGAAATTTTTATAATATTTTTACTGTTGATTTCTTCCATGATAAAAATTTATTTTCTTCTTTATTCTTTAAATTATTTTATTTATTATTAACTTTCAGTGTAATTATTTTGTATATTTTTTTCATCTAATTCCAGATTATTTGATGAAAAAAATTATTAAAAACTAAATTTTTATTGCCGATTAAATAATTTTTACCTGTGAAGATATAAATTATTTTTAAAATTCACACTTTAAAGTACAATCTATAGATTTAAACACCCGAGGCTGATAATTTATTGAAACAGACAATAACAAAACATTTACCCGGTAATTTGTTAGCTGATTTAACGGCTCGATCGTCTGCAAATACGAGTTTGCTCTTCAGATATCTTCTTTCATTATTTTTGAAACCGTTAAACCGCTTGCGGATTACTTGCTTACGGTTCTTTCTTTATAAATAATCATCAATTGTTAATTATTAATCATCAATAATCAATAATAAATTTTAATAATAATTTTAATTGAAGAAATATTTTTAAAAAATCTCCAAATATCTGAATTAAATAACACACGTGTATTCTCACACTTATTTCCGTTCTCATAAATCAAGTGATGATTTAATACAAGACCTTCACTGAAGGCCAGTGAACTTTGCTTTTCACTTATTCAAACAATTAGTCCACAATTCTCAAAAATAAAACCACAAGTTGATAAAAAAAAAAAATAAATAAAAAATAAAAGTACATAAATTAAAGAACAGACTTGAATTGAAGAGGAGCACAAATTTACGGCCGAACGGGTCCAGGGTGAACGGGATACTGGGACTTGGAGAATCTATCGTTATTTTCTCTCTCTTATTCTTCTCCTTCTTCGCCACCGGTCTCTTCTTCTTCTTTGGATTTAAAAACTAAAAACCTCAACAGAACAACGTATACATATACGGTTTCTTGCATTTAAATAAAAAGCACTAGCCAGAAGTCAGCAGTCGGTAGTCAGCAGTGACTATGCTCTATATCTAGATTCTACATTTACAAGACTCATTGCGAGGATCCAAGTGGAGGCGTGGGATCCGAGTCAAGTAAATACAATGAAGAGGGGAGAATAGAAGTAAGAAGATTAATTTAACATTATCCATAAATGTATTGTAATGTACATTCCTATTACTTGGCTCATCTTTACAATTGTATGGGTGCTACATCCTATATACTAAAATTGATGGTAGAATGAAGTTAGTTTAGTTTCGAAAACATGGACCCTTATACCTTATTGGTCAAGATTAAGGTGCGCGCGTAGCGCGCTATTCAAATTTCTAGTAAGTTAAGGAAGCTAATGCTTCATGCTTTTTACCTCTGACTCTTTCTTCTTTCTGAGAGTAACCTCTATTGTTTAACACTGCTTTAATTTAATATTAATAATATTGTTACTGTATATTACTTATCTTATATGTGAGCGCAACAAATCGTTCATCACACATCTGACCTAATTTACACAGTAAAAAATTTTGCGTCAAAAAATTTTGTGTTAAAAATTTTTATGTTAAATATTTAACACTTTTTTGTGTTGATTTAATAGAATAAATGTAAAATTTACAGATAAAATTTGACGAGCACATCCTTTGCTTCACATCACTAGGCGCGACTAAACCATAGCAGAGTTTTCTGTTTTTTATTATTTCGCTTATATTTTATTTTAATCAATTTTATTGTGAAAAATGAGATTATGAGGCGTGTACTTTTGGATTTTCCAAACTTTTTTACAAGTTTCTGCAGTAAGAATTGGCTGAATTCACATAGCCACAGATTTTTATTTTTCGCTATTTTATAATTGACTAAATTTATATTTGGTGAAATTTCCATTTCGCTAATTTCATTAAAATCATTTTTTATTTGCGACTAATTTTCCAATTTATAGTTTACAAACGTTCGAGTTTACAAATGGCTATTTTCCAGTAAACTTAAAAACATACATAAATTAATGACCACGTTTGTAAATAAAAAAGCTTCTTTACAATTTTATTTAACATCTTTAAAGTACTTGGCAATTTTTTTAATCGAAATGTTTTAATCTATTTCTTTTATTTCGGTAAAATAAAAAAAATTATAACAGTCGATCATAATTATTAATATATTTATTTTATTTATCATCTTAACGTGATCTATACAATTGAATACATAAAAACTCACTTGAGTTATTCACTCATTATTTTTACACTCTATTACAATAAAATATCTTTGCATCCGACATACTCTACCTCAAAAAAGTCTGAAAAAATGCATATTATTTACACATCTACGTAAATATAATTACTTTAATTTTCTAAACTAACTTTTAATAAAATCACAGCTTATTTATTAAACAATAAATATCTTCTCAAAATTAATCCACTGAATAATTAAAACAAATAATTATTTTTTAAATTCATTTGAAGAAAAAAAACTATCAATGATTTAAAAATATTTTCTTAGCAATAATTTATTTTAAAACTAAAAAAAAAAAAATAATTAGGGCAAAAGACCCCATTAGTGGCGGGGACCCCATTACTGACACTTTCTTTTATTTTAGTACTTATTCAATTAATGAAATCATTAATTTCAATAATGAATATATTATTTCTAATCTTTAAGACCTTTAGATTAAAAAAATTTTTTATTTTTATTCCAAGTAGAACATTTTTTCATTGAAAAAAATAGGGGTTAAAGGTGCCACTAATGGGGTCTTTTACCTTATCAATTTCCAGGTTTAACAGTGCGATTCTTTTTCTTGGCAAAGGTCAAATAATCAGATCCATTGCAAATAATCTTCATAAGCGTATCTTTGCTAGCCAAAGTTTCATACTTGGATCCCTCGCACATCGTCTTTTGGGTAATAGACAATTTTTCATCACACGTAATCTTGTGGTACACGTGAACAAAATTAACGTCTGGAGCGCGAAAAACAGTAATGTAAGACCTGACGGATTTATCATAAAAATCAAGGTCTTCTATGCCCCATCCCTCGATCGACAAATTGAACCCGCCGATCTTCAGATAGTCCCTCTTATACAGAGAAACAATTCCGAAGCTAAAAAGCCTCCAGTATCCCATGGGTTCGCTCAAATTGGCAAGATCTCCAAACTGATTTTTTTTCTTGTCACGATTTGATTTCTCAAAATAATAAACGTAATAAGGGTCGTACTGGCTAAACATAATCGGGAAGTACATTTTTTTATTAATAACCGTGTTCAATCTGACCCGTTGGAGCGCTTCGTGAGTAAACACGAGGTCCACATCGATAAAAAGTACCAGGTCCTCGTTGTTTAAATGTTTAATCGCTAGATCTAGCGCTTTAGCGCGTGAAAATAAATTATCCTTATCTAATAAAATTTTAATCTTTGCATTTTCATATTTTAATTTAATACTATCTACCAAATTGAATGTACTGTCGACCGAATCCTCGAGCTTGTGCGGGTACAGTACAATTAATAGTTCAGTCTTGGCGTTTGTCGACAAACAAACTTGCTCGTAATTTTTTATGAACCTCTTGAAGGTTTTAAATCTTCCGGACAGAGGCACCACCAGGTGAACGGTCTTGTCTTCGACCGGGTCTTCCTCTGGCTTGCTCGGGGGAAAATTGAACAGAAAGGTCGAGTAGAAATTAGGGAAATTTCTTTGTCGGGTCTGATCTCCGTCCTCTTGGTCCTCGATTACTTCCCTCGCTTCGATTCCTAGGATAAAATAATCATCGGAATTAAAATAATCGACTGCAATTTGTACTGAGGCATAGTAAATATAATAAATGTAATAAATCATTTGATAATTCGAATATAATAGATAGTAGTTAGGAGATTTAAAAGTAGTGTTTGTTGTAGTTGTGATGAATAATGCGGAGGAATAAATAGAAAAAAAACTAACCGGTAAAGTGCTGGTGAACGTAAACGTGTCTTCTAACGGAAAGTGTAACCTCTCGCCCTCGATACTTTCGATAGACCAGCAGAAGGTCGAGAATAGTGTCAGCCCCGTAGGCATCCACACGTCTGTATCCGTATAACATGGACTGTTCTTCTACTACTCGACCGCGCTGTCGCGAGCATGAGTTGATTGAAGCCATAACTTCTCGCGTTATGTCCTCCAAGCCCTCTTTTACGTCGCTGTGGATTCTCCGGCGCGGATTTAAGCCGGTCAAACTGTACTCTGACTGTGAGATAAAGTCCCATGGGATTACCTCTGACGTTGATTTTGGCGAGAAACTCTTTAGGCCTGCTGGGATTCCTGCACAGAAAGAAAAATTTATTGACTGGAGAACAAAAAATTTTTTATTCTAGAGTGAATTTTATTTTTAGATTAAAAAATTAAAAGACAATTTTTAGTATTCTTTATAAAATAAAATTATCGTTTTTTTTTTTATTATTCTTGAGTTTTACTTGTATACCGTTATCTAGTTTTTACAAGGCTGATATCCCCACTCTTTTTTGGGGAATCAACTGTATCTCCACTCTTTATTGCGGCTGTGTCACTGCATAATCACAATTTATGGAGTGCAAAAATAATTTAAATTAATTTAAAGATAAATTTTCTATTAAAGTATCGATTACATGGATAGATGGGTTAAATATTATAGAGATGATATAAAATATATGACAAATGAATGCATTTGGGCTCGTCTTCAGGCAGAGTGTATAATACGGACGTATGTATGATAGGACAAATTGCCCGTGACTATTGCATGAGAATGAGGTAATGAAAAATTTGATTAGTCTCGATCTGGCTGACGGACTGAGGCGAATAGAACTGTGTCGTAAGCAATTTGCACAATCAATTGTTCAAAGTGGATTCATTAATACAAATCAGTCAATTCCGACCCGCAAATATTTTTTCTTTCTCACTTTCATTATATTGTTAGTATTATTTTCGTCTGCCACAAAATCTCTCCATCCAACATTAAATATTTATTATACTAACCAAGCATCAGCGTATCTCCAAAATAATTTTCTCTATCCGAGTTTGGAAACAATTCAACATTTTCCGCAATCGGCTTTCTGATAAATTCTCTAACATTTTCTCTAAGCAATTCAGCCATAGAATAAATATCACGGTGCAATTTAATCCTCTCGTGCTGCAAGTCTTGAATTTTCAGAGCCTAAAAATAAAATTAATAATGATTAATAATTATTAAATTATTAGATATTAATTATGATAGTCAACGGTTAATCAAATTAAATTTTTTTACCCGCATGTAATTATGCAGCCGGTACATGTACGGAGGACTTTTGATTGGATGGAGCGTAATAGCTTGGTGTACTTCACGTTTCTTTAGGTTCCCAGTGAATGATTGATCTCCGCTACTATTGTGATAAAGTATCGACCGCATCTGTAATTAATTATCAATTCTTTGCATCTTTGCATGTACATAATTTATTTATATTTTTTCTTCCCGTAATACAAGAAAGAAAGATAAGGTTTTGTATATAAGCTTTTAAATATGAAATTTTCAATGATAAATTTTTATCAACTAATAGCGTAATAAAATTTGTGCATCGTAATAAAAATTTATCAAAATGCACGACCTTATCATTTTTTTGAGTCTTCAATTGCTTACAGATAGTTTAACAAATATTATTTGTTTTTCGTGGAAGAAATATAATAATTTAATTTTCATTTGTGTAATCAAATCCAAGGTTGTTTAAAAAACTTGTAAGATTTATTATAGAGTTTTTTTTAAACAAAAAATATATTTGCCTATGCTACGCAATCAAAAAAAATTATAAGCTTCTATTAGATTATAGATAAAGTAATAATTAATGATAATTAACTTACAAATATTATCCTGCGCTTTTTTTGAATGCACACACACACACACACACACACATACAGACGTGCGGACATCATCATGAAAATAGCCAGGAAAGCTTCCTTGGACCTCGAAACGTCGAGATCCGATGAAAACTCGATTTTCGAAAAACGGGGTAAAAACAATAACTTCCCGATTTTTTAAAATTTTCAATTTTCTTAGCGAGAAGTTAAAAATAAAAAAAATTTTAAAAAGATAAAATCACCTCATAACTCCAAGTGCAGGGAATCCCCGCGTATTTCTTAACACAGCGCCCCAGCTCGACATCCTCATGCGTGGTATAAAGATTCCCAAGACAGTCCTTAACATGAGGAACAATTTTCTTCATCGTCTCTTTAGTCATAATAACCCCGGGACCCCCCATGCAGTAGTTCTCGTCATAATTGAGCCCCAGCTTTCCGATTTCTTTCGAATTTCCTCTCCCGGCCTGGCCAATGTACATCGGCTTGCCAGAGTCCACGGACATGAGTAATTTCTTCAGTCTGTCTGTCCTGATGTAGACGTCATCATCTGCCCTGATGAACCACTCGAACTTGCTTCCGTAATTCTCCCACATATATTTAAGCATCAAAAAAGATTTCTTCTGAGGTGGGTAGCTGTCGTCTACCTTCGGGAGTGCCACCAACGGCAAGTCCGGGCAATTATCGGGGACTTTCGACTCTTCCGAGGAGAAGAATATGATCTTCCCGGGTATTTCTCTGCCCCAAGTCTCCCAAACAGCCTTGGCTCTTGTCTTCAAATATTTCTGGGTTGTCATTACTCCGACAATTACAAAACCATCTTTATCTTCAGTCATATTTTCAAAATTATTTCCAAATGCCTCTTTATCATTTTCATTAATATTACTATTTAAATTATTTTCATTAATTAGCAACGAATGCTTGATAATTTTATTATTAAAAATAAACAGCCCAATAATAATGCCTGAAATAAGGCCGTAGATAGCACTTTTTAATCCGCGATGTATAATCATCACTTCACGGAAAAAAGTAAACTGTAATAAATAACAGTCGATTTATAATAAAATAAGTAATGATCAACTGCTAAAAATTACTATTTGAAACAGTAAAATCGTGATTTTACTATTCACTTTATAATATTTACCATTTAAACGTTACAATTTACTCTTTACATCGAAGAAAATACTATTTCAAACAGTAATATTCGCTATGTGAACGTCTAAATTGTTAAAGTATAATAATTAAGAATTCAGATTTTGATATTTATCATTTCTTACCTAAAAAATGATTTTATGATATGTAAAAAGTATAAAATAAAGTTAGTAAATTTCTAATACAAGCAACATAAATATTTACAAAGTAAAATGATAAATTTTAAACGCAACGCTAAAAATCAAACTGTAATTATTGACTTGCTTGATTTAAACTGGTAAAATGTATATTTTAAAAGTATCATTTTTACTGTTTCAAATGTTGAATTCTCCCAGAGTGAGACCCCCTTCTTTTTCATTTGAGTTCCCCTTCTCCTCATAATATGGACTATATATTGAAATGGCAATTTTTACTATTTGAAACTATAAAAATTAACCGGAATCCGAGTGAATATTACAGTTTACTTTTTTTCGTGATGGATTATCCGTCATTTCGGTAATTTACTATTACAATAATTACTATAACAATAACAATAATAATTACCCGCCATCTCTTCACCACAATTATCCCTACTACTAAAAAAAAAATAACAACAACAACTTTTACTATTACTATTTACTCTTAATAATTTTATCGTCACCAATAAAATATAAAACATTATTTATTATCTATAACTAAACTAAACTATAACTAAACCTTTGTTTAGCCAACTTTTATTATCATACCTTACATCCATTTATTTCTTATCTTCTTCTTAAATTAAAATTGCTGTCAATTTTAAACATTACCAGACTATTAAATACTAATCATTAGAAATTATTTCCACTGAAATTTTTATAATATTTTTACTGTTGATTTCTTCCATGATAAAAATTTATTTTCTTCTTTATTATTTAAATTATTCTATTATTATTAATTTATTAATAATACTTTATTATTACTTCTTTAAATTTTTTTTTATTCATTATCAATTTCCACTGTAATTATTTTGTATATTTTTTTCATCTAATTCCAGATTATTTGATGAAAAAAATTATTAAAAACTAAATTTTTATTGCCGATAAAATAATTTGTAATTTGTTAGCTCATTTAACGGCTCGATCGTCTGCAAATACGAGTTTGCTCTTCAGATATCTTCTTTCATTATTGTTGAAACCGTTAAACCGCTCGCGGATTACTTGCTTACGGTTCTTTCTTTATAAATAATTATCACCTGTTAATTATTAATCATCAAAAATCAATAATAAATTTTAATAATAACTTTAATTGAAGAAATATTTTTAAAAAATCTCCAAATATCTGAATTAAATAACACACGTGTGTCCTCACACTTATTTCCGCTCTCATAAATCAAGTGATGATTTAATACAAGACCTTCACTGAAGGCAAGTGAACTTTGCTTTTCACTCATTCAAACAATTAATCTACTATTCTCAAAAATAAAACCACAAGTGGATAAAAAAAAAAATAAATAAAAAATGAAAGTACTTAAATTAAAGAACAATCTTGAATCGAAGGGTGAACGGGATACTGGGACTTGGAGAATCTATCGTTATTTTCTCTCTGTTATACTTCTCCGTATTCGCCACCGGTCTCTTCTTCTTCTTTGGATTTAAAAACTAAAAACCTCAACAGAACAACATATACATATATACGGTTTCTTGCATTTAAATAAAAAGCACTAGCCAGAAGTCAGCAGTCGGTAGTCAGCAGTGACTATGCTCTATATCTAGATTCTACATTTACAAGACTCATTGCGAGGATCCAAGTGGAGGCGTGGGATCCGAGTCAAGCAAATACAATGAAGAGGGGAGAATAGAAGTAAAAAGATTAATTCAACATTATCCATAAATGTATTGTAATGTACATTTCTATTACTTGGATCCTCTTTACAATTGTATGGGTGCTACATAAGTTAAGGAAGCTAATGCTTCATGCTTTTTGCCTCTGACTCTTTCTTCTTTCTGAGAGTAACCTCTATTGTTTAACACTGCTTTAATTCAATATTAATAATATTGTTACTGTATATTTATTTATCTTATGTGTGAGCGCAACAAATCGTTCATCACACATCTGACGTAATCTACACAGTAAAAAATTTTGTGTTAAAAATTTTTATGTTAAATATTTAACACAAAATTTTTTGATGTGTAGATTATTAAGAGAATAAGAAAAATTTTGTGACCAGTGTATTTATGTGATGAAATGGGTTTTTATGGTTAAATTTGGTATCATTAGAAAGGTCTTGACTTATGGAGTTGTGCCTTTCCAAGGTTTCATATCATTCTCACCAATAGTCAATTTATGATGATAAGTATGTAGGCTGCATTCGAAAATGCTCTATCTCTAGATACATAATTAAGAAATGACCCTGTATCTCGTTAACTATTGCCATTTTTAATAATATAAGCTCATCTGGATGTTGACCTTTCATTTGAGTACCCACATCAATTTTTCATATATATTCATATATATTATATATATGTATATATGAAAAATATATCAAAAATGTATGTGGGTACTCAAATGAAAGCTCTTGATAAGTGTAACATCATGATGAGCTTATATCTTTAAAAATATCTATAGTTAAGAAAGTATAGCGCAATTTAACAAAATTCATTATTCAATGAAGCAAAATTTTATTTATAGTTCACAAGTCACAACAGTTACATAGTGACTGCAAGGTTGCTAGTAATTACTTAAATTATTTATCCTGGTTCATATTTCTATTTATTTTTATTATTTAATAAATCCCAGGCTGAGAAGAGACGTAAATTCCTTTATTCGCGAAATATAAATTCGTCTGGCTCGGGCTGATGTTCAAGGCCTTCAAAGAGGTCATGAATTTTAATTGAACATGAATTTTTTTTTTCAAGATTTATTTTATGGTTTTTTGGATTATATTTAATCCTCGGGTAATAATATAACGGTTCATTTTAATAATCATTTTTAATGATAATTCACAGCAAAATTTTAATTTTTTAAAATTAAATTTCTGGATTTAAACAGAACAAAATAATTTATTTTTTGTAGTATTTTTAACGATCAAGATGTAGACCTAAAATTGTAGGTATTATTATATTTATCTAGACACGTAGTGGTTGGAGATGTGTATGTGTGTCATAAAGTACAGTCGTATGTAATGGTTTAGAGCGAAGATAAAAGAGAAGGTGAATAAATAAAAAAAAAAAAAAAAAAAAAAAAAAGAGATATTTAGAGGTGGGTGTGTGAGTTCTGTTTGTAGGTGTAGTTTGTCATTCGTTGCACGTGTTAGACTAAAACATGTGGCTAACAAATTACAGTCACTGATTTTCAGAGTCTGGCCCTTGGAAATTTTTATTTTTATATAATTTTTGTGTTTACTTTCTTTTAATACGTGATAAAAAATTTTTAACTTGAATTATTTAACAATTTAGTCTTAAATTTGATGAGAAAATTAATAATTATAATTTTTTATAAAGAATAATTTTTATTTTCATATTTTTTGTGTTTACTTTCTTTTAATACGTGATAAAAAATTTTTAACTTGAATTATTTAACAATTTAGTTTTAAATTTGATAAAATTAATAATTATTTAATAAATTAATAATTATAATTTTTTATAAAGAATAATTTTAGTTTTTAAAATTTGTCACGGATTTTATTGCGAATTTTACCGTCAACAACAAAATTATCACCGGCTTAGTCGCGAACACTATTTTACTGGACTTTACTACTAGTTTAATGATAAAAAAATTTTATAACTTTGTTTTACAGCAGGTATTGCTATAAAAAAATAATATCTATAGATATTGATACATAGAAGGTACAACAGACGAAGTTTTAAAAAGAAATACCAATAGAATAAGATTGAAAGGGAATGTATCGATGATTATTTCTGTTGATTCTTTTACAAAGGATCCCGATCCGTCGTTTAGACCCTTCCAAGAATTTATTTCAGACAAGCCAGGCTAGTCTTTCTATTACACTGTCTGCTCTGTCTTTTTCACTTTGGATTTTTTTTTATAACTTCCACTGCGCATCTTTATTTGTATAAAGAAAAATGTTATGTTATATAATGTACAATAAACAATATATAATATAAAATTAACTTATTTAAATTGCTACTGAAGCAAACAATTTCTGCGTAGCAGTAAAAGAAAATAATAATTTTTCTACAAATTAATTGCGTTATTAAGCATTTTATATTAATTTTTCCATTGCACAATAAATGAACCGTTAGAAAGAAAAATGATTATTAATTGAACTAAAGAATGCTCTTTAAATAAAAAAGCTTACGGTAATAGCAATTATCCATGGTAATTTCTCATTGTTTATGCACTCTAAGGTTTTACTTTATTTAATGCTGGTACTGAAAAATTAAAGAGGAATTTTTTTATAATGTATGATAGTAATAATCATAATTTAGCTTTTTTATTTATTTAAATTAAATAAGTTGAGAAACACTGTTCGCTCTTGGTCTCTGGATCAGTCTGGATACAAGTAAAGGGATCTAACAAACCGGATCCGGATATGAAATGAAAACTTCCCCTTTCTAATATGATGAATTTATAATTTGAAGATATATTTATACTGAATTATTTTTTATTTCAAATTTTTTATAAATTAGATCATGATAATTAAATTAGCTGACATCTAAGAATTGAAAAAATTTTTTTTATTGAAAAAAATTATTACAAAAAATTAAAAAAAAATTTTCATTTGTACAAAACATGAAAAACTATAAGTGCAATTTTTTAAAAATACTTTTTAGTTTTAATTTAATGAATGAAAAATAATCAAAAAATTATAAACGTCCGCTAGCTTTATTATTATAACTAGATCTTGTAAAATTTATAATTTTATTTCAATTAATAGAAAAAATAGTGAGTGATAATCATGTTTATTTTTTATTAATAAAAATAAGAAATTAATTAATTATACCAGAAAAAATATAATTTTTTTTTGCGTTTCATATTTATTTATTTATTTATTTATTTATTTATTTATTTATTTATTATTTCATTTCAATGCTAAGGCAGTATAGCCATGTATTTAGTAAAATTTTTATAAAAATCAAAAATTTATTACAAAGAAAATATTTTTTTTTTAGTTAAATTTACAATTAAAAAAATTATTTTTTGTAATAATTTATCTTTTAAAAAAATTCAAATTGTTCAAATTTTAGTTTTAAATTTTTCCCGCGAAAAATTAAAAAAAAAGTAACCACGTGACTTAAAAAAAAACATGGCGTAACTTTGCCGCCATTATTATAAGATTGTTGAACTCTTGACAACACAAGTCAACAAATCAATTAAACAAAAAAAAAAAATAAAAAAAACTCACTTATAAATTAAATATTCAAATTTTAAATTAATTTCCAAAAAGTTAATCCATTTATTTTTTAAAAAAGTGATTTCAATTTTTTTAATTTTAAATGCTATCACTTAAAAATCCAACCTTAAAAATAAAAAAAAATTATGACATTAAAGTTAGCAGTCTACAATTTTTTAATTTTATTTAACAAAAAAATTATTTAAAAAAATTGCATTTTTTATTTTTTTAAACTATGTCAATTTTTTTTTTTTAATTTATTTAGTATAAAGTTCTTAAAATTATTAAATATATGCCAAAATAATTTGAAAATTTTAAAAACTATAAGTGCAATTTTTAAAAAATTTTTATTATAGTTCTTATTTAATAAATAAAAAAAAAAATTAAAAACGTCGGCTAACTTTAATATTAATGAAAATAAAATTAGCAAACATTTGACAATTTTCAGAAATTTTTTTATTAATAAAATTATTACAAAAAAATTGCACATGTAGAAAATTTGAAAAACTATACGTGCAATTTTTTTTTAATATTATTTTATTCTAATTTAATTATTGAAAATAAAATCAAAAAATAAAATATGAAAATTAAGTAAGCCGACATTTGAAAATTTTTAGAACTTTTTTTATTAAAAAAATGATTGCAAAATAATAAAAAAAAAAAAAAAAATTCATATGTAAAAAATTTAAAAAACTACACATGCAATTTTTTAAAAATATTTTGTAGTTATAATTTAATAAATTAAGCAAAATTTAAAAATTAAAAATGTCGGCTATTAATAAAATTATCAAAAATGAATTAAAAAATAAAACTTAGGGTCTTATTAAATTTAAGTACGTCAGTGAAAAGTCTACAGTCGAGTCGAGTTTCGAGAATTTTAGTACAATCACAAATTAGTTAGTGACTCACGTATTGACGCCGGACGTGACGCAGTGCGCATCGCAACGTTTTCATTCCGGTTGAGGCACACACACAAGCGAGCCCGTGAGCTGACCAGCCAATAAACTAACGCGAAAACTAACCAACGACCGTGCTGGGTTGCCGTCTCTACATCCGACACTCGACATTCTAAACGGAATATCATTTGTGGGAAGCCATTACCCTCGTCTCCGCGTTAACAACCAGCACCACCATCAGCATCGTGCCATATACCTCGTACGCATCTTAGCATCTTATTTTATTGAACCTCTATATTAACTTTTAAATTTATAACGTAACGTTATTTGGATAGTTATAAGTTTAATATTATGAGAGTTAAACCTGAAATGGACGACGACGAAAAGGGGTATGTTTTTTTTTTTATCATATTTTACTCACTACTCAAGCCGTTAAATAAATAAATATAAATATAAATAATCAATAAATATTTATACAAAAACTAAGCAAATAATTATTAATTAAATATTTTTTTGCTTAAAGTTTTTCCGCAGACAGCCACGTTTTTTTTTTTTTTTATTACTATAATTTTATTTCAAAGTAATTTTAAAATTTTACGCATGAGTTGTTGTTATTATTTAATTAATTAGTTGTAATTTAAAAAAATTTTAACTTACTCAAATAACAAATAAGCTAATTTTTATGAAACAGAAGCGGATTTTTTTCCCAAGCGTACCGAGACTTTTTTCATTGACTCCAATACCGGCTACGCATGGCGTACCCGTTATTTTTATTATAATTATTTTATTTTATTTATTCTTAACTCGGAATCTTTATATTTGTTTATTCATTTAATTTTTTTTGGTTTCTTGTATTTTATTTATACCATTTAAATTAATTAATATTTTAAAAACTTCTACGTGGCTTCTCAGAATTAATGGAGGCAAGTTTTTTTTTTTTCCGCAAAAAAATGAGACCGGAGTCTATTGTGCCGGTAAAAAGATGCTAAGGCATTTTGTCTCTCAGTATTTTTATTTATCAATTTTTTTCATCGATATTAAAGTTTGATTATTTGTGAGTTGTTTATTAACCATAATATTTATTTTCATAATTAAAAAAAAAAATTAACAATAAAAATCGTCTACTGCAACGGACGCGTGGATAAAAAAAAACTTTCTTATTAAAATAAATAGAAATTTTTTAATTGTTGGTTAATTAATCTTGAATTTTATCAATTAGAAATTTTATTTACATAAATAAGCTTTTAATTATTTTTAATTGGATGAGTCGAGTAATTACAAATTTTTAGGTGACTATTTTTGCGTGAGATATTAATTAAGATTTTTTTTTCTTTTTTACAGAAAATTATTTGTTGGAGGTTTGTCATGGGAGACGACTCAAGAAAATTTGCAACGATACTTCAGCCGTTATGGCGAAGTTATTGACTGTGTGGTTATGAAGAACAGCGAGTCCGGTCGCAGTCGTGGCTTTGGATTCGTCACCTTTAGCGATCCCGCTAATGTTGCTCTGGTTCTTCAAAATGGACCCCATCAATTGGACGGACGGACTGTAAGTATTTTTTTTTTTTTTAATTACAATTAATACAGTGATTATATTTAAATTATTAATGACCACATATCCGGGATGTTTAATAATTTTAATGAGAAAAATATTTTTAACTTTAGGCTTGATTACTAGTTAAATTTTTAATTTTTTAAACATAACTGATGAATTTTTATGACAAATATTTAAAAATCTAATGTTTTACTTTTACTTTCATGTAAGAGTCAATGAACTTGTAAGCTTGATGATTTATTCATGTTTTTTTATTTATAGAATACTTTATTGAATTAAAAGCTCCAATTGTTTGAAATTTTAATTTAATATTTAAAAATTAATTTGGAACTAGCAACCTTGCAGTCACTATGTAACTGCCGTGACTTGTGAACTATAAATAAATAAAATTTTGATAATGACTTATGTTAAATTGCTCTGTACTTTTTTAATTATTGACGCTTTTAAAGATATAAGCTCATCCCGATGTTACACTCATCAAGAGCTTTCACTTGAGTACCCATATGCATTTTTGATATATATATTATATATACATATATAAATATATGAAAAATTGATATGGGTACTCAAATGAAAGGTCTTGATGAGTGTAACATTGGGATGAGCTTATATCTTTAAAAGTGTCAATGGTTCACAAGATACAAGGTCATTTCTTAATTATGTTAAATTGCACTGTACTTTTTTAACTGTTGAGATTTTTAAAGATATAAGCTCATACCGATGTTACACTCATCAAGAGCTTTCATTTGAGTATCCACATGCAGTTTTGATATATTTTTCATATATACATAAATATAATATATATATAAATACATGAAAAATTGATGTGGGTACTCAAATGAAAGGTCTCAATGAGTGTAATGTCAAAATGAGCTTATATCTTTAAAAATGTAACAATTTTACAAGATACAAGGTCATTTCTTAATTATGTATCTAGAGATAGAGCATT